GCTTTTAATAATATAACGCTAAGCTAGCTATATAATAAATAGCTTATAATACTAATTCTCGCCTAAAATATTATTTATGCCTCGTAATATATATAATAGAGCGCATTAAGGAGATATTACCGTAGCTATAAACTAGCTATAGAGCTAAAAGAGAAATATTAGGTTATAGGGGTAATTAGTATTATAAACCTTAGAGATTAGCGTTAAAATTTAAACCTAAAAATTCGGCGCTAATTAGCGGCGCTAGACTTAGCGGTAAAGGAGAATATAGGTTTAATTTATTAAACCTATCTAATTAAATGCAAGATATATATATCTCGGCCTATATAAATAAGTAATAATAGTAATCTTAATAATAGTTTTAATAGTAATTAATTTAATTAAATTAAAATAAAGCTCTTTAAGCTAAAAAGCCTTTAATATAAGGTTAAATAAGGTAAGATATTTAATTAGCTTAAAGAGCTATTTTTTTTAGCTTTTAATAATATAGCGCTAGGCTAATTATATAATAAATAGCTTATAATATTAATTCTCGCCTAAAATATTATTTATGCCTTATTATATATATAATAAAGTATATTAAAGAGATATTATTATAGCTATAAATTAATTATAAAGCTAAAAGAGAAATATTAGGTTATAAAGGTAATTAGTATTATAGATCTTAGAGGTTAATATTAGAGTTTTATAAACTTAAAAATTTAGCGCTAATTAATAATATTAGATTTAATAGCAAAAAAGAGTATAGGTTTAATTTATTAAATTTATCTAATTAAATATAAGATATATATATCTTAGCCTATATAAATAAGTAATAATAGTAATCTTAATAATAGTTTTAATAGTAGAGTAGTTATTTATAAGAGTTACCTAAGTAGCTATTATATTTAATATTATTTAAGGTAATATAAGTAATTTATTAAATAATAGCTATTAATATATAATAATTATAGGATTCCTAAGGGATAAATTAATTATATTAGGTTTATATTAATAAAGGAGAATATTATATTATTTTAAATAAATATATAAATTATATTTAGTAATATACTTAAGGGTATTAAGTATAATTAAATTATATTAATAGCTAAGATAAATAATATATAAGAAAATATAAGTAAATATATTTATATATTAAGGTCTTTTAAATAAATTATAATAAATTATAAGCTATAGGTTATAATCTATTATAAGCCTTCCTTAGATTAGGGTTAAATTATAATATCTTAATATAATCTATTATAATCTTATAATAATTAATTAATATAATAAGTTAACCTTTTTATTATATAAGTGCGAGTTTATCTAGGCTATAATAAGTATAATATAAGGATTTATTAAGTAATAATTAAGATATTAAAGAAAAAATATAATAAATAGTTTTAATTAATTAAAGAATTAATAATATTTTTATTATAATTTCTATTTAAAAATATAAAAGAAAATAGCTTATTTATTTATTTAGCTTACTTACTTATTAAGTATATTATATTATTTTAATTTAATCTTAATAATTTTAACAATAAGAAATACTATTTTATATTAAGAAAAATTACTTATTTAAAAAAATAAAAAACCCTAGTTAAAATAAAATTACTTTTAAATTAGCTTAAAAACCCTTTATTAGCTAGGCTTAATTAAATAACTTAAATTATTAAGTTATTTATATATATTATAAGACTTATTATATAATTAATAATTATATAACTCTTTATATATTTTCCTTTGGTAATATATATACCTTACTAAGCCTTACCTTATAATATAAATTAATAATTATCTTAGTTAATAAGTTAGTTATATAATTAGTTATATAATCTAAGACTAGGTTATTATTATATATATCCTTATAATATATTTAAGTAATATATTAATTAAGTTAATAAACTTTTTTTATAAAAGATTAATTAATTATAATATAATATATTTAATTATATTATACCTTTATTTATAAGGCTTTTTAAGGCTTATATAACCTTATATATAACTTACCTTCTTATAATTCTCTTATAGGGTTATAGCTAGGTATTAAGTTTATTAGCTATAGGGTAAGTAATTAGCTAAGTAGCCTCTTATAATAATAGTTAAAATTTTAATAATAATTTTAATAGGGATATTAATAAATTAATAGCTAATAATATAGTAGCTAAAGGCCTTAGTTAATATATAAGTTATAAGTTTAATCCCTAGCTTATATAACTTTTTTTATTAAGGTTATATAAGGTAAGAAAAAGAATTCTCTAGCTAAGCTTAAACTAGTAGCCTCCTTTATAAGTAAAAATAATTATAACTAAGGTATAAGAACTATTATATTATCAAGGTATATATAATATTATAATTTTACCTTACTCTTATGCTTTAACTTAAGGCGCTAATAGCGATAGTAGATACTTTAAAGGTTATATCTATTATGCGTCGACAACTAGCCGCGACTAGGATTACAGCTGAGCATAAACCCGTCTTAGCTGGCGTTAAGAAATGTGCCGACTTCCTCCACGCGAGCAGGACTGCTACTGTCTACTGTAGGCTTTCTGTCGGTAGTACTTAGCATAGCTATTTGCGTCTCAGCGGCAAACTGACAAATTATCCTATACGCGAAGTGCCCTATAAAGGTGCTTGATCATAGTTGGGAGCTGATTTACAGGGCCATGTTGTCACACTGCCTTTGAGCTTTTCACGTCTTGCATATAGTGTCTTAAGAGTGGTTCGCTATGAAGAAGATAGAAATGGGGTTGTTCAATCCTCATTGCGAGTTGGCACACGTGGCAGTTTCCTTTCGTGTGGTTAGGTACACATAGCATGAGCTTAGTATACATGCAATTTCATGCCTGATAATTTCTTATTACTATCTAGATTGTCCCCCAAATCAAAAAGTGACCTACCTGCCTACCTACCTAACCAGTAACTTCCGTATCTCAAACTACTCCTTAACTCGTTCCTGCGTAAACCGCTCAGCGGGCCAACCCTGCATAGTCCACTTTGCTTCAACAACATCACCACCCATCACAAGTGTGTGCTCCAATAAGCAACTCTCCTTCTTCATCTGCGCGCCGCTCAGCAGCCTGCTACCTGTTCGCAGCACACATCCATCCCCAATCTCAAGCCTGTTCAAGTCGAATTTCCCACGCGTATTGATGTGCCCAACAACGCTCGCATCATCGACGGCAACCCTATTACCTAGGGTGATCAAGTCTGGCTCGGTAAACATCAGGCTAGGCGTTCCGTTTGCGAACAGGGCACAATCCTTTCCAATATCGGCACCCAGAGCTCTGAAGTAGAACACGATCCAGCTGGTTCCTGTGAGAAGGCCCAAGACACCGTTGCCCTGGTAGCATTGTCGCCGGATCCGCTCAATGCCCAGGAAGACTTGCCAACGCTGGCAGTATGAGGACTTATCCCAATCGTAATTTCCAGGCATGCGTCGGCCTAGCAAAGACCACTTGGAACAAATGACAATGGCGAGGGCGAAAACAGCTTGAAAAGTGGTCAAGATAGCAATCATGATCAAGGTCAGAATGAAGACCGCTGCCAGATCATACCACACACTCAAGCCTTCTCGAAGATACCGTTTGACGACCAGGTCCACAACCTGAACAGATGATATGCTGGGAATGTTCCAATAGAAAGCAGTGAAGACGGTGAGGAATGCCGAGTAACAGAAGATCGCAAAGGATCCAAGGACATGGTACGGAGCGAGACCGAGATAAAAGGCGCGCCCAAATGGCGATAGGTCCTGCTTGGGGGCGTCATCGTCGGAGCTATCGTCCGTCTCGCTCTCGGATGTCATGAAGGGGTCGGCCGAGACGTGATAGTTTGCCTTCTTCGGGCCCTTGCCCGACTCTGCCAGGGTATCGTCGCTGCTCATATGCGAGATATGGGTGCGTACGTTCGACTTCCCTGTCTGACGCCGAGGCCCGGTCAAAGTTTCGTCACTACTCATGTGCTGGATGCGGACTCGAGGGTTCCCCTTCTCCTTGACATCGCGACCTGTCGACAAGCAAACAGCGTCGCCTGCTTTGGAACCAACGTATGTCCCTCCTGGAGAATAACTCTTGCCTCGTTGTGTCAAGGCGCCAGATCCCATGGTCACTCGCTCCCCAACCTCAACGCCAGGCAAAAGACAAACCCGATCGGCAATCATGGCGCGGTCTTTGATCGCGATCTTCTCGGATCCGAGGCCGTCAGAAGTCACCAGGTGAGCTCGGGAGCCAAACACGACATCGTTTCCAACTTCCAACAGGTGGTAGTCACCGATGCTGGGGCCAGTTCCCGGCCAGTACACGCGCTCGCCGACCTTTGCCCCCAACATTCTCAAGGCCACGGATGTTGCCTCGTAATGTTGCCCGAACATAGAGGTTACATCGTGGAGTCGAGGAACAGGGCAAAGAGCTTTAGTGAGGTTCGCTCTCCAAGTAGTGACGGCGCCTTGGGGTTGGGCAGTATCTGAACCAATCTTGCCAAACACTGCGTCGAGAATTCCCTTCACAATGACTGTGAACCCAAAAAGGAAGAATGGTCCGAAAAGGGCTTTCAGGACAAGTGCAAGGTAGTGGTATCCTACTCGCTCCGGTTCGGCAAACCAGTCGATGATGCCTCGTAGTGGCGAATCACTCTCCGAAGGTTTTTGTATGACCATGCCAATCAGACCAGCGATCCAGGGAAGGAGAGTCAAGAACCATGCGACAAGCTTGAGAGGCATCGTGAAAAGGCATTGCAGTAGCCAGTGAGGTTTCCGGGCTTGGCCCGGCAACTGGTCGCGGTATGCTTCGTCCGCATCCTCCATCTCCCAGCTGGACGAGTTGAAGCCGAGACAAGTGTTGGGCGGCAACTCGGATCCTGGTGCTATGATTGAAGAAACACCGACCGAGCAGCCCGCTCCAATCTTGATACGGCCCAGGTACATGCTTGTGTTGCCTTCCGCTGCGAATGGGCGGCAGACACACCTCGAAAGGATAGTGTTGTCCCCGATATCGAGAAGATCCCATTCTCCAAGAGCGGCTCCAGTGAGCTTGGCATTCTTTCCAATCTTGGCTCCCATGAGTCGGTAGTACATACGCGCCGTGGTTTCAGTCGTACTAAAGATGCCTTTGCCGCAAATACTGGTGATCTTCTGAACCATCCACCACCTGGTATGATAGACTCCCCACATGGGATAGAGACCTTCCCGATAGCGACCGATGATGAGCCATTTCGCAGCTATACCGACGAAGGGCGCGACACAGCGAACAACAATTCGCGAGATGAAGATTGAGATAATCAAATTCAAGAGTCTTCCAGGGATCGAGTCGTTCGTAGGGAGCATCTGGCTGTATGCCAGAGCCACCATAAAGACAGTCCATTGGAAGGCTCGCCTCAGGGGGTAGATGACCATCAGAGGGATCAACTGCACAAACATCAGAAAAGGGTTGGTGGAGCTGCAGGTCTTGGTGCAGCCTGCCGTGTTATCCGCCTTTTCGTCATCGGATTCACTCGAGCTCGAAACTTTGTCGATGTGTGTCGCAATGGCCATAACAGTTCCCTCGTTGAATACGAGACTGATGGGCAGATGCACGTTGAACTGGGCACGTAGCGCCGACATGAGACGGCCAGCTCCCAAGGAATCTCCCCCGAGACTAAAGAAGTCAACATCGGGGGGTATGTCTCCTGAAGGAATCGACAATGTTTCTGCGAATGCTTTTGTGACCAGTCCCTCTGTGGTCGCGCTCAACTTCTTGAGGGAGTCGTTCAGGCACCGCTCTACCTCCTTGTGCAGCTCAGCGATATCAACAATGCCTGAGCCACTTCTTGGGAATGGCCTAGCCAATGTGTGTATTTGGTTGGGTATCATGTAGTTGTCGATCGCGGTGCTCAGACCTCGCCGAATGTCGTTGACCAGTTCGGCCCCGATCACGTCGATACCGGCTTGCCTTGGGGCTAAGACGGCCTCAGGTCCACCATCCTTCGGGTCCTGCCGACAGAAAATCTCTGTGTTTTGAGGAAGAAGACCCTGGATCTGCCTGGACAGATTGGCGTAATCGACTAAACAAGCAGAGCATTCGATTGAGACAGACAGAGCTGTGTCAGGGGGTGGGCATATCGCTTGCCAATGCCGTTCCAAGTATGGAGTGTCATCGCTCACATCAGGCAGCCCCAATCTCTGTCCAAGCTTGATTCGGAGGACCTTGTTGTTCTTCTTGGGAAGGTCATCCATGTAGGTGATCAAAACAGGCCATTTGGCTTGCTGGAGAGACGACTTCAAAGAGCCGTGTAGGGCCTTGAGATCAACCCGCGGGACATTAGGAGGCGTCACCAAGGCGACTGCAACAACCTCCTGGAGGACGTCGTGGCATGCCGAGAATGCCAAAGCCTGGCTGACCCTTCCACTGATCGGGGAGTCGCTGGACAGAGATGCCGACATGATGGCATTCTCAACCTCGAACGGGGAGATCAACTCTCCGCCGCGGTTGATGACCTCTTTACTCCGGCCCGTGATGTAAAGATAGCCATCATTGTCCATGTATCCAAGGTCACCCGTATCAAACCAGCCGTCCTTATTGAAGGGAGACTTATCGTACGTGCCGTCTGGCTTCAGGTAACCGGGGAAGACTGGCTCACCACGAACACAAATTCTTCCCACTGACCCATTAGAAACCACGACCTCTGACCAATCTAGAATCGCAAGGTCTGGACCAGTACTGATGCCAGATGTGCCCTCGCGATCCAGGCGATAGTCAAGAGGGGGTGTAGAGATGGGCATGCACCTGCATCCGTTAGTATTTGGCCACGTCTTCAGTCACAGTACTTACTCAGTCATTCCATAACTAGGAAGTACAACGCAGTTGAAGGTATCGCGCAGCTGACAGGCCAGAGACGGCAGGAGACCGCCCGCGGCATTGCAAGCCAGGCGAATGCGACTGTTCTCCAAGGCTTTGGTCCGGACCGTTGCCTCGGCCAGGATGACAGAGTGCATTGATGGTGACGCGTAGTACCAAGTGGGCTGAATATCCTCTGCGACATCCCAAAAGAGGTTGGGGTCAAACGCAGAGCAACAAACTGTCGAACCACCAGAGAAGATTGGCGCAAAGATGTTTCTTACCAGGCCACCACTATTTCATGTTAGCGGACCAGGCATTTTCATGGACATTGAGAGTTACTTACACATGGTATAGAGGCATCATGTTGAGGCAGATGTCCTGCGAAGTTAGGCCCCATGACTCCATCACGAAGACAATGCCAGCAATGATCGAATGTGTTGTCAGGGGCACAACTTTCTTGGTTCCCGATGTCCCACTTGTGAAGAGAATCAGGCCTATGTCGTCTGCTTTGTTGGGTTCAGGCGTGATGCCGTTTGTCGAGATACCTGCTCCACCCACTGTGGTCACACAGATGTCATCTCCCCGAGTCCAGTTCACGATGAAGATCTGAATGTTGTTCTCCGCAACCCACTGGGCGTCAAGGCAGAGCTTCTTGTAGTCATCGGTTGTGGTCAGGATACATTTCGCTCTGGATTGCAAAATGTCTGCTTGGAACTGCTCAGGGCCGGCTGCTGGGTTGATGGGCGCTGCAGTGTAGTAGGTGGTGACTGCAATACAAGTGGCTGCAAGGATTGGACCGTTGGGGAGCGCAATGGCGACAACGGGTTTTGTCTTAGACGGTTCAATCGGCAGATGAAAGTTGTTGACGAAATGGTTCAGGCCTCGATAAGTGATGTAGTTGTCGGCATTTGTAGCTCGCAGAGCAGGTTCGTTGCCAGATCCGATGAACTGGGAAAAGGAAGTGTACGACTTCTTCACAAGCTCTTTGGTGGCCTCCACTAGCCAAGCTGAGTCGCCATTATCGTTTGCCCTGACCTCCTCAGGGAGAAGTTTGTAGAGTCGCGTATGACACTTGATGAGATCAAACGTCGGCCACTCTCCAGGGATCTCGGTCAAGAAGAGGTAGAGAAGATGGAGGGGTCGGATAGACGGTTTGGGTGTACTAGGAATTGAGGCCAGGAGGCGGGCCTTGTCCAAGTCTGGCTTTTGTAGGGTCTGGAACTGCCGGCTTTGCTTGACTTCTGCTGGCGATAAGTCATATAACTCCATCAAGAGAGCCGAGATGCCCGGAGGGGGGTGTTGTTGAATCATGGTAGGCATTGACAGGTCGTTTCCAAGATCTCTAGGCAAGATGTGTCGAGACTTGTCATAAAACGGTATTGATAGGAGTATTTAACATTGAACAGTGGCCAGCATATGACATTTAAATACTCATCCAGGCTCGCCATGCAAAGGCATAGTTCTGTCGTGATTGAATCGTCGATTCGACGATCGAGATAACGCAACACATGCCAGTCCTTGACGGGAGACTTCACCTCCCTAGTCGTTCTATTTCTCTACTTTGCCATGGCCAAGAATGACATGTGGAAACCTTGCCAACATCAAGCAGAAAGCCGTTTCACTCGGGACGCTTGTCAAACGCCGATCCTGATGATCAGGATAATGTCTAGAAATGCCTTGAGCTTCAACGCGGCACTGAACACGCTGCAGTCTACACTGACGACGTGGCGTCAAAAACCTCGAGCACAACTAAGACATGTATTGGAACAAGCTCACAATTAACAACCCAGGTTCCGAAACCACTGGGTGGGAGAACTGAAGGGTTGGCCGAGAGGCTCAAAATGGGCCCTCGACCCACCTTGTATCTCGGGAAGATGTTGAGACAGGTTATCTTACCCTCAAAGGTGTGCCGTATACGCGAGCTTGGAAGGGGCATAGGAGACTAGAGTTCCCAACTACTGGTACCGAGGTGGAACACAGCAAGGAAGTCATATCGGAGAGATGACACTCGAGAACTGTCTGCCCAGCCCCACGCGAGGTCATCAACCGTACTGATTGAGAGTATCATAAGCCAAGCGCACAACTATCGAGTACATGTTAGCCACTCGCTCCGGAAAACCGGGTCTGTCGGTCGCCAGCACCGGGTTCCTGGACCCGTTCGGAGCCGGCGGCTGGACGGAATATAGTCCCACATTAACGGAAATCCCACCCCTGGACAACATTGGAATGGCAATTCACACATTATCACCAGAGAAGCACCGAATTGTCGCAGGACAGATATAGGACTATCGCAAGATAAACAGACCATCACCACGAGAGGGAGCTCACATGAAGATCCATGCCTACCATGACGACCTGTTCACATCGGCCCAGGCCAAGAGATCGAGCAAACCTGCGATCGACAGCTCGGATCTTGTACAGACCGAAACTCCAAGTGGGCAAATCGGCGCCTTGTCGGACAATAGAGCATTTCGGTCCTGGAAATGAGGCGAGAAAGGTTGGTGAGATGAAGGTGATCTCCAATGAAATGCTCAAGAAGCGAGAAAGATGACCTTTGAGCGCCAAACAGCGAGGTTGGAGGTTGGCTTGCTACCCTATTCGCAATGCGCTTGAGCCAGAAGTGGCAAGCCCAAGCCCTCAGAGGAGTGCTCCTTTCTCCAGTACCCGGGAGCATTGTTCGTCTGAAGGGTAGTACTGTTTTACAGTAGACGCGTTTCACAGTGGATGCGCCGAGGGACGGGAAGAGGATAAAGAGCCGCGTTCATGTTCATGAGACTCTGCATACCTATGACATCAACAGATCAAGGTCGAATGCCAACAGTGTTTCTCTGGGAGAAGGCCTCTACGAACTTTTGCCAAGTTTCACCAGGAGAGGATGAGGTTTAACAACGATGGCGTCCCAGAATGGCCGAACAAGGTCCATGGCCACCCGTTAAGAGCATACATAGCGCCTAAGTACATAAACGCGCTTTGCCTGCCTGGTCGCACAAAGTGGGCCTTGGTGGCTTTCACTTCACCTTCTGCTGCTCTTCACATCCAATGCGACAGCGCTCACTTGTTTCTACAGCGCATCCAAGATGACTTCAGAAACCTCCATCTCCACGTGCGTGTCATTGCACACCCGACACGCTACGTGAAGATCATTTGCTGACTGATCTATAGTGTCTACGTACAGAACCTGGAAGAGCGCGTCAAGCTCGAGAGTTTGACGGAAGCCTTGAGGACAGTATTCTCTGAGTTCGGCAACGTCGTCGATGTCGTGGCCAAGAAGAACCTGAAGGCCAAGGGTCAGGCTTTTGTCGTCTTCGACGATGCCGAAAGCGCACGAAGCGCTATCGAGGAAGTTGATGGGTTTGAGCTCTTCGGCAAGCCGATGAAGGTCGCATTGGCGCGCAGCAGAAGCGACAAGACTGTCGAGATGAACTGCAGCCAGGAAGAATTTGAATCTCACAAGAGACACAGACAGGCAGAAAAGGGTATGCGACATCAACTCATCGGCGTTTAATGGACCAGCTACTAACTTGCGACCCTAGACAAGCGCAAGGCCCTCGAGGCTGCGGAAGAGCAGAGGCAGCTCAACAAGCGAGGCCCGGGTGCAGCACCAGACAGCCGACCAGCAAAGACAGCCAGGCCATCAGGTCTCAAGTCAACAAGCGCTGCAGCAGCAGGCGGTGTCCTGGACGAGTTCCTCCCTCCCAACAAGATTCTGTTCGTTCAGAATCTTCCCGAGGACTACGACATCGAGGCTCTGACCGGCGTTTTCGGACGCTTCGAGGGTTTCCGCGAGGTCAGACTGGTGCCTGGTCGTCGGGGTATTGCTTTCGTCGAGTACGAGGCAGAGCAAGGTGCCATTACCGCAAAGGAGAACACCGCAGGCATGAGCCTTGGAGAAAAGCCTATCAAGGTCACATACCAGCGCCAGTGAGGTGGCTTGTAACAATAATAATATCCTATCGACTCCTAATGTCATAATTCACACGTCCTTCCTCCCTCATCGCGAGCCCCAATGAAGGTTCGCCGTTCGCTTATCTTCAGGTCACGTAGTTAATCCTGCCATCTGTTCCCCTATCGGCCCTGTGGTGATTGGTGACTGTCCTCTCACCGAATGCTTAGAAGATGACATCTTCGTCATCTTCAGCGCCAAGAATATCAGCTGGCGCTGATTCTTCCTTCTGAGGCTGCTCGCCGCCTTGCGCTGCGGCCTGCGCAGCACGCCTTGCCTTCAGCTCGGCATCGGCAGCGGCAGTGTCGCGTTGCTTCTTGTTCGCAACCTAGTACGAGTTTGGTTAGATACGTCTTCGCTGGCGAACAAGTAAACTTGCCTTCTTGAGTCTGTAGAACTCCTCACGATCCAGCTCATCCAGCTCGGAGTTGATATACTTGATCGTGTTCTCGGTTCGTGGGATAATGACGTGCTCAATAGCGTTCACTGGAGATCTCAGTCAGTACTAGGACAGGGGATGGGAGTCCAAGTGACTGACCACGTCGGTTGACGACCTTGATAACCTCGTCGAGGATGACGAAAGCCGTCTGCAAGCTAGCAAGTTCAACGAGAGCTTCCACGGCTCGCGCATAAGTCTCTCTGCATCGCTGAACTTGTTGTCCTCCCTTGCCCAGACCCGTCAGGCCAAAATCGTTATTGCCTTCGGTTTGATAGCTCTCAAAAGCTGGCAGCAAGACACCGGAAACATTGTCTTGCTTGGTGCGGACGCGGAATCGAGCCGACTTGGCGGATTCTTGCACTTGGTATCCAATGTCGCCGCCTACAGCGTAGGTCACCTCCGCCAAGGAGAAGGCCGCAATTTGCATCACTCGACCCATCTTCCGCTTGGCCTCATCGATTCGTCTCGTGATCTCTGTAGTACTATGGTATCAGCATGCGATGATGGTTTCGAACGGCGGACAGGGCGCGGAATGGGATAACGGACCTCGGAATCGCCTAGATAGAAGTACTCGGTCAGCTATTGAAATCGCATAGTCTTTGGGACAATTCATACTTGGTAAGAGCTTCACTCTTCCTCTTCAACAAACTGTGCCCGGTCTCCGCCCCCTTGAGCTTCGCCTTCATGATACCCAGCGACTGCCGGGTTGGGAAGACGGCCTCGCGATCCTAAGGTCATCAGTATTTCCATCTCCATGGTAACAACCCAATTTTGATGACTCACTGCAGCTCCCGACATCTTGAACAACGATTATAGGTGTGTTCGGAGCAGATTCTGTCCAGAATGTTAAATTGGTTGAGGTTGGCGGAGCTTCAAGTTGTATCGAGGTCCCTTCGTCACACGTGCACTAACGTCAACTGGTAAGCCGGTAGGTAGCTTACCTTACCTGCCACCCTGCCAAGGTGCGGTCGGGCGCAGTTGCTGGGCAGCTGGTACCAGCACACAAACAGCCAACACATATCGCTGTAAGCGGGCAACCTCCACTCTGCAGCACCCTTGGTGGAGCTCTGTCAGAGGCCGCTGGACCCGCCCGTTTTGTCCGCCGCTGACCAGCGCGAGCCCAAAGGAAAAATACAACAAAAGTTACGCGACCAAGCCTCACGAGCGTCTGTCGACATCATTCGCCTCCGCTCCGTTGGATCGCGCTGCATTCGAAGCGTCGACGACGACCGGGACGGTCACGATACCGATCACTCGGTCACGGATCGGCTTTTGAGGAGCGTAAAAGTTGCTGCGTTGCTGCGTTCAGGCAGACCCTCTTTCACCTTCTCGACTGGCCTCGACGATGTACGGCTCACATTGATATCTCCCGCCCGCTCTCTTCGCGAAATCCTGTCCGTCACCTTTCTTGCTTAAACGGCCATTTCGACCATCATGGCCCCTATTGTCGCAACCCCGATTGGGGCGCGCAGGCAGCCGCAACTGCACCTTGTGGTACGCCCGTCCCCAACGCGTGTCCTCAATCAAGCCGAAACTAACGCTTTCTGCAATCAGTCCAACGAAGATTCCGTCTACGAGCAAGATATCCTTCGTAACCCCGCTAGTGTTAAGCCTTGGCTAGCATACATTGAATTCAAGGCCCGCCATGGCACTGTGGTTGAGCAAGCATACGTGATGGAGCGGGCATGCGCCCAGCTGCCTCGATCTTACAAGCTCTGGAAGCTAGTATGTCTTCACCCCAGTATTCTTGCCTGGTCTTTGCGGTTCATGGCTCAGCTAACATGAATTAGTATCTTGTATTCCGAGTAAAGCATGTGGCCAAACTAAACCCAGCGATCTTCGCCGCCGAGTACCGCAAGGTCAACGCCCTCTTCGAAAGAGCTCTGATCCTACTCAACAAGATGCCGAGGATATGGGAAATGTATCTGAGGTTCCTGACCAAGCAGCCGCTCGTGACCTTGACCCGACGAACCTTCGATCGCGCCCTAAGAGCCCTTCCGATCACTCAACATAACCGCATCTGGGCTGTCTATCGGCCTTTCGCCAACTCCGCCGCGGGAACAACGGCCGTAAAGATCTGGCGACGGTATATGCAAGTTCATCCCGAGGATGCCGAGGACTTCATCGAGCTTCTTGTGCAGACAGGCCTTTATACTGAGGCTGCCCTGAAATTCATCGACATTCTCAACAACACTCGTTTCAACAGCAAACATGGGAAGGGCCATTACGAACTCTGGAGCGAGATGGTTGACCTACTCGTCGAACACGCAGCTGAAATCGAGACTGGGTACGAGACGGGGATCGACGCCGAACGCATCATTAGAAGTGGCATCACTCGATTTGCCGACCAAAGAGGAAAGCTCTGGTCAGGGTTAGCAACCTACTGGATCCGACGAGGAAGCTTTGAGCGAGCCCGCGATGTGTTCGAAGAGGGCATTACCACCGTCATGACCGTCCGAGATTTCACCCTCATCTTCGAGGCCTATACCGAGTTCGAAGAGTCCATCATCGGCGCTCTCATGGAAGTGGCATCTTCACGGGCTGAACAAGGTATCGAGGACGAGAATGCGGATTTCGAGTTGGATATCAGAATGATGCGTTTTGAACAACTCATGGATCGCCGACCTTTTCTTCTCAACGATGTCCTTTTGAGACAAAACCCTAACAGTGTACCCGAATGGGAGAAGAGGGTGGCTCTTTGGGGTGACAACAAGAAAGAAGTTGCGCAGACTTATACCGATGCGATTGCGGCCATTCAGCCAAAACGGGCTGTTGGTGCCTTTCATCAACTCTGGGCCAACTACGCCAAGTTTTACGAGCGTGGTGGTGATTTGCGAAATGCTCGCATCATCATGGAGAAGGCTGTCAAGGTCCCCTTCAAGTCCGTGGCTGAGCTCGCTGACATGTGGATTGAGTGGGCAGAGATGGAGTTGCGGAACGAAAACTTTGATGATGCCGTCCGAATCATGGCCAAGGCCGTACAGGCGCCCAAACGATCTACCGTCGACTACTTCGATGAAACCCTATCGCCACAGCAAAGAGTTCACAAGAGCTGGAAGCTCTGGAGCTTCTATGTCGATCTCGTGGAGAGCGTCTCGACCCTGGAGGAGACCAAGAAGGTGTACGAACGAATATTCGAGCTTCGCATTGCAACCCCTCAGACCGTGGTCAACTACGCCAACCTGCTGGAAGAACACAAGTATTATGAGGAGTCGTTCAAGATCTACGAACGAGGCCTGGATCTCTTCAGCTATCCCGTTGCCTTTGAGCTCTGGAACTTATATCTAACCAAGGCTGTTGACCGGAAGATTGGGATCGAACGACTGCGCGATCTCTTTGAGCAGGCTGTCGAAGACTGCCCTCCCAAGTTCGCGAAAACCATTTATCTGATGTATGGTAATCTCGAAGAGGAACGTGGACTAGCTCGACACGCCATGCGCATTTACGAGCGAGCCACCCGAGCGGTTGCAGACGAGGACCGTGCCGACATGTTCAACTTTTACATCACGAAATCCGCATCCAACTTTGGCCTTACATCGACCAGGCCAATTTATGAGAGGGCCATTGCAGCTCTTCCTGATGTCGAAGCCAAGGACATGTGCCTCAAGTTTGCAGACATGGAGAAGAGGCTGGGTGAAATCGACCGAGCCCGCGCAATCTACGGACATGCTTCCCAGTTCTGCGACCCCCGAACCAACCCCGACTTCTGGACGAAATGGGAGCAATTCGAAGTCCAGCACGGCAACGAGGACACTTTCAAAGAGATGTTGCGGATCAAGCGAAGTGTGCAGGCCCAGTACAACACGGATGTCAATTTCATCGCATCACAAGCATTGGCACGTAGCCAACGCCGGCCCGGTGCTGCAGAAGATGCTGAAGTTGTGGACGCAATGGCAGCACTGGAGAGACAGTCAAGGGCACCACAAGGATTCGTGGCAGCAAGCACGGGCCCAACAGGGGGTAAACCGGTGCCGGCAGCCGTTACCTCGAACCCTGACGCGATCGAGATTGACGGTCTTGATGATTGATACGGCGATTTCGGAAGGTTTTCTGGTTTGGGTAGGTCGCAATAGGTTTAATGTACAGATGGTTTCTCAACGACTTGTTCCTTTCACTTCTTCATCCCAACATTTCTTTGTTATACATCCAATATATATCGCCCAAAGGCGCAGTTCCTTCTCAAAAGATTATGCTCATTTACCAACCCAGTTCTTTTCGGTCATCTTGGACCAGTACTTGTCGGCGTAGTTCCTGTCGACGTGGCCATCGCGGGATCCCGGCGTGGCATAGATGGAGCCCTTTCGTTTTTGGAAGCGGCTAGGGGGGACCTTTGAAGCGTCTGTATTCGATATCAGCATTGGAGGACAATTGGTGCCTCAAGGCAGTGTGACAAGTGATTCTGACCCCATTCGTCACTCATCCGGCGGTCTTGTGCATCGCTCGCCCGGCGATCCTGTGGGGAGGAACCAACGACGGGGGACTGGTCTACGACAGGCTGTTCAGTGCCCTGCGGGTTGTTGATGGGTTGCTCCATGATTCAACTGGTTGGAGTTCGATCAATGACGTGTAGGTTGTGTGATTTCAGAATTGATATTAGGAGTGGTTTGTGTTCTGTTGTAGGCTCTCTTAGCTGACCAGAGTAATACAGTCAGAAAGGAGGTCTGGGGTGTTCGATGTCCGGGTGTTTATATGCTTCACGGGGAGGGAAAGACGGAGGGTTTACCCCGCAAAGCCTGTACGTCTACCATGTCCTCGCTTCATCAAAGATTAACCAGATTGTGACTTGCAATGGAATTGGATCGGTCCTTGGTTCGTCGAGATACGGAAACAGCCAACCGAACGCAAGGGGGCAGGCGGGCGTGGCGCAGAGTCCGGATCACCGTGGCCATTGACGTCACGGTGATGGTCACGATACAGAGAAGACTTGTGGTGAATGGACAAGCATCAAGGTGAAGAGGTTGCCGCTATCTAATCTCCTGTACACCTACAGGTACGAATTGGTGAAAGATCAGCAACCTCCAACTACGAGGGAGCTCAGCGATTGGGTGAGGGGCCCTTGATGATGGCGAGGCAGCAAGATGGTGGTGGCCGTGTAACGCTACAAGGACAAAGGGGCAAGCTAAACAGAGGTACCGTGACCATATCTCGCTTGCTCCTCAAACGGCCATTTGACGGGGCAGCCGGGCAGCAGAACTGTCAGACAAGTTGCCCACGAGCTCAAGTAACGGATGGCTGCGGAATGGGACGTTCTCGTAGGAAGTGGTGACCCTCTTCAGACGGCGATTGGACAGCTGCCTTGGTAGGAGACACCACTAGCAACTCAGCTCTCTACCAGCTTATTGACAATCACAACAGCAGCCCGTTGAGAATTGGGCAATCAAGCTTCGCATATTCGTCTGAGCGTGCGGCAATGGCTACAAAGTTGTGATGGCAGTAAGTGTTGCAGATACCGGAAGGCATAACGGGAAGAGGGGCTTAGGGGAACAAGGTGAGGTCATCAACAATCGACGTAAGATGTGGCTGAGTGATGGCGTACATCTCCCGGCGTCTCTTCAGAAGGTCAAGCTTCCCGTTTAAGCTTTCCTTGGCAGATCTAGGAAACTGCCGGGGCATCGTACTCAGCCCGGTCGAGATCATTTACTCACTCGATTCTTGCTCTCGCCCTAGTGTCGTTCCCCTAGTCCACGGTCCAAGGTCCGGCACATCCAGACCGAGTATCCCATGGCTTATTGGTCAAAGCTGTCTAACGAAGGGCTGGTTAAGCACCGAAAGAGTAATGGGTTGAAGGACTCGCATTCTTGAAGCGAGTCGTGATTCGCTGCCGTTGGCAAGTACCTTAGCTCAAACCTTCCGTGGAGCACACAACACCTTGACCCTTGACGGGAACTTAGTCATCCGGTGAATCTGACTCACACTGTGTGGGTAAAGCTCTCTTGGCCAATCAGCACCAAGGCAACCTGGCCTGCTTTGCCTGAGCACATTGGACGCTTGTTTGAGAAACACCAAAAGATCGCTGTTCGGCATCGCCATTCTTTCAAGAGGATAGAGGCATATGCTAATCATAGGCCACTCCTCAAATATTTCCTGTGCATTTTCCATTGCGCGTCTTACTGAGCAGGGTAGAGGGGTAAGTCCTACTCCGAACAAGTTGTCAAGATCCTTCATCTCAACGGCATAGACAAGTTATCCACAAGAGAATTACTCAGGCTGCCGCATGTGTGGCTGAGAATCCTGCTGATTTGACCCTGTTCTATGCTCAGGCGCCTGGCTGTTCCGGGTTCTGCCATGAAGAGGAAGCTTGACTCATTCCTCAAGGACAAGCATTCACCCTCGAGCTATAAAATAGCAGCACTCTCAACCGCTTCGTCCTCATCTCCAACTCGGCCATCCATCCGAGCCTCAAGCCCCGCCATGGCTACAACTACAATTCAGCTTACTCCTCGGGAACAGCAACTCCGTCGCCTTCTTCTCGATGTCGCCAAGTCAATAGACGAGGCCGGCACCGCGCCTGAGCCTATTGTCCTTCGGTGGGCTGGTGGTTGGGTCCGCGACAAGCTCCTCAACATCCAGAGTCACGATATTGATGTTGCTATCAATGCCATGACAGGTGTTCCGTTTGCTCAGCATATGTGCGACTACTGCGAACAGCCAGACGCCATCGCCAAGCACGGTATTGGTCCCGACGACATTGGCAGCTTGCACAACGTTGCTCGCAACCCTGAGAAGTCCAAGCACTTGGAGACAGCAATGGTCAAGATTTTTGGTCTTGATCTCGACTTTGTCAACCTTCGCAAGGAGACGTACACCGAGGACAGCCGCAATCCCCAGATGGAGTTTGGTACTGCTGAAGAGGATGCTCGCCGCCGCGATGCCACGGTGAACGCTCTATTCTACAACCTACATGACGATCGCATTGAGGATTTCACGGGTGGACTATCAGATATGGATTCCAAGATCATAAAGACTCCCCTCGAACCTTTCCAAACCTTCATGGATGATCCTCTACGGGTCCTACGTCTTGTCCGTTTCGCCAGCCGACTTCAGTTCACAATTGACCCCGACACAAGAAAGTTCATGGCGAATCCCAAGGTTCTTGAAGCACTACGCCTCAAGATCAGCCGAGAACGAGTTGGCGTGGAGCTGGAAAAGATGTTGAAAGGTTCGACAACACTCAAGCCCTGATTGGGTCGGTCTGTGACTCCAACTGACACATTAATAGGCGCCCATCCTTATCAAAGCCTCGAGTTCATTGATGAGCTGCAGCTCTTCCCTGCCATCTTCACAGACCCCACCCGAGAGGATCTTCCTGTACCGGATGACTCCCGGTGGAGAGTTGCCTACAGCTGCCTTCAAGACTTGCTGCAAGACCAAAGTCCATCCTCCATTGCTAGTCAACTGGTCCAAACCGACGACGCTACCTATACTGCCTGGAATCTCGCTGCTATCTGCCCCTGGATGACGGTCGAAGAGCCCCCGAATTTCCGAAAGAAAGCAAATTCCCTCCCACTTGTAGCAGTGGTCGCCCGTGAAGGCTTCAAAGCCCCAAATAAGTTGTCAGACATCATTGCAGCCTCACATCGACACCGCGAGGAGATCATGAAATTGAAGAGAGGTGTTTACGATGGAGAGTCGTTCATCCAAGAGCGCGATCGATTTGGCATGGCTATTCGAAAATGGGATACTCCAGCAGGCTCGTGGAGGCTACAGGTGTTGAATGCCCTGCTGGTCGAGGCCTTAGAAACTCTTCCAGAATGGAGCCAAGAGAAGTCTCAGAGTAAGTCACAAGCAAGGTGTTGAATAACCTGCTCAGTACGACAGGTGCTAACGTGGTTAGAACAAGAAGAGCTCGTCGCGGGCTGGGTAGCCTTCCTCGACCATCTAGCCAAGCTGGATGTCTGCGATGCTCCATCGCTAAAGCGTCTCCTAGACGGGCGCCAGCTGGCTAAAGCTCTAGGGACCAAGCCAGGGAAATGGACTGGGCAAGCCCTTGACATTTGCGTCGCATGGCAGCTCCGTCATCCCGGCGAGACTGACCCAGCTGGTGCTATTGAAGAAGTGCGGAAGAGGCGCGAGGAGTTGGGGATACGGTAGAAATAGTAGCATAACTCTTATCCAAAATGCTACAAATACCTCTTCTCTCAATGTTAGAGACGGATCCACCGATACATATTCCATATTGAGGGTGCATAGCGTTGTGTAGAATCCGATTGCTTGTTCACGGTGCAGAACCGATCGTCGTCCGTCTCTACATTTTAAGCCGAGGACTGGAGTGGTGACACAATTATCCTATGGTTTCATGAGTCGAAACGCAAGTCAAGTATGCGAAGCCGTATTTAGGAATGTTCTGTTTCGAACGTGGTTGTGTGAATCACATACTGTTTCTGGGACTCGGACTTTACACTGTGCTTCCATCTCCAGAAATATCGATGGAATTCACGACCAAGCTTCTAACTTGGACCTTTGGGCAATTATTATACCACCAACAAAACCTCCACGCCATTCCCCTAATCTTAATTCTTCCAAGCTTTTGAAAATGTCTGACCCTCCCCTCGATCTCGCCTTCAGCGTTCTGGATGGCCTAATAGGCCCTGCAAACATTGAACGTCTCAATGCACTCTCGGGTAAGCCTCTCTAGGCTCCGAGTGGAAACCTGAGGAGCACAGTAGAGCTAATCATTCGCTGCACCTCGCTCAGGTGTTTTAGATAATGGGACTTTGGAAGACTCTATTGACCGATTAAATGCTTGCGAGGACGCATCGGTGCGTATACCTTTGTTTGATACTCTCTACAAGCGCCAGGCTCAGCTTTTGAGGATGCTCCATTGCTAATACGATGGCGATATAGGATCTTCACGGAGCAATCCTACGTGCGGCTGGCCATCTATCAGCGAAGGAAACTTGTGATCTGCAAGATGGACAAATCGAGAGGCTTGTCGAAGCTATCAACAGCAAGGTGCTATCAGCGAAGAACGGCACAGGTATGTCCATCGGCCCGAGTGTTCACACCTCATTTTGTTGGTCGCTAATCCCACATCGAAGACTCTGCCCTTCTTATGGAAGCAAGTTTAGCTTGCTTGAGTGTTCTCTCATCAAAATGCTCTTTTGTTTTGGACCAAGATACTCGCCTCAAACTCATCCGCGTCACAGATGCCCGAGATTCTTGGACTACATTGATCTCTGCAACTACTGCGACAGAACTTCTTGCCCGACAACTGACGGAGGAGGAATTGTCGGATTTCATCGTCGGGCCAGTCCTTCAGAAGACCTTGAGGCCTCTATTTTCGAGACACTCTTCCAGGATCACGGCTTCAGGGCGGCCGTCCCAGTACTCCACAGCCGGAGATCGATCTCGAATGTTTGAAGAAGTCCCAACATGGAAAGACGAGGCACCGTGGGCCGAGACTGCGATACAATGGGCTGTGAATATGTCTACGGTTAGTCTGTTTCTACATCTCTTAGTTGGCTCTTACTGATACTTGGGGTTGTCAGCCTGCTCTCATTCAACAACACTGGCCATTGTTCACACCCGTCCTTCTAGCCCTCGTAGAGAACGAGTCGATAGATGTCAAGTCAAGAGGGCTAGAGATTCTGGCTTCTTTCGTGGCCAAATGCCCAGGCCAAGTGCTTCAGAATACAGGAATCGGCCGAGTTTTTGAGGATGCCACATTCCCGATGCTTCTTTACCTCCCTAGTGTCACACCCGAAGAGCAGTCCACAGCAGTCCTCAGCCCGGCCTACGATGTACTCACCACACTGGCCAAGTCTTCAGAGGGGTTTGAAAACCCTGAACGTCGTCGACTACTCGACAAAGCCCTCAGAAATGGCATCTTCGCCGGACACTTCCATGCCTCTCAATACTCACGGATTGTTCAAGTTCTGATGCAGAAAACAGCGTCTGTAGTCAATTGCTTGGGTATCTATTCAATCAAACACCTAAAGGTAAGGCGCCTGTACAAGATCAAGAAAACGCCACCGGATCGCACTAACTTAAACAAAGCACCTCCTTTCAATGATCTCGTCGATCATGACAGATCCTTTCGCGACCGCGCATCCTCCCACTGTTGTCGCTGCGATACAAGCATTAAACGCCATTATTGCCAATTGCTGGCCTCGAATTCAACAAACTGAGCACGCTGAGCAGATTATCCAAATCCTTTCCTTGTGCTGGCTGAACGTCACTGAGGAGAGCGAGAGTAGCTCAACACAAGTCTCTGAAGCCGATGCTGAAGTCCTGTCTCAAGAGTTGATACACACCTCCAAGATCCTACAAACTCTCTGGGCTGAGGACAATTCCAAGTGTCCTGCCCGGCTCGGTGAAGTGTTGGAAAAGGAGCCTCGGCTGGCAGGATTGTTTACCCCGGCCTTGGCTTAGCGACTGAGGTGTTTGTACGTCTAGTCCAGGGGTTGCTGCTTGAAGAAGGATTTCCCACGCAGCCATTTCCTATAAGCCTTGTATCTCTTCTTTGGGCCATCTTCTTCAGTCACCGTGAGTGGGTTCTCACCCACCTTGAGCAACTCAGCATAGACATCAATTTCTTCCTCAGTCCCTTTGACCATGAGACCCTCATCTTGCCAGCCCCCACTGACATATTCTTGATACTCGGATGAATCAACATCGACGGGAGTGTCGCTGGAGACAACAAGAGGAAGATTTTGTGGGTGCTTGATGTACCTCTCGTAGTCCTCATATTCTTGTTCCGCCACGGATGGATTCAGAGAGTCGTGCACAGCCTTGGTGAAAGTCCACTGTGCAGCCTTGGACTTCTCCAAAGCTGTTTGCTTCGTCTTTGTAGGCGAATCAGGTCTTTGCAAGGGTTGTGTCGTATCCAGTCGTATGCCATTCTGGTAAGCAGTCTTGTCCTGAGCTGGCCCCAACCAACGTTGGAGGGAGATGACCTTTGCTGGCGACTGGCCTGGAGCTGGTTCAGGGGCACCGTTCTTAACTGCCCCCCTAGTGTCTCCTGGAATCTGAGCTGGCACGCTGCCTTTGCTCGCCTCCTTCTTGTGTTTCTTCTTGTCGGCGTGGTCAACATCACCCTCTGTGCGGACTCGGAAGGGACTGAGATCGTATCGGCCATCCTGCGTCGACTTGAGGGGAATATACTTGATGGTCGAATTCATCTTGTAGGCAAACATCTTGGGGAAGGATGAGAGGGTTGAGGGTCTATAGTACTCGAGCCAATAATCATCAAAGAATTCGACGGGATGAGTGCGAGCAATGTCCCGCTTGCGCACATATGGCGGGACCTTCCTCTCTTCAAGGTGTGCTGGGGTGAACCAGTTGATGTAGTCATGCCTCATCCTAAGAGACCAGTCTCTCGGATCGGCATGGTGGAGGTAATAATCGGTGGCCAAGTCCCATAGCATCGGTTGACCCTGGGTGAAGATGTAGTTACCGAGGAACAGATTATAAGCCTCTTGGCGCTGACTATCAAGGAAAGAATTGTTGTAATAGCGCTTGAAGCTCTCAATCATGTCTCGTGAGTGACTCGTCCACTGGTTGATCTTGCGATATGTCTCCATGGTGTTGACAAGTTGCGAACCACCGTACTGAACGGCGATGGTGTCACCATGGTCATGCCACATGTGTGTGAAAAGATTCACCGCATCTGTGTCGTATTCGACCGCAGTATTTTCCAGGATGCCCAATGCATGTAGCTGATGGCCTAACGCCCGCTTGCCGATGACGAATTGTGCTGCGTTTGTACGATCCAAGCAGTCAATGCAATTGGTCCTGGCAACACCGTTCTGTGCCGTCATAGGGCTCGTGATGCCGTCACCGTTTTGGAAAAAGCCCGTCGTAGTGACCACCGACTCGGCGATGAGTTCGAGATTACCGATCACATCACCGCCACGCACTTTTGAAGCCCGGCTCATGTCCCACGCCTTGTGAATGATTTTCTTCCCCTCGGGTAGGAACTGGTTCAGATAGTCGATGGCGTGCGTGTACTCTTCCAGTAGTTTGGACTCACGGGGCTGACGTTCCTTGGCCTTGATCAGGTTCACAACATAGATTGGTGCGCCATAACGCTCGAAGAGGTTATCAAAATGCAGGGCAGCCGCTCCGTAGAAAGGGTCAACTAAGTTGAGCTCGATCGGGGGTTTGGGTGTGACGCCAGTATTATCTTGGGTCCAGTAGAGTGGAATGCTTCCTCTATGCTGGACATAGGAGGTATACTGTGGGCTGCAGTATAGCTGGGGACCAGGTGCGTGAAAGGACGTCGTCAGTGACTCAGCAACAATTTGCTCCGTCTCAACGTCGTTGGCGACGTATCCCTAGATAATGTGGTGAGCATATCGTCGACCGATTGCCTCAGGCTTGATGCTATAGGGAAGGGGTCACATACAAGATCATTAGCTCCTCGTTTTAGGAATCTAGCACCGGCAAAGTATCGTGACCGTCTTGCTATGACTGTGATGTGAGCAGTACGTCCATATATGGACAAAGCTATCGCCAACTATCAGTAAGCCCTTCTTTTACAATGACCATCTTGCACTCCATGGCACACTCACCAGCCTGGTCGATATATCCGTGGATAATCGGCCGACACCAGTCATAAGGATCCCGTAGAGCCTTGACAGCTGGTTGCAATAGGTAGTCATTCCACACAAACATCGAGTTGAAATCCTCATCCGATGGCGGTAAGATGCCCTGAGCCAGGGCTTCGCGCTCCCGAATGACATTGTGCTGTAGAGTGCGCGTGACATCGTAGGAGTAACTGTAGTAGAAGGATCTGGTCAAATCGAGATTGTTTAGAATGCCGAGAAATCGCTGCTCCTCAGTGTTGCGCGTGTCTGGCTTGAACTTGGCTGGCGTTAGGGGAACTAGTTCTGTGCCCTCGATCTGGTATATGTAGTGTCCTCCCACCATGGCGACGGTGCTCTTCTTGGTGATGAGGAGCATGTAATATGGCCCGGTGAATTTTATGAAGCCCAGTAGCCCCCATGTAGTGCAGCGTAGCTTGATTCCACCTGTCCCTCGGTTTCCGTCGTCGATGGTGTCCAACAGTTGATTCATCTCCTTGAGACTGTATACAATCTTGTCGTCCGTCATGTTCAGCTCCGCACCCTCGGTCGTTCGGTCGATCTTAAGAATCCTGTACCGCTTCTCGCTGACATCGACCCCAACGATATAATACCGACTCGCCGTCTCGTACAGACTAAACTTGTGCATCTTGTATATCAGTCGGTCGGGCACTCGGTCGTCAAAGGTATCAGGAACTGCTCGTGCAGAAGGGTCGGGGCTCGTCGTCCGCATGAAGGGCTTCGCTACCGCAGGTTCGTCATCGTTGTCGTCTTCCCCGACCTGGTTTGGGCCGCCGGGTGCCTCCGAGGATAAAGGGCTTCCGGCGCCATTGTTCTGGAGCAAAGGGAAAACGGGCGCGTCACCGCTCGCGTCGCTGACGGCCGGCAGAGCATCTGAGGGCCCTGAGCTGAGCGAGTCCGGGACACCATACTCAGACATCCTGACAGGCGTGTGGCATGTCCCACAGCCAAAGCCGGACTGTTATAGCCAAAGTATCCGAGTTCGTTGCATGCAATGTCAGGAAATGGGAGCTCGAGTGGAAATGTCCAAGGAGGGAGGGAGGGTTGGGCTTTTCGAGGCTGAGCGTGGCACGGTTGGTTCCAAGAGATGTCGTAAACTGTACAAGAAACTGATATCTTCCAAGCAAGCAAGCAAATTCTCACGTCAAGGTACCCGATGGTTGGTCGTTACCTTTAACTTCCTTATCGCGAGCTTCTGTGCAATGTTGCAAGAACCCCACAGTTCAGATGACGTCGTTGCGTAGCGAGCTCAGGGACCAGCCACTCGTCTTGGCAAGAGCCGCGTCACATGAACGCCCATCCGTTCTCGATGCCTATTGAACGCCTCCACGAGTTCAGTTCACAAGGGGCTAGGTCACCCGATTATATCAATCAAGAGAGCTGTTCTATTATGCGTTTTGTACAGCGTGCTTCTGTTAAGCCATTCTAATATCACAACATATCATCATCCAGACGCCTCAGCACCATAATGGTAATACCATCACCCTCTTCTATCCGCCAGTGGTCATTATTTACTGCTCCTCGCTTGCCTCCTCTTTCTTCTCCTCTTTCTTTTCCACCTCCTCGGCCTCCTCGCCCTTCTCCTCAACCTTGGCACTGCCCTCTTCGGCCTGCTCCTGATGCTCTTCTTTCTTTTCCGCACTCTTCCTCTCAGCCTTCTCCTCGACGGCAGGCTCATCGAGAGCAAGATCGCCGCGAAGGTCGGGCAGGAAACGGTCGATGCGCTTCCAAGTCTCCGACCATAGCTCCTCCTTAGAGGGATCCTTGCTTGGTGACACCAGGTATCCACTGCTGGCCATGAACAACAACACGTTCTTAAGGTTTTCTCGAACTGCCTCCTCCTGTGCAATACAATGTCAGTGACTACACGACCAGTGAGGTTCTCATTCGACTTACAAGGCTGTCTCCCTGGCCACTGTTCATGAGGCGATCCATAATCTCGATGATCTTAATCCAGAGATCCAGCATACCATCCCATTCGGACAGAAGCACCATATACTGAAGGAACACTTTGCAAAGAAGGGAGGCGGACTGGACCCTCATCTCACTCATTCCATCTCGGTCAGATGAGAAGACCTCTGGCTTGAGGAGTTGGATGATCAAGGGAAATAGGACCTTGCCAAAGATAGCAGTCCATTCCTTCGGGTCACTGCAGGTCAGCTCTGGTGAAAGCAGAGATCGCTGCAGGGCGGAGAAAGCCAGTTGTCGAACATCTCTGCAAGGGTTTGCGCATTGTGTTGTCAAGGCCTGGAAGATTGGCAACCAGTACGCCGACCAGGCTAGGCGAATTTTGTTAGCAAAGTTCATTTGGCGGTCATGTTAACAGTCATGACGAACCTTCACTGCTCTCGAGCTGAGATTGCTGCATAAGATGAGGGATGCGATCCGTCATGTTGTACAGCATATTGACGGCCTTGGACCCTCTCGCCACAGCTTCCGCTTGGCTATCATCCCATGTCAGTAAACTAGCTTTCGTGTCAGGCGAAGACACGTACCGTTTCTTATCCTGCTTAGGTGGGTTCGACCTCTGAGGTCGAGGGCTGCGTGTCTGAATGACAGTGTGCTTGGGGCTGGCAGCAGAAGCAAAATCGTTGAGCAAGGAAATTGCCGCCTCATAGTTATCGGCCATGATTGCGGGTGGTGTCCCGGTAGTTCCCTTTTCAAGGATCTCGAAGACCAGCGCAGCGGCTTCGGGACGTTTAGCTAGGGCACGAAGGATGGCCCAAAAGTCGGGCGATGTCATCATTTCACGCCTCAAGGGGCCAGATTCATCGATGCAGAGGGCAAGGCCCTGCAACACCAGATCCGAGTTTTTGCCCAGTGCATCTTGTGGTAGGCTTGAGATGGTATGGAGCAAGAAAGGAACATTGACAAAGTCGTGGTCCTAGAAGGTGTCAGTGTGGAATTGGGGCACGTTAGCAACAACACTTACGTAGCCTGTCTTGAGGAGCTTGAGGGCGTAGAACGCAGCTCGGGACACCGTGATCGCGTGGTATTGGCTCGAGTCACGAAGGACGCCTTGGAGCGTGTCGAAAACTATCTTGCCCATGTCCTCGACCGACTCCTCATCCCTGGTTGCCAACAAAGTGCAGAATTCCAGAAGGTATGTGACACTGGGGTCATATCTGAGGTGTCCTGAGGGAGGGACGTGGCCGTTTGTGGGAGATCCAGGCATGCTCTCATGCTTGACACTGATCACCGTCGTTGTAGAGTCCTCGGGAAGTTGATCGATGAGAGCCTCAACCACCGCCTTGGCAACCGACGCATCAAGTTTACTACATGATAGTTAGCATCCAGGTACCAGAAAGGAGCAAGACAAACTTACGCAAGGTTGTCGAATACCGCATTCATTTTACAAGACTTGATGCAATCAATTGTGCAAAGTGTACTCTCCAATTCCTCATCTGATGGCTCGGGCGGGTCATCAGCGGCATAGCTCGAGATGTACGAAGTGAAAGCAGAAAAGAAGCCTGTCTCTGCGTTTCGTGCCACTCGGTCAATGACCTGTGAGGGGGTTTGCAAGGGGATGGGTGGTAGGGGCATGGCTGTCAAACTGCTCGGGGAGAAGGATGGTATCAGAGAGTTGGTGAACAGATTGAGCCATATGCGAATGATCTAGGGAATGGTTAGCAATGTTTTCAAGCCCATAGGTGGAAAACATACATATTTCCAGCTCTTGCGGATCAACTCTTCGCTATCAGTGACGACACGGAAAAGCACCAGAGTCGCAAGCTGGGCTCTAAAGTCCCTGCCCAGCTTAACAGCGAGCTCGCTAACCATAACACTGCCATCCCCGGCTTGGACTTCGGTATTAAGCGAGGTGTTGAAGGGAGATTCGGTTGCCAAAGTAGACATGTGGCTCAGGACATAGACAATTTGGTCGAGGGCTTCGGTGTTCTGGTACTTGGTGGCGATGCGTGCGCATTCATCAAATCCAGTGACGATTCGCGCAAAGACAGCGTCGTCCGTGGCAGACATGAAAACATAAGACAGGGTAGAAACAATTGGCTTCCAGGTCGTAGCGAACATGTCGGCATCATAAATATTCGTATCGCAAATGATCAGGCTTCCAGAAGACTCAGTCTTAAGGAGCAATTCTCTCCAGGCATAGTCGAAGGCGTGCTTGTTGTCATGTTCGTCAGGGAGAATGATTTCGTTGGACTTGATGGACTCGTAGATGCCCTGCAGGTATTCCGGAGCAAAGTTCTTGCCATTGTTTGTTCCCCTGAGGTTCTTGGAAAAGTCCTCCAATTTCATGCGCTTCTTGGCATCCAGGTTCGGGTTGTGCTGGTCGGTGTTGAGCAAGATGATGGCATATGTCAGAATGTACACCGCATCCTTGTCTGCAACTTCTTCTGTGGTGTCATTGGAGCAGTACTTATCCGCAAAGGACTCGACGATCGTGGAAATCAAAGGCGCTTCTCCTGGCAGGCGGAATGATTCGAGTAACTGTCTCAAGGCCTCGTCCACTCTCTTACCAGAGAAGTCAAAGGAATCGAGGAAAGCCTCAAGGATAGCCTCATTGCCTCTCTTAGAGAGGAAGTCACCGAGCACCTTCTTGTTGATACGGGAAGTTCCCTTGAGAAACCTGGCCACAGCAACGGGGTCACTGGCATTCTCGATAATACCTTGCGCCTCCAGGTAGCCCAAACCTGCTTTAGGTTTCTCGTTGAACTTGCCTGCTCCCTTGATGATGAGCTTCTTTCTCCGCCTCTGCTCCCGCAAAGTGGCCGGATCAGGATAGCCATCAGTAACGGGGTCATCAACCAGCCGTTCGGCGATGAACTGGATATATCGCAGCAGGGCATCGAGGCAGAGAGGGGGGACGCTTGTCGTGCTCCATGTGGCTGAGTCCGGCAAAGCATTCCTCGAGAGAAGTCCAATCATATCCTCGCAAAGATCAGCTCGGTCAACGTCGCAATCGTAGTTGATGAAAAGCTCTGCCATGAATGTTGGCATTCTCGACAACACTCCCAAACTCTCAACCATGGCCTGACGAGCATCTGGCTTGCGGGCGCCCCCTTCTAGGCCAAGTTTCTGGCGTTCCCCGACTGGAACGGGGGTCGATCGCCCACTGTTGGGTTTGGGGTTCAGTGGGATGCCAGCGTATAGAGATGGCTCGATTCCAGGTTCCCGAGGAATCTCAATCTTGGGGTGGAGACATGTGACCAGGTAAGACAAGAACAGCTCTTGCTGCAACTTGAGAACACCACGGCAGGTCGCAAGTAGCGTGCCAGCAACAGTGAGAGATTCTTGAAGAACAGCCATGTTGTCGGATCTTACAAGCTGAAAGAGGTAACAGCACAAGCGGTCCTCGGCGATAACAGCCAATGCAGGGTGCCGAGAGATGAAAGGCCCAGAAACCTCAAGAGCGACGTGAATGATGCGCAAAGCCATGACCCTCATATTATCAGTGTGCTGTCGCTCCTGAGGGTCCAGGAAGTTGACCAGAACCCGGAAGAGCTCGCGAACGGAAGGCAGAGAATAGGGTCTGAGGTCAACAGACTCCGTCTCTTCGGTGCGCTCGCTCGCAGTGGCTTGAGGTGTCTCCGAGTTTGACGCTATCTCCCTGCTACTCCGCTCAAGGTCCGGGGTCGCTGTTCCAGACAGCCCCAAACTCGTGGGCTCGGCGGACAAACCTTCAGCCTCAGGGGCAGGGGCCTCCATTCTGACGCTATCGAGGTCGTCGTCCACTTGCTGCTCCAACGCATCAGCATCCTCGCCAGCTTCAAACTCGAGGTGCTTGATGTCTTCGAATATGATTTGACACATCCTGACCATGGAAGCCTCAGCGGTCCTGCGCAAAACGGGAGAAAATCGAGGTTGGGAGCAGATAGCGAGGCCACGGCCCATCATGTCGCAGACGCTCTCGTCGCTCAAGATATCTCCGCCGGGGCCTGACATCATATCCTCCATAAGGTTTAGAATCATGAGAAGTACAACCTCGACCTGTCCTGAATCGCTAATGTCGAATTGGCAGTGTGTAACGGCTGCTGAGAGGGACTGCATCGCGAGGGCAAATCGGGGCGACTCTGGGCAGATGAAGCCATACGCCAGAAACTTCCTCAGTGCGCCGAGGGCCAGAATCGTAATGGGGGCAGCGGTGCCTTTGGCTTGGATGACGTGCAGGAACGGTGCGAGGATTGCAGGAGCATCGAATGACCGGATATCTAGACGCAGAATGTTAGCTACAACAATCTATCATGACGGAGGAGCGAGCTGCGAGGATCGACGCACCTTTGACACCAGCGAGCTCATGCCTCAACTTTCCAAAACCAGTGATCATGGGGTTGTCCTGCATGCTCTTGCCTCTCTGGCCGCGCAGTCCCCAACGATTGGTGAGGCCATCATGGGACGCATCGTCGCTGAGCCTCGCCGCGGGGCTCTTACTCCTCCCGCGCGGAGACGGGCTAGGAGGCCCAAGGTGAACGGGATTGGGGCTTCCTCCAAGAATGGCGGACACGGACGAGTGCGGTGAGCGCGCATGCTTCTGGATGGCGGAAGTTATAGAGATGCATTCTGAAATAACCAACGAGACAGGGTCGACTGCGACAGAGACGGGTCGGCTTCGGTACTGCATCCGAGGAGGGAGGGTGCGGTGCTCAAAGCTGGAAACCCCAGAGGGCCGAGGGCTCTCCATCGTTACGGGTTGCTGTTCATCGCGATTCATGATCTTCTGGACTCGAGAACGGTCGTCGAAATGTGCGACCAAGCGATTCGCTCAGGTTCGGGGCGGCCGAGAACGTTGGAATCGGAGGTTCTGTAGGAGCTGCCACTGGCTAGATTTAGTATCGCACAGCGGAAAAAAGAAGACAAGTGTTCCCAGAAGACACGAAGACCGCGTCCTCTCTAGGGAATCTTGGGGACCGCTGGTAAGAGGTCGGGCGCTGCCTGGACAGTTGTGAGGGTGGATGATGGAAGATCAAATCGCTACGTAGCGCACTGCTAGCTAAGGCACCACTAACAACGTCGCGTGGAAGTTGCGCTCTGTCTTTCTCCAAGGTGTCGTCCAGCGATCTCGCTGATTGGCTAGCTGTCACAGGTCCAGGGACTTCACTGACCCCCTTATTTGGTACAGTCTGAACAGTTTTGGGTACTGTAAGGCTCAACAAATGCAAAATATCATGGATGTCAGCCTCACTGTCTTGACGATCTAATAGGTGCGTACGAAGTCAGTTTGCAAGTTTTTTTATTTTCTGTCCATCGCCTTCCTCAACCTTGGTTCTTGAACCTGTTCAGAGGCTATCCATTCACGAAAGAGTATTTAGCTAATGGTTCATGGAGCTCATCGTATCTTTTTTAGTGGGGACCTTGCCTTATGAGCGACAGAGTAGCTAGTCATATCTAAGAAAGGGGGAGAGTTAGGTCGAGTGTCCAAACCAGACCATGCTGACGTTGCTCAAGTCGAGTAATATGGCAATGTCCAAATGCTTAATCTTGTATCTTTTAGTTGGATTGTAACCAGTAACCATTTCCCAACCAAACGCCTTCTACAACATCCTCGAGGGTAGTTACCCTCGCACACCCTGCGTGCCCAACTGGAAGCGTCCTCCGAATCAACCCCAAGGACGCCCATAAAGTCATATATTGTACAGCACATAGCCTCCGCTGGCCAGACGCTGCTCAAGCAGCTGCTTTGACCACCTTCTCCTTCTGGGCGGCATCGCCAGCCGCATTGGCTGCAGCTCCCTCAGCCGCCTTTGCCTCTTGCCCGACCGGCTTTCCTCCATCCTTGACCGCCTTCTCCTCTCCCTTGACCGCCTTGACCTCTTCATTGGCCGCCTTTGGTATGCTCGCGTCCTTCGCAGAGTCGGCAGAATCACCCTGACCCTTGTGAGGTTTGGCCAAACCGTCTCGGCTGGGAGCGTTGCCTGGTTCCTTGATAGGCTTCTGTTGCGCCACCAGATCCTGCATCTCTTGCTTATCTTTTTCCCACTCATTCCGGGTGTCACTATACTCCTCCTTGATCTTTTGTTGGTTCTTCTTCTTCTCTTCTTCCTCCTTTTCACGAGCAAGTCGCTCTCGCTCCATTTCCTGCAGTAATCATTAGATCGAGGGGGCCCAGTAGGTGCAAAGAAGAAGAGGAAACAAACCTCCATATGACGGATATCATCCACACTAGGCTCATACAAATGCCAGATGGTGTAGTGTGGCAGGCCTACGACAGAGTACTTCATTCTCTTGGACATCTAGCCAGCCACGTTAGTATCTCGGAAACTGAACTGTGACGAGGAAGTCACCCACCTTGCCAAATCCTTCTGTCTCAGCATGTTTCTCGAAGCTGAAAGCCGGGAAATGGACACCAGATCGGAAGACCTTGGCCTTTGCCAAGATACTGACTCCTCCAACACCATCAATCTCCATTTCCATGTCTGGGTCGCCAAATGGATCGCGGAGATACGCCAAGTGAGGTCTCCATGTAGCATACTCGGCGTAACCTTCGACGATAACAGCATCTTCATCAAGTGTATCAGCGAGTGCCAAGGCCGTCTCAGACTCCTGCCAAGAGTTCAGATCATAGGGCTGCTCTCCACCAAGCCAGTCAGGCAACGGCCGCCAAACGTCTGGAATGGGTTAGTGTCGCGAAACTTTTCGCAAAGCCATGATGATTATTGACTTACTGGGAACAATGACATCCTTGTTATGGCGCATGAGATCCTCGAGAATCGTAAAGGGAGCTGTTTCAACATCGACGTCACGCCAGTAAACCCAGGAGTGATATGGTCGCAACGCGGCGCTGAGCAGCCAGTTGCGAGCCTGTGCCATCAGCTTTCTTCGACTGGCCTGCGCAGCGAAACCGTGACGACTCTCGACATCCTGGTTGACCTTCTGACCAAAGTCCTTCTCAATGATAGATATCTCACCATAAGGTTGCTTCGGGTCCTCGTCGGCCTGGATTGCCTCAAGGTTTTCTGACAATACCTCCAGCGTTCGGTCCTTAGAGTCGGAGACGAGGAAAGCAAGGTCGATCAAGTGATGAGGATAGGTGAAGTTGCGAAGATGGGAAAAGAACATGGTAAGATGAGGTTCGGCATCTCTGAGCGGCACACACAGAAGAATGCGCTCCTCACGTTCCCATCCACGGGCGGTGCCCTGGACTGTGGTCAAATCGTAGTATCGAACTGTCTCCAGCTCAGGAGTGCCGCTGGTCGAGAGAAGGCCGAAGGAAACGAGGGAGGCGACAGAGCTGGACGGCCATAGCCACAGGCTAAAGACGAACAGAATAAGACCGACGACGGCTAGGCGAACAAGAAGCTTCTTGCGACGGCGTTGAGCGGGCGTCAATGTTCGTGGTTGGAATCTGGCGAGCATCCAACTGTCAGCAACAGACTCCCAGAATCATGCGCATGCGACGCCCCAGAGACGTAGCTTGCAGCTTGCATGAGCCCAGAGGAGGGGCACCTACTTGTGTGGAGAGATGTCAAAAGTGTTGCCGCGTGGGTAGCCGTTGGAATAGGCGGCGGCGTTGTGCCGGGGCATCATCTTGGAGTTGGTCGTTGGCAAGGCATAGGAGGACATTGAACGACCTTTGCGCGGAGACGCTGGGCGTCGCGTCCCTAGATCGCACTCGAATTCGAACGCAAGATTGTCGTGCGCTGGCAAAAGACCGGCGGAGCGAGAAGATGGTTGATGGAAAGCCCAGAAAAGTGGTTGATGTTAGGAGGGCGACGCAGGGGATGCGATGCCCAAGGGACTACCAAGCACAGCGGGTGGCTCTCAACGTCGCACGGTGGGCTCTCGTATTCCTGATCTCTTTCCAGCCTCGAAATCGCCTTCGGCCGTATTCGATCGCGTTGCGTTGTCGTAGTCTTCGTCGAACGAGTGTCGTTGCGCAAGGGCAATGTGGCTACAAAGCCGACCGTTTCTCTTGGGGAATGGGATACGAAGTGCTGCGTGCCAGGGCGAGTCGGCCGCCGAAATGCATGTGTTCTGGTCCCTTTAGTCGAGGGAAGGGGTCGTGGGGCAGTTTTTGATTGGATCCCTCGACATCAGCTTATCCGAGACTAGGCCCTGACAAGAACACCTGTACGGTCCACCTTCGGCGAAGTTTGCCCTGAGATGATACTTGGCGGTGCGTGAGATGGTTCAATTCTGAGAGGTGGGTAGAGGAGTGTACCTTGAATAAAGAGAGAAAGTGTCTTGCTCTTCAACTAAATTCGCATGATGACTCTAGGAGAACATGACCACCTGCAGGGGTGCTTTAAAGCTCTAGATAGTGGAGGATTATATCTAGGCTTTACACGGCAATCTCCTTTATACGCGCTGTGCAGGGGTGGTAAGATGTCACTTCTATCTAACAGACGTCACAAGCGGCCAGGTCATCATTAATTGGGATGGGGACTCCTCAGGGCCTGGAGAAATGTCCTCCGAGATGTGAGGTGATCGCGATCTCGGGGCCATCGAGTTGGATTTGGACTGCTGTCCGTTGTTCACAAGAGCATGCTGAAGTGGACGGGATCAAGGTCTAAGAATAGGACAAGAGGCCCATGTATTGTATTTGTCATTATCTACCTGGGGTTACAATAGAATACCCCTACCTACCTGTGGTTGTGTACGTCAAGTGGCTCGGAGTGGCGTCCAGTTTCTCTCTGAATCCTTTTGCATTCGTTAGTGAATGTCAGGCGTTAATGGAAGAAAACAGAGAACACATCTGTAACCAAGGAAGAATGCGATAATTCAGACAAGCCGGTTTACTCAGTCATCTCAGCCGGCCCTGACTACTAACAACCCAGAACGAGCCACCAGCACCCCGGACACTGGAGTCGGCATAACACCCAAGAGAAACTCCACAACCGGTCATCAGCCCTCCGAGAAGGACCTATGGTGCGGGAGGGCGACTTGGCCAAGATGAAGTCGTTGAATGGATAGAACTTGTGTCATCATGAAACACAATCCCCTTTGCACCTCAAGTTCACGCGATAGACTTACTGAGAAGATTGGCAATTGGGGCGCGTCAGGACTGTTCGGAGACTCAGGTGTTCCTAGCACTTGTATGGGGTTAGCTTCAAGTTACACAGGCAAGATGAAGCAAAGGGTAGGAGTAAAGTCAAGTATCAGAGATCTTGGTTTGGTAATTTAGGAGTCATCACAGCGCTTCAGAAGCAGAACTGAATGAAAGGTTTCTCATCATCGACTGGGGGCAGGTGGGGGCTGAAAGCGAAAAGTGTACGAACCTTGCAGGAGTCGAGTCCATTCGATTTGGTGGTAGAGTATAGCAAATTTGCCTAGCGCTTTTCAAACCAGTCAGTACAAAGTTGACCATATGGCGGTTTGATCATGAGAGAAATAGGCAATGTCGTAGTGGTCAGATGGTAGTGCATGTTGTTCAGACGCTCAGGTATCGCGGGAACAGTGGTGTGAAGGATCATCATTTGGGCGCAGAGAAAACGCGTGAATCGCGACGTACCTTTTGCGATTGGCAACGAGAGAGAGCCTGAGTAGAATCCAAATCAGCACCGTGACATATTTCAGCAGATCATCAGAATTTTGATCAATCTTGCTCGTCAGGAGTGTGCGTTGGAGAGTAGACAAGCTCTCGAGTGTGATGAAGAGGAAGAAGAAGAGTGAGCTTGAATGGTGGTCGCGAGAAAATTTGAAGGCTTCAGAGATGGGTCCTCGGATGACTAATCTACGCGATAGTGTTACCCACTTCGCTTTATTGCATAAAGAGCCTCACTTGAAAACAACCAAAATCCATGCTCGCATCGATGAAAGCTGCGAAGGTCAAAAATTGATTCAGTAGAAAATGGCAGATCGACGACGCATCAACGGTCCTGGAGGTGTCACGATCCCTCCGGTATATGAGGCAGATGAATCTTCTGTCACGAGTCGGACACGACCTCCGAATGGTGTTCGATCGCAATGTGAGTGCCTGCATGCCTCATAACTTTTACTACTGCAGGGGACTAACATACGAATCAGACTTGAGGACTGGGGTAACTGCTTCAGCATCTGGATCAGCATACTTGGAGATTGAGTCTCAAGATGCATCTGGTAGCAAAGGCATGAAGCTCACATGTACGGTTCATGGACCCAGATCGCTACCACGATCGGCTCCCTTCTCTCCTCACATGGTTCTGTCCACTCACGTCAAATATGCCCCCTTCGCTACACGCCAAAGGAGGGGATATCTACGCGATGCCAGTGAGCGCGATCTCAGCTCTCATCTCGAGGCAGCCCTCCGCGGAGCCCTCATTGCGGACCGATGGCCCAAGAGCGGAGTGGACGTCATCGTCACCATCGTCGAAGGAGACCAGGCTCGACAAGTGGCCGTTGAGCAAGGAAGCGAGGAGTGGGATATGATGAACGTACTGAGTGGATGCATCACAGTCGCGGCGGCAGCTCTCGCCGATGCTGGTATCGACTGTGTTGATACAGTCTCAGGAGGAGTTGCAGCGCTGGTGCCCGGCCAAGACGACAAAGAACCTCTTCTGGTGCTGGACCCGGTCCCATCAGAGCACAAGGATATTCTAGCGGCCTGTTGCGTTGCGTACCTCCCCGCGCGGGACGAGATCACAAACCTATGGCTAAAGGGCAGCCTCCCATCATCCGACGCCAACCTCCATCGGGATCTTGTCGCACGCGCGGTGCATGCGAGCAAAGCGGCCAACGAGGCAGTGGCAGCATCTCTCTGTGAATCTGTACTTGCGGGTTGACAGATGAATTCTTTTTGTGTGGCAGGTTTGGAAAACCCGTGAATCCCTCACCAGCGCCAGCGAAGTGCAGCCCCCCAGCGAGCAAAGATTCAGCTTCGTTTCACCACTTGGGCAACACGGAGAAGTCAAGCGGGTGCATCACCAAGTTGTCATGATGCACCGTTCCATGCGGAGAGATGAACCAGCTTTCTATGGTTGATATCCTGCTGGGCTCCTCCAGGAATTGGAGCACTAAATGGACCAATTTCTCCGATTCAACATGTCCAGTCCTACAGTTGTGCACAACAAATCAAGAAGACGGAAGCAACAGTACTTATCTGGGCATAGAAATAAGAGGAGAATCACAGCCAGTAACCACTGGAAATGAAATTTAATTAAAATGACTCCATTTAACCAATCCGATCTCCAGCTGGTGGCTCATCGTGAAGAGTGCTTGAGTGTCAACTCGGTGCTGAGCAGGCAGTGTCTGAGTACCACTTGGGCCAGCTCTGTTTCCCTGCACTGTGCACTGTGTGCTGGATTGAAATTGGTTCTCCCGCTTGGTTCGAGTCCACCGGGCGCTAACTCCAAGGGGCTAGAAGACTCATCAGCATATGCACCAGGCCTTTCCACTTCTGGCTTAGCAGCAGTCGCGCTACCTGGCAGGTACACTCTCGAGGGTCCCTGGTTGCCAGCGAACCTCCGCTTCGAATGTCAACATTGAGGTACCTAGCCTCATCATTACCCCGGACCAAAGCAGTCAAAGCCGCCGAAGCACGCTTTACCTCGACCATCCAGAGACCTCGAGTGGGCACCTTGGCGACAGGACGCTTCACAATGTCTTGGACGAGACCCATCAATCCGCTCTTGTAAAAACTACAGAACTCGACCATCCGCCATTTGAACCCGTCCCTCCCGCTATCTCGATATCGCCGACCTCGCCCCCAATTACCTCGCTACAGGCCATGGCCGCAGAGCTCGTGCCATCCACGCCATCACCCCTCACGAGCTTCTCGAGTGCCGGCACAAGCCCAAATATCAGCAGCATTGCCAGTTCATGGTATAATCCTGCAGCCTGGACTGTCAACGTAACCCGATATGCGCCCATCCTCGAGGATCTGGTCTGGGCCGGTCCCCGAATCGTGAAGAAGCTTGGGACATATATCTCTATTCCCGATACCCTCCAAACCGTCCCGGACGCTCCACGATACGTGCCAGCGGCTGCCGATGCGAGTGCCATTCTGGCCGACGCCGATTCGACTATTCAAGACATAATGGAACCTCTCGTGGAACCTCTTGTAGCTGCTGCGGGAGCCTCAGAAGCCCTCGGAGCAGAGGCGGAGGCTATCGCTCCCACCGCGCGTCTATCAGTTGATGGCGCTCGTGGCCTGGGCAGCGTCTTTGGCTACGCTACAAGCAAATGGGCCCTTTGCTGCATTGCTATGGCCGTCATACTAAACCGAACACATATCTTTGCTGCCACTCGAAGACGTTTACGGCTCCGATGGCCAACGAGGCTCCTCCTACGATTTCTACCCGTCGTCTTACTCGTTTATCAGGCTCGCCAGTTACTCCAGTCCATCCAGTGCCAGACATCCTCCAACTTCTCCGAGTTGCGTTGGGGAAATGCAAGCAAGAGCTCCGACCTCATGTTCTCACATGCCAACTCGTTTCTCAATTCTCTGAGCTCCACTCTGTCGTTCTCAACTTCTGACGAAGAAGCATGTGTCGCCGTACGAATGATACCATCGGACGAATCTGGCTCTGCCCGCGACCTCGCTGGGTCATTGTCGTTACTCTGGCCCCTCTTTGGGACATTCTGTCTGAGCCAATTCCTCGAGACTGTCTCATGTGCCGTGCAAGGTCGCCCAGTTGCTCCCGAGACTGGCATGACACTCTTCGAACAGTCTCTTGCTTTCGCCGAGGCCGACGCTGCTATTAGCAATCAGCTTGGCTGGGGTTTGTTTGCCAAAGCTCGCCCCGTTGATGCTCCTTCCTCCACTCTCGGAAGTGCTATAGCTTTGAGCCGATCGATGATTATGAAGCGTGTCAATACCCCCCCTGAGGTACTCCTAGTTGCCTTTCTGTCGTCCATGACTCACATCACGAGCCATGTGTTGGGCATCTTCAACTTGCAAGCGAGATACCGCCTCGTTAGCACGGGGTTTTGGGGCCTATGTTTCATGGGAAGCATCGTATGGAGTGCCATATCCTTTGACCTTGATGACCCATCCTCCCAGGGCTTGCTCAGATTCCCGACAGTCTGCATCGTTGGCTTCGTTCCACATGTTCTTGTCCTCATAGGCATCGTCATGTGCGTATTCATCTATTCGTTGGCCCTGCTGCTTTCGGCATTGTCTCCTCCGTCAAGCCCTGACATGGCTTCCATGACATTTCGCCAGCGCCTCAGCCATGCCCACGGGAACATGCAGGCCAACGTTTCTCTGTCAGAGATTCGCATCACTCGAGAAATGGACTTTTACACGGCGCTTCTTCGCACCGGCTTTGGCGCTATCACCATGGCGAGTGAAGCTGTCTACCTCAATGAGGATCGAGGGGTTAATCTCAAGCGACACACTTGGCTGGAAGAGGAGCGCTTCAAGGAGGCAGAAGAGTTGCAGAGAAAGCTCATCGCCAGCGGCCTGCCAGATTCTCGGTACGACCAAATTGGTGCCATCGGCTTAATCCCTGTGAAAGCAGGACCGGTGATTGCGTCAAATGGGTATGCCAGAGAACGAGCCGCACAGAAGATTCCAAAGAGCCGGGGTGAACGAAGTCTCCGGGTCGGCATTGGAGCGGCTGAAAGAAGTTCCCGTTGGTTTATGGCTCTGGAGTTTCTACTCAGCATCAACAAGCTCATCGCAAGGATAGGAGCAAAGTCTGTCCTGTGGTGTTTTGCGACCCTTCGCATTCGATACCAGCCTGGCTGGCTTCTTCGGCTTGCTCGCCACCCCAAAAGCATTAAGAGTCAAACGAAAAGCTCTCACCGCAGTCAAGCACGAAACAAGGGAGCATCAGCCTATAACGACGGTCGCATCCCTAGAAATGAGGCGACAGATGTGGAAGCTGAGTTTAGGCGTACGAGTCCCCAAGACGAGGAAAGCCTGGACACAGATTTGTACAAATACTGGCTCAAGGGTGGTTGGTGGGGATCGACCGACACAAGCGGTGATTTCGAGCCACGTTCGGATGACGATGATTTTGACACTACGAGTGTTATCTCATTATCGACCACGGGCGAGGGAGTGGATGATTACCAGCAATGGGAGTCGGATGATGATGACGGCCAGAGAACGCCTACCCAGCGGTCACCTCGGTTTACTCGAGAAAGCACCCCTTTTGTCGACAGCCCTATGCAGATTTCTGATCTTGCGCGCCTGCTTCATCCGACAAACGCAGAAGAGCGAGAGGAGGCAAGGACGCTCTCGGCCCATCTTCAGACTGACGGCATCATGACACGATCCCAGTATCACCGAATGGAGCAGCTGCAGCGAACGCGCATCCTCACGGCGCCCGGGGCCAGCTTGTTGCACCCTGGAGTCGCTGCCGCTACCGTGCCATCAGGCCGCCACACCAAGCTCAGCCCTGACGAAGAAGAAAGGCTACTTGAGCAGCTCTTGCTCTCACGACGGCAACCTGACTCTGCCGAGCCATTTGCATCGGCACCGTGGGAAGAAGGCGGCTCTGGCTTTGGGAGCGACGGACCTCAGTGTGTCGTGTGCCAGAGCACACCACGAACAATCATTGTCTGGCCCTGCCGATGCCTGAGCCTTTGCGACGACTGCCGTGTTTCCCTAGCTATGAACAACTTTGACAAGTGTGTCTGTTGTCGTCGGGAGGTGATCAGTTTCAGCCGAATATTTGTTCCTTGAGCTTGGTTGGTCACCGTGGCGCTCCATCATGGCAGGATTAGTATGGAGTGTTTGACTTTGAGTAGTGTGCAATATACTATAGGGAGGGAACAATTATTACCAGGAGTTTTCTTTACAACTCTAATTCGTTTACATGTTCAGCGGAGTTGGTGGCATAGTCCCGCGAGAATTAGGGAAAGATCATATTTGTTTCGCGGTCACTTCTCTTGACGCATTATTGATAGCATTTAAATTAACGAGGTTTACATCGCTGCCCATTCAATACTAAAGGTTCGCATCTTGCCGTCTGGCAGCTCTTCATCCCCTGGTTGCTTGCTTCCTACCAGGAAAGCCTTCTTGACTGCCGTGGCAAGGCGGCCTCCTGCTACGATGTCCAGAACGGGAATCTCTTCTTCCCAGCCATACTGATTCGCCATGAAGTGCGCATGGAATCTCAGAGGGTCACCGGGGTAGACACTGTACTTGGCACCAAACCGTAGCCCTGGTGTCATGTAGTAACCAGAGGTCAAGAGGAAGCCACACAGTGGGCCTGTTGTCGGCTTCTCGGCAAGATATGTCCTTTCTGCTTCAGGGGAGATCAACGAACCACTGGATGTCGGTGTGACACCGAGGGACTTGAATGCAGCATCCGTCTGACGCGGGTTGGGTTCAGGCTGGTCACTTGAGAAGAGAGCATCGTCATCTGCATTGCTAGGGGTGGTTCGAGAGGCGGTCGGGCGGGGCCTTCCATGCTTTTCTGCCACTTCCATGGCTCTCTTTGCATTCTTCTCTGCAAAAACCTGCTGGGCAGTTTGCTTCCTTGTCTTGAGCGAGTCGAGGTATAGCCTCTTCGCCTCAGGGTTGGGGCTGCGCAGCGCAGCCTGATGGGCAGCTACGTCATCTACGAGAAAAGCCACCTTCTTCTGCACCAGCGACTCGGCCTCCTCTGGTCGGAGCTCGACAGGTAGACCGAGAAAGATGTTCTGGGTCGGCTGCTGAGGCGCCGTTCCGGCCAGCGTCCCGTTGACGTTCTCGTTGCGACGGAGAAGGGCAGCAGCGTCCGAGTCGAAGATGAGGTAGCGCCCTGCGATATTGGAGATCCGGACCGGAGCTGGGTCTGAAGGCATAGCCATGATACCTATGAGGCATCGCGGGTTAGCGGACGCTCTGATTGCGGTGGTAGAAAAGCGCAAGAATGAGATAAGGACAACATCATAAGTCGTCTTCGTAATTTTATAGTGTGTCGTCACAGAAAATCAGGGGATTGACAGATATAAGTGTATAATCATTGTGTCCATGGTTTCGCGCGCAGCAAAGAAAATTGTTTGTACATACCTGTTGGAGTAGAGATGTTGATCAAGAGAAAGGAGAAGGAAGCAGAGTTGCAGCTCGGAGCTCTTTTGAAGGGGAAGAATTTTTTAGGCTGTGGAGCTGGGGGGCATTTGCGATAAGATAAGGCGGCAAGCTCCAGCCTCCTCCCAAGGGAGCTCCACGTTTAGCGAGCTGTCGGCCGAGATTTGCTTCAACAAAGACGATACTTTGAGCTCAAAAGTCGAGGCTCTCCTTTTTCGGTTCGTTTTGTTTAGAATGCTTAGGGGTCTCTTCCTCGTCTCCGATAGGGGGAAGGCTGAAAGGCGTAATGACCAGCCCACTCGAGCCACTGAGCTTGAACGAGAGGTTCTCCCGGTTCCACGTACCCTCCAAGCCACCGCCCTTCTCATGGAACACAGGGAGACTGTGGGCGCGCAAAAGGCCTTGGCCTTTGTCCTCGCTTCCTGGCTCCCGGGTGATTGGGGCCTGGTGCTGCAGAGGAATAAGCTCGAGGACTCCGTCAGACAATAGCTCCATCCATCGCGTGAGTCCAGTTGATCGCGGAAAGAGTGTGACAGGGATGGTCACGATGGCAGTAACTTGGGTTGGGAACTGTCGCAGAAGAGCTCGCAGCGCATGCAGGAATTTGAGAATCTCGCGAGGCTGGCTGGCAGCGGAGTTGTAGAGCGTGGGTGAGAGTAGGCTGGGAACCACAATCCTGTGGATGGTCGAAGGAGGTGAGTTCTTGATTTTCGAGGTTACATCTGCAATGAACTTGTGGAATGGAGTTTGCGTTGGCGAAGCCAGGGGACCATCGACTGGTGTCGCGAAAAGTTGGCCTTTGATGGCGCTGCTCTCAAGCCTCTTGGTCAGGTTGAACCCATGGCAAAAGATACTCGCAGTCTGACCAGGCCCTTGGGTCACTTGAGGATCTAAGTCAACTCGTTAGAGGAATGTCGGAAAGAGAAGAGGAACAAGACCAAGGAGAACATGCCTCTGGCCGGCACGTTGCGCTGCCCAAGTGTCTCATAACGCCAGGCGATCTTCATCTTGTCATCCGAGGACGACGTAGATTTCCCACTGCTCTTGGAGCCATCCAGACTTCCGAGTCCTGGAAGTTCCCTGCGCCAGGCGTCACCAAAGCCCAGCAAGTGAACGTGATGCCCCTGTACAAGTCCTTCTGCGGCATAGTATCGCAACAGCACGCCTCCGAAATCGGTGGTCCCGGTCTCTTCAATGAGCAGAGATGTTCCCATTGGCATCCCGGCATGGCCAGCCAGGAGTTGGTCCAGAGACTGTGTGCCGGTCGACGTTGTGAGGCGTCCATCTAGCGGAGATGGTCTTGTTCCCGGTGCAAGAGACTTCTCTTGTCGAGCAGCAGGTGATGCTGATCCTGAAGACCCTATCACGACGTTTCGCTTTCGAAAGGACATGGCTTTTTTGCTTAATCAATCCCTTTGGAGCCACGCAATATTGGTCTCGGTAGGAAAAGAGAAACGACAAGGCTTATATGGAACTGTGAGCTTTCAACAGCTTCAAAGTGTTTGTGTGCGCCCCGCTTGGTACCTAGGTATCCGGTTCGACGTCAGTTCTCGATTTTATGCGCCTAGCCCCACCAGCTTTTTTGGGCCACTCCAAACCTTTTCACTTCCCTGCGCCGACGACGACGACGACAAAACCAACCTCTCCGATCTCCCTCTTAAATCTCCAGAGTTGAACTCTCGTTATTCCCTTCAGTCTCGAGATCTATCCCCCGACCTGCCCACAATGGCCAGCGGCGACGCCACCCTCTTTGAGGAATCCTTCACGGTGACCGACTATGACCAGTCCAAGTACGATCGCGTCGCTCGCATCTCGTGCACGTCGAGCGACTCGCAGACAGTCATGACGCTCGACATCAACATTGAGCTCTTCCCCTGCGCCGTGTCGGACACTCTCCACGTGGTTCTGTCGACGACACTGTCCCTGGACGGAAGCAAGGAGGAAGAGAAGGGCTGGAGGGACGTTGGCAAGAATGGTGATGCGCCGGCGACGATTGCGGATCTCTACGACTACGTTTGCCACGGCAAGATCTACAAGTTTGAGGAGACATATGACGGAAACAGCATGTGAGTTGATCTCAAACACAGGCATGCCTTTTGACTATCAAAGAGCCAGTTGCGCTAACCGCAGTTCCCGGTACACAGCAATGCCTATGTCTCGTTCGGCGGCCTTCTCATGTCACTTCAGGGTCCCGTCAAGAAGCTGACGCCCCTTCGCGTCGACAACGTGTACCTGCTTGTCAAGAAATAGTCTGGCCGAATACTTTTCTGTCCGTCCATCTACCTAGGCTCTAGCTCTACACCGCCGCCCGAAGGCATCTGCATTCCAATAGCTCTAGATCATGTTGTAATGATACCCAAAACGAACCGACCGTCTCGGACCCCCAACAAGCCTTTCAAAGATGGTGCCCCTACCGTCTCATTCCGCAGCTTCCAGGACTCAAGCCGGGCGCCAGTTGCTCTGGTGTGGACCTGGGAAAGGAATGTCACGGCGCACCCTCCGTTTGATCTGTTCAATCTCGGGCTCGTTTTCCTGTGTGAGGATGCCGTGTCGGATGAAAAAGTCGAGCGTGACGAGTGCGCAGTTTGGCTTGAAGCGCCCCTTGGCGAGGTCCGCCTTGACCTGGTCGACGTCGCACAGGTCGAACCTCTCGGCCTCGCCGTCCTTGGGCTGGGGCACCACGTCGCTGGGGAGCTCGAGGTGATAGACCCATTGGCACTCGGGATAAATAAAGCCGCCCTCGCCGACCTGCCCTGCGTCCGTGATGTAGATGTATGTGACGTTGCCGACAAACTTGGCGCCCTTGCGGACAGTCTCGTCAGGGAGGCTGGCCTCCTCGTCGGCTTCTCTGATGACACACTCAAAGGGATCCTCGCCTGTCATGAGGCCGCCAGCCACTGTGTTGTCGAGCATGCTAGGAAATGTTGACTTGTTGCGGGCACGTGTAGGCACCCAAAGCCGAAGGCCATGGGGCGCACTCTCATCCCGAACGTAGGCAATCATGTGGACGCCGTATCGCATCGTTCCAATCAGACCCATTGCCGCACGCTCCATACTAAACAGGAGCTCTCCAGTACGGCCGTAGACGGGCCAGAGCTCGTTGCGCCAGCCACGGAGCAAGGGGAATGTCTTGTTCTGGCGCCAGTAATCCCCCAGAGCCGCAACACGGCGAGTGCGCTCCTGCTCTGTGCCCTCCTTGAAGAGCGCAACGGTACGCTTCTCTGTATCATATTCCATCTTGCCCCGGACGTCCTCGGGCACCTTGAGGAGCTCCTGGAAGACACGGTCGAGGATGTAGCCGATGGGATAAGTGCCCTGAGCATCTTTCCATACAAGAGTGTAGAGACCAGCGTTCATCTTGGTGAACGCATCAGGGTCCGTATCGGCATACGGGAACCTGACAATGTGAGTTACCTTCTTAGACCAAAGCTGGATGACTTACATGTCGACATCGTCGATCAAGTCGATGCTAGTTTTAGCCATTTTGATGCGAGATATCAAGAGTTTCGAAAGACCAGTTGAAGGGCTATAAACCCAATGGTGTAGTTCAAGTAGAGACTCTTTCTCTTTCAGGTGAAACCGTGAGTGGCTTCGATGTGCTTGTAGTGGTTGAGACGCAGAGCAGAGGTGATGAAGTGATGAAAAGGTGAGGATCCTGCGGGCTTTTTGAGATGTTCTTTTATAGATGAGGCCCGGCGAGGTGGCAGCTGCTCTCATAGAACGGATATCCGATGAGATCAAGGATATTGATGGTAACTTGGACTTATGTCACCCAGTTCATATCCCAGCGAGTTGTCTTACTCGGTGAGGCTGGATCAGGAAGTCGACGAGCAATCATGTTCTCAATGAGCGGGCACTCGTGACCATGGCCAAGACCCACGTCTTCGGTGAATCTCAACCTGGCAAGGTGAATACTAACAACGTCACATGCAGAAGATAGACTGGTTATATCTTCACCTATGATAATTGTAAGAAACAGTGAATACGGACGAATTACTACCATGTCGGCTGTTACACACCTCCAAAGCCTCAACCGTCTGAGACAATTCACTCGGATATGCCTACCCTAGACCGTCGCGGAGAGAATCCGGTATGAGGTCACTACCTAAACAGTTCCACTTCCTTCTGGAGAGCCCTGGAAGACGCGCACCAATCGTCTCACACCACCCAGCCATAGAAGGACAAAGAAACTTACAAACTCAACACCATACATAGCCCCCCCAAGATAACAAGACGACACCACCTCACGCGCACCCGGACCGTCTAAACCTGCTCAATTGAACGCGCCTGTTTCTCAATTCACTTCTAACATTTACAATGTCGGGTCCTCTCTTTGGCATCGTCCCCGCCGGACAGCCCTTGATCACCGAACCAGCCTCAGCCCCCTCACCAACCTCATTTCTCTACTCCCTCCCCACCTCAAAGTCCTTCTCACACATTGTTATCTTTATGCTCCCCGGCGTCTCACTCCCACCCAACACCGCCGCCGCCATTTATCTCGCCACCGCTCAGGACGTTGCCGCCGCTGCACAGTCCGGCGGGACCCCTAACTTCCGCTTCCTCGGCGGCATTGGCCCCGGCAAAGAGAGCGCCATGTTCAAGGTCAGCGGAGGTGGTGACGCGAGTGGCCTCATGGTCGGAGTGTCCGTTGAACCTGAGGAGTCAGTTGGCCAGCGGCTACAGGAGCTTGCCGCCAACAAGGCCAGCGGCAACTCATCAGGGGGCCAGCCCAGCACCACTGTACTGGCTCAGCGCATTATCCAAAACGCCTTTAACTTCCTGTCGAGCTTCAGCGGGACAGCAGGCCCTGGCGGCGTCGAGGTTGTGCCGCTGAAAGCGTTTGAGGACTGGTGGCGCAAATTTGAGTCAAGAGTTCGGGCAGATCCTAGTTTCCTCGAGAAGCAATCGAATTGACCTGTGGAACGTCTTTTACTTTTGCATGCTTGGTCATGCTTGATGAGACCTGGGTTTATTGGCCTTTGGTGAAAGAGTTGGATGTTGGGTTGGGCATCATATGGATATCGGAGGTATAGACAACGGGAACCTGTTGTAACGATAAGGCGCAATATTTTAAGCGATGTTTGTTCTTAATCAACATGTATATGCACTTGACTTAAGTATTGTCGTTAACCATGTACTGAAAGTGCTGCCCATCCCTACTGCAACCCCCTGACAAGATGTCTCTGAAAAGCAGACTGCCCAATATCCAAACGAGGTCCATCTCTTTGCTACTCGTCTCGAGGCCAAAGATTGATAGATTCCGCAACGCCCTCAAGACGAGTTTTAGAATGCGAGTTCCCTAAAACGCCAGATCCATGCCTGTACCAGCAGTTTCCCCAAACGCCGTAAAGTTCATCTCAAAGTCCAACATGATGTAGCTTTGCCCAACGCTCAACTCGACCAATTTTCATGTGAAACCATTCAGTCCTCTTGTAACGGAGTCATGAATGGGCTCTTGGTCCGTGTTGGGCTGACATTCCGACTCTTTCGCCCGGCGCTCAACAAGGATGGCGATAGTCTTTCCCGGCTCTCAGTTCGAATCACAAGTCCAGCGCGGTCCATTGCCAAGGGAGGTCGTAGGAGATCCCCAGGTTGTCCTAGGCCGATGCTGGGTGTTGCCAGACCAGACGCCCGTCCTTTCCGGGACCCATTGCTGCTGCTATCGGAGTGGTCGTTTTCGTCCGAGTCGACATCGCCAAGCTCAAAGTCGGAAAGATCACCCTCCTCCATGACCCTCTCATACGATCCCAACGAATTCCTTCCGAAAAGCTTGCTGGCCAGAGAGCGACCGGGCCTTCCAGAACGCTTGCGACGGTGCACCATGCCGAATATCTTTCTTCTTCGTTCAGGCTTGCGGAGAAGATAAGCCACCAAAAGAAGAACAAACACGAATGCAACAATCCCGGTGGTAGAGGATCCGGGCTTCTTCAAGATGTCGTCCAGATCGTCATCGTCGTCGTCGCCAGTATGAGAGCCAATCGGAACAGAACCAGCGTGCTCGAAATCGTCAGGCGTTCCCTTTTCCACATTGGTACCGAAGCCAACAGGCAACGCTGTGCCTTGAGGAGGGACTTGGCCGGCAGCGTACAGGACCATCTTTCCCAGTGTCCAGCTCAGTTCGATGCCATCGATCTTGTCCACCGGCTTGAAGGGATCCTCCATCTTGTCCGTCTCTTTGGCAGTGCTATTTCCGTGACCACCTTCCAAACCGACTCGAGGAATACCGATGCCGTCGTACAGCATGTTGATGAGCCAGGAGGCCTTGAAGCATGCGGCGCGAGCCTCCTCAGCCTTCTTCTCCGGCGACTTCTTGCGCTTTTCCAGCTCGCTCTCGATATCCGACCAATCACTGGTGCAAAAGTCGTGGACAATGGACTGGTACGAGGCGAGGTCGTACGCCGTATGCTTTCCACCAAAAACGCCATGTGTTGTGTGCCAATACTCAGAAACTCCAACAAAGTGGTTGATATCGAAATCAATGCCCGGTACGTGTTGGCCGTTAACCAAGCAGGGCTGATCCGGGCATGGCTTGTCCTTGCCGAGGAGAGGGTATGTGACGCTCAGGCATTCGTCGAATTTTCCGGTGCCGACCAGAACTGGCTCATTAACCTTACCCTCGACGTAGTCACCTCTCAAGGTAGTTGTTAGACCAACAGGCATACACGGATCAGGAACCTCCTGGATCGTCTTTCCACCGTACTGATCCCACAGACTCTCAACATAACGGTTACGAGCCTCATTGGCTCCAAAGCCGAGCCAAGTCGCAGTAAAGACCTTGTACTCGGCAGGAGAGCCATCGAGTGTCCGCATGCGGACAAGCTTCAGATCGTTCGAGTGCTTTTCGGATTCGGTCGCGTTCGGCGCAAAGGCGATCTGGGCGGACGCGCCACCCATGTCGAGGAAGCCATATGTGTGGTGGTTCTTGCCATGATCATGCTCTTCAGGATGATCGAAGCCACCGAGCAGGTAGTTGGCCGCGATCCAGCCGTATAGACCCTCGGTTTCGCCGGAAATGACCTGAATATGGGCATTGCAGTCGGGGAGGATGAACTTGGTACTCGCTTGTAGGTATGTACACATGGACTGGAGAAGGGCTGTTTGCTTCGGCTTCGGTAGCAGACGCATGCCAGCTGTGGCCATGAGGTAGATGGGCGTCTCGGAGACCTTATCGGCGGGGACTTCGTCGAGGGCGATCTTGATCAGGTCGGCGAGATGGTTGACACCAATTTCGGAGGGTTTGTCGGCAAAGGTCGAGACACCGGGGTGAATCTTCTTGCTTTCCTTGAGCTTGATCTTGGGGAGGGTCTTGAGCTGCGTGACGGAGGCATCCTTCACGGCGGCGGCGTGGTTCTTCCACTTGTAAATATACACACGGGTTCCTGAGGAACCGGCGTCGAGGACGACGCCATATTGCGCTGCGCGACACAATGCTGTCAGTTAGAAGCTAGGAATAGAGGTCGAAATACCAACATGATTTACCCATGAGGGTCAACGCTGGGGTAGCTTAGAGCGATTGCGACAGTGATAAGGCGTCTCAAGGTTTGATTAGGGGGCGCTTCTAACGCGAAAGCGGATGAAGGTCGACTCGAGGTTCGCAAGGGACGTTGGACGGGCCCGTTTCGATCTTTTGGGCGAACTCTTCGTGGTGTTACGACGACAGGTGGATCCAAGGAGTTCGAGTTGACGAGGCCGAAACTGGGGATCGATACCTTTGAGGTTTGAGGTTTTGGAGCGAGCGGGAGGTCCCACAAGGGGGGATGAGACAAAGATTAATTAGGTGCTGGTCAAAACGATCGACCAAATATTATTAGGTGTTTAGTAGTTGAAGCGAGTGTAGAGCATCATGCGAGATGCGCGAGCGGGTTTGAAAAAGCGAGAGGAAGGGGGAGGGAGTTCAAGTCTGAAGCTGAAAACGAGAGGAAGAAAGCAAACAGGACTTCCCATTTCCAAGAAACGGGGAGAGAGCGGGAAGAGAGGGGCCTGTGGTCTCAGTCACAGGCCAGAAGAGGATTAGCCAGGATGATGAAGTGACAGGGATTGAGCAAGGACACGAGATGGGGTGGGCAATTGGTGTCGAATAGATTGTCGCACGCGGAAGGGAAATGGAGATAAGGCCTTTTGTTGTCACGATAAGACGATAGATAAGCCAGATTGTCTGTTGTCCAGGGGGAAAAAGCAGCAGATGAAGAAAAAACAACAATTTGTCCCCTTTCCCTTAACTTTTAGCAACCCATTCCATTAAGAGTGGCGTCCAATAGTGCATACGCGGCCCCCCTAGTCTTGGCTGACGATAAGCTCCAAGCTGCCAAAAAATCGCGTCCGTCGGTCACGTGGCTCACACGCATCTTGCAGCAGCTTCCCGTCTGCGAAGGTCTATTCTTAGCAACCACACGACTTTCAAATACGAAGTCCAGTCCGTGATCGATGGCAACGACTGATGGATGAGTGATGCCCAACAACCACGTTGCCCGTGACAGCCTCATGCACCATGGAATTTTTCATTGTGTTATATCGTAAACTATCTTGGGTTTGTCATCCAACATGCCGTTGTTTGTCGTTACATCGTGACATTTCATTAAGCTCCAACTCTATCTAGGCCACATAGCTCCATATCTTCGTTATCATCCTTTCATCCAGTTGTCTTCCCGTCTGCAAGTACCCATTCATAAAGCAAGTACAAACTAAAAAGCAAAGCTGTTGTCTTCCCAACTCCAAACGCCTCTTGATAAACAGAATGCGCATAAAAAGCAAACTCGTCTTTTCTTTATCCCATGACCCTGGTGTTTATTCCTCCTAGTCTCTGTCCATCAGGCGATTGCCATTCTGGAATTTACCCAAGAGGAGAGGTTGTCCATCTCCGTGAAGTCCCTGTAGGATGGATTTAAACTTGCGGTGCCACTGGCTGCGGTGTCGCAGCAGGGACCATAGTCCCTCCATCGAGGCTTTGGCTCTGCCGAGGTTTCTGTAGGGGGTATGCACATGGTCTGGGGTTCTGTTCCTCTGTGCGAGTTGCCTCTGTGCGAGTTTCCTCGCAGTGGCTTCGTTTGCCTCCCGATATTCTCTGAGTTTTTCGCAGCATTTGCAGGGGATAGGGATGCGAATCTCGGATCGCTGAACCTCTTCGTCTTCCCCGAAAGAGGTCTGAGAATTCCACGTCATGGGGGGCATTACAGGAGGCGGTGGAAAGAGAGCCTCCCGTTGCGCCTTATTACGTTCTGATTCACGATCGATTTGGTTGCCCAGTTCGGCGTGATGTCCAATGAGGCGCTTGTTCCAGTGCAAGGCTTCCTCGTCTGGTGCGTTGCAAGTTTGGACGAAAGAATACTGGGATCTTTTACTGCGTTGTTCGGATAGGATATTTTCAACCCTCTGCCGAAAAGATGGCTCTCGACTTGATGCCGGAGGACCGGCGTGCTGCATCCCTCGAGGGGCGCGCTGTGATGCCGAAGCTGGTGTTGGCAACAAAAAACCTCGTTTCCTGGTCTGATGAGTCCCCAGGCTCTTAGGCTGTGGCTTTCCCATAGGTACTGTGGACAGTTCATGTGTGCTGGTTTGCCTTCTGGGTCCCGCAAACAGGCTTGACTCGAGGAGTTGCTCGAGGGGTTCGTTGTTGGGCTGGTTTGCCATGAAAGCCGCTCGTGGGTCGTTTCCTGCGACCTTTCGGTGGTGCTTGAGCTTGTGCATGGACCTATGCTGCTCAGACTCGACGTCCTTAGAAGTCTCTCTAGGTGCCATCATGTATCCGATTTCTTGCTGCAATCTAGGTTGGGCAAACGGTGGATGGGGTGGGAGTTGAGTCTCGGGTACTTGCTGGCTTTGTTGCCTTGAGCAGGTGTAGTTGGCATTCATGTGATGTGCTTGCAGAGTGAGGGCCATAAAACAAGCTTGAATTGATAGGTACAGAAAGAAACGGTAAATGGACTCGGGTGGGAGGTGGACCTTTAAAGACTTGGAGTTCCCAAAAGCTCCTAGGCATCTATTCTTGTCCTCGTTCCTTGTGAATATGGCCTCGAACATCATCCCATCCCGGTAGGGAACAAAGCCCGATGATCGAACATTCACCACACCTTCCATGACAATGCCAATGCTCTGCCTGGCAGCTCCTTTGTTCTGCCAGGCTCCCGGGCCGGGCCGCGACCCCTATTCGAGGAGCCAGAGAGTGATACATAAAAGAAATAACTGCTTCCATATGACCACCATCTTTTCTCTCCCTGCAGAAATGTCTACTTATAAATGCCTTCCGTGCATGTTCAGCCCTGGCATGTTGTCCGGTTGACTGACTCTAATACCAGAAGTTATACCAATTCCCGGGTAATGATTGCGAGGGGGCGCAAAATCTGTTGCTGCGGATGGTCTAATATTCCCAACGACAGGTACTGGCGTTGAAGTCCTTGATGATACTCCTCCCATTCCTCGATGTTGAAAGCCTCCAAGAGGTGTTGTTGTGGACTCGGCTTCGCTGTGTTAGTATAAGTTAAGTGCCCATAGCCCGATAGCACTTACAGCGAGATGTGCCCCCCATTCGCGGCCAAAGAGTGCCCTCCCTCGTGACGGCTGGGTAGCTTCGAGGCATGCCGGTGTTCATACCCAAGCCGTTGGCTCGGCGCTGGTTGAACGCAGGGGTATTATCGCTTTCGGGCACTCCGTTATTTCCTGCAATGTCTTGATTAAGCTGAGGTGGTGCCTCGAGGGTCAGGTCAACAGCAGCCGATGCTGCTTTCCGGATTTGGCCGAGTTCAGCCCTTCTCTTGACTTTATCGTAGAGCTCTTGTAACTGAAGGACCTTGCGAGACTTTTCTTTGAATGCTTGGCCGATCTCTTCGTTTTTGCGTCTCAAGGCGTCTTGCTCCGCCGTCATGCCTGTTCTTTGTTAGTTGTTGGCGCTTGGAGCATCTGCCATAGGGACTAACCCGTCAACTTGTGCTGGAGCCCGTCGATTTCTGTGGTTGCATCGCTCACAGTCTTTTCGAACTGAACGGTGAGGGCGGAGTACTTTTCCGTAAGCGTCTTGTAGAGGTACTGTTGGTAGTACATGTCTTGAGTAGTTTGGTAGGCCCAAAAGCTGAGGGCTCGACCAGCACACTCCATGACAACGTTGGGACTCAGGCCGCTCAATATAGTCGTCTTGTATTCTTCGCTTGGGTTGAGGCTCACGATGACGGCATCATCGGGGTTTTTGAACTGTGAGTGACAGGCAGGGCACGTGTTGCGACGTTCCGTTTCTTGTCCAGCGAACCCCAGTCGCTCAGCGCACTCAATGCAGAAGATGTGACTGACAGTGGCGTCAGTAAGGTATTGGGCAGGCCATAGAACATGGAAGCGAACCTGCATGTTGTTGCAAGAGCGTTCTCTCTGAGCTCCTGCCGGCACTGGAGGTTGTTGCAAATGAGAGTATGTTCCATATGGTCCAAGCCGACAAGGAGGCAGTGTTTTCTTGTTCCGCAAGTGGTGGCAAAGGACCGTGAAGAATTTAGAACAACGGAGAGGATCTATCGAGGTGACGGTCACTCATTCTCTGGAGGAAACCTGGAGTTGGTGGATGAGTAATGCTGCTGGTTCGTTGGGAGGAAGGCGTAGGTAGAAGAAGAAGGAGCGAACCCTCGGAACACTCCTCCATCAGTGACAATGATGGACAGAATCAAGGCTCATGATGGGGAAAGCGTGCGAACTACCTATCGAGAAAGGAAATCGCAATTGAATGTTATTACTCGTTCAATTCTAGTAAGTTGAACCTGTCGAACTGAGGGGTATGGCCTGCATCCCAGGGGTCGTCGTAACTCAAGCTCAATCAGAACGTATGGCGAAGATGGATCTGTCATCTTCCAGAATGCAGCTACCTCAAACCAAGTGAGCAGTAGATGCTGTGCTCGTCCTTGTATACCGAGTTCTGAGTTGGGATCGAGGGTCCAGCAACCCCAGCACCGTATACCTGACCCTCACCGAAAGATGGAGCTTGCACTGAGTCCCATTGCTTCGCATTGAAGTCCCACCACGATTGTTGGGTGAGGAGGCTTGCCATCCCCTCACCCTCGAATTGCTCGGATGGTATCTCAAACTCGAGTTCTCCAATCAGTGTGTCAAGATCGGCCTCTAGAGACGATGGCAGTGGTAGCATTGGCTCGGACTGCGTGGGTGATGTCTCTTGCTTCAGAAACGCGGTTTCGAGGGGCGGTGAGGGTAGAGCAGCGTCACTTCTGCTTTGCGGTTGGGCCAAGAGCTCGATAAGCTCCTGCGTGGTCAATGGCAGGAGAGTAGACACATCGTGATTTGGATAGAGGCGTCGAAGGACTGAGCGGCACTCCTCCAAGGACTGAGACAGGGTGTCGAGGGCTCTGAGAACATGTCAGATAGAGGTCCTGCAAGTGACTGATAAGGATCAACTCACTTCCTAGATGGAATCAATCTCTGTCGGTGCTTATCGTATGAGCAGCTCTTGGGAGCTCGGCTGGTGATGCATTGGCCACATGGCAGCTTGCCATCGCAGCGGATTTTGCGTCTTTTGCACTCCGTGCAGGCATGGGGAGTCGTTATTCGTCTGGCACCGGCAACCCTGGGCCTTGTGCTACTCGAAGGAGCGGGCTGCTTCTTGGGGATGACCCCTTGGACTTTTTGCGAGTTCTGTTAGATAACATGGCCTGAGACGGTACCGAGGCTATGGTTCTGGAGGTGCCGTCGACTTACACGTGTGAAACGCACCGCCAGCGGCGAGTTTGGGATTCGAGGGCGACATTGTTGCAGCCAAAGACGCAATGCTAAGTTTATGAAAAGCTTAAAAGGATTTTCATTCATTCAAGCATAAAAAAGGTGTCTTGCATGAGCTCACGAGGGTGAGAAAAGGGCCCCCAACGGCGACGTAAGGCTGGCGATCCGAGTTAAGTAGTGCCGATAGTTGAGGCAGGGCATCCGGAGCAGCAACCGCCATGTTACTTTGAGAGTGGGCAGCCATGAACCGTCACAAACGCGGAGAGAGCTGCGGAGAAACGGGAAGACATCGTGGGGCAAATGAAAGGGTTTCATCATTCGTGGGATCATGCGAGGAGTCTAATGACCGCATGAGAAAGAGGACGATCCGGAAGAACATGGGGTCGGGTTGTGCTCGTTGACTGATGACCCGTTCGCCGAGGGATGGGCAAAGGGCGGCAATCGACCGAGATGGAGGGCTGTGAGATGAGGTTGGCCGACATTAGGGCCTCGAGGCTAGGCGTAGAGGATGCACACGGCTCGTACGGACTTGTCTAGTTGCTTGCTCGAGCTGCCAGGAACCGAATACGGAACTCTGTCACTTTAGACTTCCCCTCCTCGAAGCTCGTGAAGTCGATACATCCGGACGAATGACTATCCGTTCATGCCTCGGGTTCGGTAAACACCCCCTCAGGAAATTGGGTTGGGATGGGATGGGATGGAAGAAGCGGTATGGAGGCAAGGCATGGGAGAAACGTGGCAAAAGTACAGACATACGCTCATGCAACATGCATGCAGAGAGACCTGAAAAGCGGCCATCTCTCCATCCAATATCCACCCCAGTTAATGTCGAGCATGATGGACTTGACGGCCCGAACAAGACGGCAGGGAACAAGGCGGCTGGGCGGTTCCACGAGACCGAGATCTTGACCTCTTGGAACCGCCTAGGCCGGCTGGTCCCTAAATCCCGAGACGAGAGAGACAAAGTCGTACGGTCATTTGTCTTGTTGAGGGAATACTTGCTAAAAGCTAAAATGACTGGAGCGGCTTTCGGGCCACGAGATGAAGGGGAGAAGGTTGCAATAAACTGTGATGGCCTGCCCTATCACATCCCGCCAGCCTCGGCACCCCTGTCCTGCACGCAATTATCCAGGAACCGTCACTCGAACTGCCTATTTCGCCGTGGGCTGTTCAAGACGGGAAGGATCGATTGCTCTGCGGGTACCTGGGCGAGAACCAACATGCCTACTGTAGGATCGAGGCGTTGTGCGGGTTTGTAGGCGTTTGGTCGTATAAAGGAGAGCTTCGTCCAACTCTCAGAAACATCTCTTCCTTTTCGTCCGATCAGCAGCGTACCGAGATCCATTAACGCCCCCGATCAAGACCAAGGCCAGGAGGCCCAGGCGAGCCCTGTCCTACATACCTTATTGTGCGGAAGCTATACCGATCCAGACGACCATCCGATACTACCGTCGGCTCGCCCTTTGTCACCCAAACCACCATTCCCTTGCTCCCCAAGGTCACAAACCACATGGACGCATCTCACTTACATGAAACGCCCTGCCAACGGATCCCGGACTTGACTTGTTTCTCCCTCGCTCTTCGCCGGTAACTAGGCTCCGAGGGGGGAGCAGCACCCGCATGTCATGATTGATCGGCTCATCGGGGAATTGTGCAGACTTGTCCCTCTCGTCAATGCCCTCACAAGACCGTCCGGCAGTCAAGGGTCTGGGATGCTCGGCCCGTACCATGACCCCCTGGATCTGCACCCCAGCTTTTCTCCTCCAATCACTTGACCAGCTCCCCGGCTGCCCGCTCGGGAAGGTGATCTGCCCTCAGAGGGCCCCAACCCCCAAGCTTTTGCACGAACAAGAAATGTGAAGGCTGTGGGCCAAGCTTTGCATGAGGGTTAATCTTGTTTGCCCGACCAAGACTACCACATGAAGACCTCTGAGGGCATAAACCATTGATCCGTCATGTTTGTGTCAGCCTTGCCGCCGACTGGACGTCGGTATCTGCGAGCCGAAGACTTGCGTGCGGATGTAGAGGACGCCATTCCGAAGACCATTGTGATGACCCCGAGGTAAAGCGCTTGCAATTGCGCTACGCTATTGACTGACGTGTCTCTCCCGGCCGGATCAGGTCGATTGCTTCACACACCATGAGCAATATAGCAGACTTCTGCGTCCCGGTGGTGCCGTACCCCATATTTCACGAGAATGAAATGTCTCCGATGTGAATGTCTGGGAAATTGGCGGATATTCGGTGTCGGTGTAACTTGATGCAATCGATGCTACACCACAAGGAATCATTGAGTTGGAAACAAGATTATTTCCTCATGGTTTCGAGTCGATCATATCGAATAGCCCTTGGCCCTTGGAGCCCAGAAAGTTGTCATCAAGACTTCATGAGCTCTAAGAACCTATGTAGTTACTGATCCAGGGGCTGTTGGTCATTCCCCTCAGTGCCATGCCGCTCCTGTCCTTGATGCCGAGGTCGACCTTTCCTGTGGCCACAAGCAGCCAGACGACCTCTTCGTGGCCCTCGTGGGCGGCCCACCACAACGGCGTTCTGTGCTCGTGGTCCTTGGTGTCGAGGAAAACGTTGCCTACTGCTAGGAGCTGCTTGACAATGCCGCTGTGACCAACCTCGCATGCCACAGCCAACGGCGTCCGACCCGCCATGTCCCTCGCATTCACATCGGCCTTGCCCGTCTTGAGGAGTCTCTCGACGATATCCCCGTGGCCGTTTGCCGCGGCCCATAATAGTGGTGTCCTACCCCAGCTGTCCTTGGTGTCGACGTCGGCCTTGCCCGTGTCCAGCAGCAGCTGGACCATGTACGTGAAGCCCGATCTGGCGGCCAGCAACAGCGGCGCTTGATCGAGCCGTGAGTCTTTGACGTTGACGTCAACCTTGCCTGACTCGAGGAGCATCTGGACGATGGACGACTTGCCCTTCCGGGCCGCCAAGGGGAGGATATCTGCGCCAACCTCGACGTTGCCCGTGTCTAGGAGCAGCTTGACTATGGCGTCAATACCACCCTCGACGGCAAAGTCGAGTGGCGTGTTGCCGAAATTGTCGTTTGCGCTCGCGTTGACTTTATCCGTCTCGAGAAGTCGCGCAACAGCATCTGCATCGCCCATTCTCACAGCGGAGAAGAGCAGTGCCTTGATGTCCTCGTTGAGGTCGTCCTGATTCCTCCCCTTCAGTAGCAGGTCGGAAATATCCTTACGTCCAGAGCAAAAGGCATACGACAAGGGCGTTCCCCCGATCTTGTCCTCCAACCTCTTCCGCGCCCCTGCCTTGAGTAGCAGCCTGACTACCGCTGCATTGCCACTCCAGATAGCGTACGTTAATGGGGTCCTCCCGAATACGTCCTGAAGGTCGATCTTTGTCCTCGTCTTGAACAGACGCTTGTAATGTTTAAAGTCAAGCCAGGGGTCCTTGATCAGTAGCTTGACGACGGCGCCAAAGCCGTTTCCTGCGGCCCAGGAAAGGGCTGTCCGTTGATGTGTATAATCTCGGGTGTTTAGGTCCTCGTCTCCCGTCTCGAGTAAGCACTTGACAGCCCTCTCTAGACCAAAGTAGGAGGCGAGCATGAGACTAGTGAACCCACGAGGGGCGCCTGAGTGAGTACTACTCCAGTATGTTCCAAACCAGAAAGAGCCACGGCCCGTATTTACAGTACAAAGCTTCAATATCCGGGGCGTCATGCGTTCTTGCATCTCGATTTCCAGCTCGCGGACATGGGAAGCCCAGTGCTTCGCAGAGTAATCAAGGAAGAGAAAGGAGGGGGAGTTCCCTTCCCTGTCGACGGGAGGCGACTCAAAGTCTGCGAAAAGGAGGTGCCGAGTACAAATCTCGGCGAGGAGGCGGTGTGATTCTTCGGGGAGAAGGGAGTGTTTCCACGGGAGGTCAGCATAATTGCCACCCACAGCCTGATTGCGAACAAGGAACTCTTTGGCGGTTTGATGAAGCAGGTAGATCCTCGAGTCGATGACGGTTACGAAAAGGCCGCAGATGTCTCGGATCTTCTCGCGGAAGCGCTTTTCAGGCTCAAGCTCGATATCGCTGTAAGAATTGTGGTTCGGTTGGATAGTCAAGGCCAGCGTCATCTCCTCGAGGCTGAGAGGTCGTGCTGCTGCCACAACAATGTGAAGCAACTTCTTTGCCGTCTCGGGGTCTCGGCTCTTTGCGAGAATCCTGTTGTAAGCGGCTTCGACTGATTCAGGAATCTGAGAAGTGATTTGGTCTAGTCCAGTCTTGTTGAGGTCGACCTCATTCTCGACCAGATCCAGCGTCAGATGTACCCATAGATACGTCCTGTTCGGAACTCGCTTAAGGCCGCCCAGTAATTGATGTTGTTCTCTCTCTGTCAGCCTGAGTCGTGCTCCGACATCTCGTATCCTGGCTTCGATGAAGATGTCAATCTCATGGGAGATCTTCAACATCTCGGCCTCGCTTTCACCACTTAGGTGGATCATGGGTAGTTCTGGGAGTTCTAGCGGTTGAAAGCCACGACGGATCGAGCCATAAGGTCGACTAGTGATGAGAAACTTCAAGTTAAAGTTCCTTCTGGTACCATAGAGCTTGACTAAAGCCTGAGTGAGCTGAGACCTCCCCAGATCCTCGCATTCGTCAATGGCATCTAGAAGACAGACGATCTCGCCTGCTCGCTCGTCTTCTGCGACCTTGAGAAGAATCTTCCAGAGTTCAGTAAACGAATTGGTGAACAATTCGCCATTCGTGTCGAATTGATCCAGAACGCTATCAGAAAGTAGACTGCGTTTCTGAAGAAAGAGTTGACGTAGGATGCAGCTAAGAGCGCTGACTACACTCTTTTGATCCTCAAAGTCGTCTTTGAAGAAAAAGTAACATACTGTCCTTGACTGTGTAGTCGGAAGGACTTGGTCGACAAGGTATTTTGCTAGAACCGACTTTCCACAACCAGGGTCTGCAGAAACCCACAGGATTCTCGACGTTTGACTCTCTTTCCACTCTCGAAAGAGACGATGAGAAACGAACCAGTCACAAGTCTCGGGGACTCGATCCGGATTTCGCTCTTTTCGATCTTGATAAGGTGAAACGTGGAGACGCTTTAGCAATGCGTTTTCTCTACTCCTTCTAGTTGCATTGTCGCCGAAATATACGGGGCCGTTGAAGTTGGCCCCGGGAAATTGATTGCCGTCGCCTGTATTGTTGTACTGGTATTCGCCATATGTATTGAAATGGGAAATATCGCCGCGTATATGGGAGGGCGCGTCCCCGGAAGCCCAGGCCTGGTATTCCATTTAACCGCGCAGTTGGTGGTGGTTCTTGGGAGCTGAACTTGGTATTATCGCGATTATCGGAGGGGCTCGCGAGTTGCCGTTGGCTACTGGAATGTCGCCAGTTGGAGAGGATGAAAACGGTCCTTTACAGGGGACCAAGAGAGTTTCTTTGAACCGAGGATAGACACTTGTTAATCAAGAAATCGTGGCAACACACTTCCAAGGCCAAAGCCTGCCTGGAAACAAATGTGCACTTCTCTTGGCCAGGCTCTCGCATTGGGACAGCCATTATAAATGGGCTACCGAGGCTGAACGTTGAAATAAGCAAATCACGACCCTGGGAGAAGCGGCCGGTACTTTTGAGAAGCGAGTCAGCTGGTGGCATCTAAATGTATCCTTTTTTTCAGCTGTGGCTTTGGTGTTGGGCTGAACAGGCAGGTTGGGGGCTGACCACCCACCCTCGTAACCCAGGGTCGGCGGCAATTACGAGTTTTGTGGAAGAAGAAAGAAATGGGAGCGAGAACCTTGTTACTATCTTTTATACTATTATATTTCCTCTTGTAGTTGACTCCTTTATTGTCCAAGTCGTCGTTTTATTAAGCATCATCTAACGCTCTAGTCCTTCCCCTCTCTCCATCCTCCCGCTCCCGCTCCCGTTCTTGGTCCTCTTAGCGGCACCATCCACCACCCAACAAGCGCCCTCCCTTTCAAAAGCCATCTGACCCAGCCTCTTTCAAGGGCCTTGCTAGTGTGTCTTCAGGCGCTCCTTATTAGGAGTCATGTCTGCACTTTAGAGAGTGGCTGTGCGACGGGAAGCTGCCTTGCCGCCCTCTGCAATGGTTGAATAAGCGCTCAGCCCTGTTTGCCAACGCGGCAGTGAACCGGGGAATGGAGCCTGGTCACGAACTTGTCGTCTTGCTCTTATTTGACTCAGTCTTCTCCTCGGATCATGGAGACTACCTAGGCATATCTACGCATGCCTACTGCCGAGCCTCGGTCTCTTGGTCGAGTCTTTATCGTTAATAAGGGCCCTTCCTGGCCTGAACACCACCATCTTACTATTCACCCCCAATTCCCCTTTGGCCCCCAACCAACGCGACGTAAAGCATGGGGAGATTCAGAGACATGTTCAGTCCCGACAAGAGTCTGCGAACGAACCCAAACCCCCTGGTCGATGACCAGCTCCAGGTCTCCCGCGACAAACCTACCCGGGAGTGCCAACCGTCACTTTCAGAGTCGTTCCCTGATGGAGTCAAGGTGCTGAGGGATTGTCCCGACGCAACCGTCGACATCTGTTTTATCCATGGCTTGAGTGGAAACCGGGAAAAGACATGGAGGGGCCACGGCCATACTGAACCCTGGCCGAAAACACTTCTACCATCCAAACTCACAAGAGCCCGTATCCTTACCTATGGATACGACGCCTATGTTGTGGCAAAGTCCGGCCCAGCATCAACAAACCGACTCATTGACCATGCACACAATTTGTTGAACGACTTGACGACAGACAGAGCATTAAACGGTGCATCGTCTCGTCCGCTCATTTTTGTCGCTCACAGTCTTGGTGGACTTGTCCTCAAACTCGCCATCCTCCGTTCACGAAACAACGCGGAGGAACATCTCCAAGGTATCTTTGAACACACCAAAGGCATCATCTTCATGGGCACTCCTCACGAGGGATCATGGATGGCGGACTGGGCAAAGATGCCTGCCTCTGCCCTTGGTCTCATCAAGTCTACCAGTGTCACCCTGCTGGACCTTTTGCAGAGAGATAACCAACTCCTTGAATACATCCAGGAAGAGTTTTGGTCCATGGTAGGAGGTTTAAGGAAGAGCGGCAGATCTCTTGAGATCATGTGTTTCTACGAAGAGTTGCCTCTGCCCGTATTTGGCAAAGTCGTATCTAAGGAATCGGCAACCCTGGTAGGATACAACTCTGCGACCATTCACGCCGACCACCGGGATATGGTCAAGTTCGGTTCCGTCGAGGATAATGGCTTCAAGAGGCTGCTCGGTGAGCTGTCGAGATGGGAATCACAGATCAGGTCGTCCATCCCGTCACAATTAACACAACCGACACTGGTCGAACTGCGGATTCAGCCGTCTAGATCGTCTGCCAGCGACTATGCCTCTAGAGACCACGATGCTGGTCTCCAGTCCTACGGGGGCCACACCTCTGGAAGCAATGCTTCTTATGGTTATCCGTCTTGGGGCTCGGGAAACCAATCTCCAGGCCATGATGTGCCTCGTAACCCGGCACACACCAACACAGCCCCTGTCAACTATTTCAGCACATCAGGAGGGATCCAGAACAACAACACAGGCAGCGGTAATCATTTTTCTGGCGCGGTGTTTAACGGGGCAGTGCATTTTGGCGGGCAGGGATCTTGAGGAGCAGTTTTGGCGACCCAAGAAAATCGCATGGGCTTAAATCTCGCCGGATGAGCCATCACATTGAATTGAACAAGATAGCAGCACTATTCACAGACTCTTGTTGTATCCTTGCACTCATCTGTAATGGTATGAGCGTCCTTATTGCAGGTCCTCATTGTTCTAGGTTAGATAACTTACCAATTCAAAACCTGGCAATGCTGGTACCAAGCAGCCTCAACGAAACGGACTGGAGAACCCAGATGTTTGAGATCTTGTGCAAGTTAAATGTGAATGTGAGTTTGCATCATCCCTTCTTTCAACAAGTGTTTGGGCTCTAGCTAACGCAACGGATAGGGATGAGTGATCAAGAACCTGTTGAGGACGGCCACTTACCATGCAACGCCGACCAAGAGAGATAACCCCCCTCTGCGAGGTTATCGAGGTGGAACTCTCGAACCACAAGAACATCGAAGAGGTGTTGTCCGAGTTGGAGATACTAATTACGCAGCCTAAGTCAGGCGTGAACGGGATGCCCAGAATGTCAGAAGACCCATCTGTTCTGACATTGGCTTGAGCTTGCGGGGGGGGATATAAGCTGGATGTGGAGGTCAAACTGCCACATACGACCATACCCACCGGAGAACTCGGGATCCCGTCCGCTCTCCCATAGATAAGCCGGTGAGGGGCGGATTAGTAGTTGGGTCGGTGACGACCAGCGAATCCCCGCTGTTGTATGTTTTTTGCTCTTGGATTTATTTTTGGCGGTTCTTTTTGCTGCTTCGAGATCCCCTTTTCAGGTTGGTTGTTGATACCGAAATGGGTGTGATCTCTACTCATCATGTTACGGACAACTAGGTGGATGGTCACTAGAACAATGTCCGATACCGTAAAACATAGTCTTATCATTCTTTCACGCAGCATTTGCCGTGATTCTATCTCATCGTTATTCGTCATGGTGCCCCAACTCTGGCATTTTCTGCGCTGCAAGTGCTGCGTATCAATCCCACACATGAGCCCGTTAGGTAGTGGGGAGCACCTCTCCTCAGCGTTCAATGCACTGAATCGCTGATCATAAACTTGGCTCAGCTCTCCTTAGGAGAACCTTGTGGCCATTCATCATCCTGTTCAACCTGCTGCCCGTGGCGTTCCTCACAGGCGTAGGACTTGGCATCGACTGTCGATACCGTCAAAGATGCACGTGTTGTCAATCGGCACGTACTGTTTCGTAATAATCTTGATCATCTCCTGCGCGGCCATACCGCCGGTGACGGCGGAAATGTTGTGAAGCTCACCGCCCGCAGCTCGATCCACCTCCTGTGCCGTCTTCTGGTACCGCTCGTTGCTGGCGGCTTGAGGTGCATTTTGTCCAATGAAAGACATGATTTCATCGGCAGGAGCGGTGGTAACGTTAGAGGTCGCCGAGAGAGCAAGGTATATGGGGAGAAGAGAGAGCGGCATCTCAGGGCCAGCAACGGCGGCAATCTCATCGTTGGCAAGTTGTTGTTCTATAGAGTTGGGCATGTTAGCCATCTGCGCCACAAGGTGTTCAACCTGACGAGACTTACCGACAACCTCATCAAGCTTGACTGTCTTATCCTCAAGCCCATTAATCAGCTTAATGAAGCGAGCGTTCTTGCAAAAGAGCTCAACTTGAGCTGGATCTATTTCCTCTCCACCAGGGATACTCCGGACCGTGTTGAGGACACGCTCAACGTCCTTACGAGCCTGGTTCTTATAGATGTTTTGAAGCTTGATGTAGACACTGGACTGTGCCTTCATGTCAGGCAGTCCACCGGGGACGGGCAAACGACCTTGCTCGGAGTGGAAGCGCTTGACAGCCTCGGCAATGATCCAAAAGCCAGACTTGACTTCGTGCTGATGAAAGAGTTAGTAAGATATCATAGATGGATGTGATTGGGACTTACAGGCTGGTGGATGTAGTCAAATACTTGCTGAAGGGAACCGGGAAGAGATGGCACCACGACGTGCTTCATGACAGCAGCTACGGCCTCTTCAAAGTTCTCTTCGCCGCCTTCAGGATTGTCTTTTCGCATTGCTTCGGAGACCGTCTTGCGGAATGCGGTCTTGTCAGCATAACTGGTGGGATAAGCGCCATCGTGGCCCTGCTGCCACTGTTCAAGGTAATGGAGGAGAATGACCACTAGAGGGAGGTGACCATGCTCATGGTTATCGAGGTTGTCAATATCCTTGGTCATTTCCCTCGAGAACTCCGTCAACTCGGGCCAAGGAGCCAGCAACCTCAAGTCCGTAGTCGCAGCCTCGTCGGGATGAGTATCGACGATGGGAAAGGTGCCAGGCAAGGTGGTCTTGAAGTAAGAGTAGTAGCCAACAGAATGAACGGCAATGGTAGGCGTCTTGTGGTGACTGGCATATTCATGAATGAGTTGCACCTGGTCTTGTGGCAAGGGCAAAGCATATAGGATCATGGTGAACTTTGGTGCGTTGGTGAGAAGCTCCTGAAGGCTGAAGAAGTCATTCTGCGCAAAGTTAGCTATGAAAATGAAGATGATTTTTATGGTAGAACTGACCTGAGACTTGGGGTACCACTCGCCCTCGACCTCTGGGTTGAGCTCAAGGAGAAAGTTGGTGCATGCTTCAGCTCTTGACTTGCCCAGCCAGCTGTCATCGACGAAGAAGTTGACGCCGAGATCCTCGTGAGTCACGGCAGCTGAATCAGCGATGGTGAAGCGGCCGATACCAGGAAGCACCAGGTTCTTGAGTGTCTCAACACCAACGGTGCCAGCACCCGAGTTGACGAGGAGGATGTTGGCCGACTCGAGAGCGGCCTGACCAGAGGCTGCCCACAAGCGAAGCTGACGATCATACTTTCGCTCCTTCTCCGAGGGACCGTGAAGGACCGGGGGAGTCTGGGTCATGACGTCGGCCATGGTTAAGGATGATGTGTGGTTGCTGTTGCTGTCTAGGTGGATGAAAGATGGGACTCTGGGCTGCCGAGATGCCGTGTGGCTCGTTCAACTACCGAATGCGCCTTGGCGACAAGGAATGATATGATGGTTGATACGAAAAGAACAGAAGTGCCGTTCGGGGCTCGGGAATGAGGCTCAAGTGCGAGCAACGGGCTGACGATAGCTTGTAGTTCTAGGCGAAGCCCATTCGTAGGCGTGGTCGACGTGAGTGAGTGCGAATAACTGGGGCGTGGTGGTTGGTGCCTGCTGGGTTGTTTCCTTAAATCGCTTAGTGTGTAATGTTGTTGGTGAGAAAATCAAGCAAGCTAAGCCTGTTGTAGCAGTTTTTATACGGGGACATGGTCCGTGCAAAGCGAGTGCGAACTTTCATCTGGGGCAGACACGGAGGTCCGTCCCATTGCTTGGCATCAAGAAACGATACTCTATGCTCATGCACGTCAAAAGTTATCGGTGTTTTTAACCGAATACTATAGCGAATCACTGTGAACTCAACGTATATATCTGCTCTATACTTTGTTGAAAACTATGGACTTGGTCGCTGCCTCCCTTTCATGAACCTAAACTGGTAAAGTTAGCAGCGCCACGATACCATCACACTCCCCTTTTGCATCCCGATTCCCCCCAACGGCTCTCAACTCAAGGGTCCATAGATCGAATCGAATGAACTACTAGTTTCTGTCTAGCGCTGCCCCCAGAATCTCGCTATTAGACGGCCGTTTGCCCATATTTCCGGTATTGCTCCGCGGAAAGTGGGTGTTGGTCGCAGCGGCTGCCGCATGGCGTCAGGCGAATGCGAGTGCGGACGTCTCACTCCACAACAAAGGCCTCATTTAACGTACCTCCATGTTCGAGAATCGCGTGAGCTGGCCAATAGAAGCCCGTTGGATGTCGTCCCCTTCCCTTCTTGACTGCCTCAGGGATCGTGAACGACAATGGAGGCGAACGCTGCCTCCTTTAAATGCGTCCTTCTCCTGCCCATGCCCCTTCCTTGATCAAAATGGGGCCCGTTGGCTGACATCGCTCCCTTCAAAGAACCGGCTTTAGGTGACAAACGCTCGGGTTGGACGGTCGAACGCGAAGCACATGATTGCCGAAATCTACCTATTCACTGCTTTGTTTGGGCACTTATACCAATGACTCCCCGTTTACATATTATTGACTTGAACCAACACTGCTGATCTGCTCGTCTACATCACCTGGGAACTGAATCTTACATCACGACAGTATTTTCTCAACTGCCTTGCAGTGATACTGTCACCTTCTCTTCAGTCCCAACTTGAAGGAAATCATCAACTCTTCGGCTCCTCGACGCAATGTCTACGGATATGGAGCTCAAGGAGAGTGACTCTGTCCAGGACCAGGGCGAGTCTGGAGCGGTGCTTCCCGCCCAGAGCCCTTCTGCTCCTCCTTCAACTCCAAAGGATGAGCACCGTATCGAGGCCGCGATCCCACCGGCTCGCTTCTGGACCCTGAGTCTCGGGTGAGTTTGGTCCTTCTTTTGAAGCATCTTTCCTACTCGAACTAACTCCCGTGAAAGCGTTCTGCTTGGCCTGTTTCTTTCCATGATCGACACCTCCATCGTCGCCACGAGCCTCTACAGCATCGGCGTCGACTTTGAAGCCCTGGAAGAGGTCAACTGGGTGGCCCTCGCCTACACTCTCGCCTACCTAGGCTGCGCCGTCGTCTTTGCCCGCATCTCCGACATCATTGGAAGACGCGATGCCTTCATTGCCGCTTACATCATCTTCTTCGCCTTCTCCCTGGCCTGTGGTTTCTCTACGAATCTTGAGCAGCTCATCGCTTTTCGCGCTCTTCAGGGCATCGGTGGCTCAGGTATGTTCTAGACTCCTTTTCTGTGCTCATGAGTCTGACTCGCTCAGGCTTGTATGCTCTTACCATGATCATCCTCCCGGAGTTGAGCCCACCTCACCTAGCCCAGCACATAGGAGCGCTGGTCGGCATGGTGGTTGCTCTCTCCGGTGTCTTGGGACCTGTTCTTGGTGGTATCCTTACTCATTACACCACCTGGAGATGGGTCTTTTGGATCAAGTACGTTTCCCCTTTTTCTCTTCGTGCAACGCTTCTAACACTTCCCAGCGGCCCCGTAGGCTTTGTGTCTCTGATCATCTTCATCTTCACTTGGCCCAAGGCTGAACACCTGCCTACGATCGAACGGCGCGCCTGGAAGGAACTCGACTACTTTGGATCCTTTCTCGCCATCGCCGCCGCCGTTCTGGTTGTCTTTGCCTTCCAGACAGCTGGCACGTCGTCCAACGGAGGATGGAAGACGGCCATGTTCCTCGCGCCCCTTCTGTGTGGACTACTCGCCTGGGGTTTGCTTGTCGGCTGGCAGGTCTTCATTCAGCATCGCCTTAGTGAACGCTTTGCGCCCGCCTTCCCGATCAACCTCTTCCGCAACCGAGTGTACACGACCGCCGCTCTCAACACCCTTTTCATCGGCTTCCCCTATCTTCTTCTCATATACGCGATCCCTCTGCGAATCCAAGTCGTTAGTGGCAAGTCTGCTCTCGTTGGAGGTGTCATGTTGCTCCCAATGCTCGGAGCGTCGGCCCTCGGAAGCATCTTGGCTGGCAAGTTCAACTCTGTCAAGAACTACACCTTTGAAACCCTCTTCGTTGGCTCTTGCTTCATGACGTTGGGCTGTGGGTTGCTGGTTACTCTTGACCATGCCCCTGATGACGCCAAGTTGCTTGGTTTCATCACATTCTGCGGTCTGGGCTTTGGCTTGACGGTTGCTTCATCCACCATGCTTTCGACTATCGAGGCGCCTATCCGAGACTTTGGTACGTTATTGATTCATAGTATGATTTGAACGTATTAGGCTAACCATTCGTCAAGCGCCTGCACAAGGCATCCTCTCTCAGATGCGCCTCCTCGGCGGCAGTTTAGGCATCGCAACTTCGTCAGCCCTTCTCAACCAGAGAATCGTGGAGTACCTCTCCGGAATCCTGACTCCCTTCGAGAAGGCAACCATTGGCGGGTCCAACTCCCACCTCTCGGACTCGCAGTGGGCGGCTGTCCGCTACACTTACTCGGAGGCTTTCCGAGTGGACATGAAGGTGGCAGCTGGGATTTCGGCCCTCGGTGTCATCTCCACCATGGGCGCTTTTCGAAAGCGCCGACTGCTTGTCGCGGAGCAGCGAGCTGCTCTTGTGCGAGAGGAGGCGGCTCGCCGCCGAGCCCAGGCCGATCAACAGTAATTGTTATGGACAAAAGGGGGTTGATCATGAAATGATGAGACTATGATATGTCAAGCCTGTAATTACGGGTAGTAGCTAGATTAGACACTAGCCAAAACTAATTTCACTATGTGAATACTTACTTTGGTTTATCACCGCTTCCTTGACATATCGTAGACGAAGGCCTTCGAGTGCCTCGAAGAGCAGACTTGTCAAGGCCATCATCCTATAAAACATGTCAAGGTCAAAGTCAAGGTCATTTAGAAGATTGATAGTCATTAGATTCCGTCTATGTCCCATCATCCACCCCGTCCTTAGCCGTCGTATCTCTAAACATATCCCTTGATACAGCACTCGGCCTCCTCGAACGCATGTCATTCAGCGCTTCGCTCTCCTCGTCAATATCATCGTCGTCTCCCTCCTCATTCTCATTATCCGACGCGTCAGGAGACTCGGCAAGACTGTGCTGTAGCGACGCCATGAAGTCACCTGCTGCCCCAAACTTGGTTATCCCCGACTTGTGCGGTAGCGTCGAGTACATCCTGTGTGCCTCGTCTAGACATCGCCGCGCCTGAATGTGTTTTGACTGTTGAAGCCAAGCATCTGCACTGAGCACACTCCATGTCGCGGATTTGCGCCGGCGTGATCCCCAATGCCAGCTCCCCACGCCTTCTTTGGACCCGTAGCAGATGGCGAGACGTTCCTTCATGAGAGCATCTCCAACACTGCCAAGGATCTTGGATTCAAGGAGTCGGACTCCCCATCGACCTGCATCATCAATATTGGTCCCGCCTCGAAGGCGAAGCAGCTCGAGACCAAGTGTTAGACTGCGCAAGGCTCCATAAGGAGAGCTGCACCGGGTGTTGTAGGAGTAAAAGGCAGCCTCCAGCATCTGATCAATCGTCTCAGCCCTATTTTTCGATGACATCTGCACTGGCATGATAAGGAGACTCAGGGCTGCCATTTCGTTGGCTGCCGCATGATGTTTCCAGGCCTTGGAATCGCTAAAGTCGGATCGTAGGAGATCATATGTCGACTGCGCTAGCTTCCAGTCTCGCAGCATGAAGGCATAGTCAGCCAGTTTTCGCATGATGGCTTCGGGTGCTTCTGCTGAATAGAACCCAGCCATGTTATAATTATCCCTGGAGCTACTCGTGCCCGATGAGGACCTTGAGCTGCCGCCAAACGCCCATTTCCTTGACAAGTTCATGAAACGTCCTGTGATGCCTCTCCGCCGTGAGGCAACCTGATCATTCCAGATGGAAACATGTCGCTCCATTGTAGGTACGATAGACTGTGCCACCATCTCCCGCACAAAAGTGCGAATAGCGGTAGCGTCCGACTCGAAGATGTACCGCGTGGGGTCTTCAAAGTCCTCATCATCTTCGCTTCGCCGGATGTCCTCAAGTTCCTCGCGAGCAGACATCCAGTCGCTGCGAGGAAGCGGGATACTGTCATCGTCCGTCTCAGCGCTCTGGCTGCTTCGCAGACGTAGAAGATGGCAATGAATGCCCAGATGACGCTTCATCTGCTCAAAAAGTCCCATAGACCTTGTGATGTCATCCTTCTCCTCGTCGTGCACCAGAACGTAATATCGCAGATAGTCACTGTCCACCCAGAGCGGCAACCTCTGGCTACCCTGGTTTGTCTCGGTGTAGAGCCGCCTGAGCTCTTCAATCGGGTTTGGATTCCGCGAGCTAATTGCGATAACACACGCTACCGGATGTGAGAAAGTCTCGTGGGGCGATATTGGGAGGCCTGACAGCAGCCGTCGCAGGTATAGGGCGTAGTATGGTGATGTCTCTTCTGACATGTCTTGATTCGCAAACACGCCGTGCAGTGGTGGTGCCGCAAAGGATTCTTCCGCATAGGACAAGTGACTCTCCACGACAGCTTCCACATCTGCCAGGAGTTGCTTGTCTCGCGACGTGCTCGCCTGGCTACCATTTTGCCCTTGCGACGGCGCCGGGTTCTTGAGGCCAGACACTGTAGGGTCTGGATGCTCAACATTGTCGCCGAATCTTGTAAATCGGATTGAAAAGCCCTCGACCCCTCGGCTCATCCCGTTACTATCCCTAATCGTGATCTTGCCTTGGACGTCCTCGCCAAACGGTCGCAGAAGTTCCCAGAGGCCATGACGAAACCCCTTCTCCGTCATCAAAGCCTCTGTGTCCTCAGAAGTGTAAATGGAGACATGGGGAACGAATGCCCGCAAAACCAGACTTAGTGGCTCAGCCGGACTGTCTCCCGCATTCTCGGCGAGTATTCGGTTGGACCGGGAGTCGAAAACGGTGTGCGATAGGACTCGAGAAGGAGAGCCTCGGCCAGCTGGTGATATAGATCTTGACCCCGGCGGTGATAGCGTAGAAGCGTAGAGTGAGGCGGCAGAGGGGTTGGATCGTCGAAAGGCCAGGTTGGTCTCGGATTGCGACAACGGCAGCGACTCGAGGATAGGGGTAGAATGTCGCGCTTTGGGAAATTTCATGGCCGATGCTGCCACCGGCAAAGCCTGGAGTGGTTCCGTCGGCGAGACATCATCTTCGAGAGGTTGTGGCATGAAGGCGACGGCGTATGGTGACTTGCTCTGACGTTATCGAGTAAGAGACAGGGAGTCGACGAAACGGGGCCGGAGCTCGGAGGGGAGGGGGGGGGGTTCAAGAGACGCTCGAGAAGGAGGGTGGTGAATCGCAAGCTGACAAGGCCAAAAGTCGGCTCGGCATGATCTTATCGCTGAGAGCAAGGGGACATTTGGCGAATACTGAAAACTGAAGGTGTCTTTAAGCTTGAAAGGACATGGATCTTTTTGGTCCGTGAAGGTCGGGCGACGATGTGGAAACTCTGGATATGAACGGGGTACGTACCTTCTTACCTCACACCGCAGACGTGGGCCGTCCAGGCGGGAGCTCCAGATCACTCTAGCGGGGAGCCAGGGTCATATTCAGTACCTGCATAAGCTGCATGTGCAACTTCAAGGTTGATGTTGCTTGGGAACAACACTTGAACCTCATCTTTGCCCCATTTCAACACACGATGCCCTCAGACCTAGCAGACTACCTAGCCTCTAGATATCTAGTCGCCGACCCGAAACCAGCAAAGAAGCGAAAGCGCAAGCGCGGCGACAACGCCAGCGGTGGCCTTCTTATACAAGACGACGACGACTCGGGCTGGGGCAACTCCAGCGCCCAACAAGATGACGAGGGTGCAGATGCCCCCATGACGGTATCGGGGAGATCTGCCGAGTTTCGAAAAACCAAGAAAAGCAATTGGAAGTCGGTTGGAGAAGGGGAAGGAACTCCGAAAGATGATTCTGCAGCCGCTGCGGACGCCATCCTCGCATCAGCGGCTGCAGAGCAAGATGCGGCCAGAGATGAAGACGACGAAATGCCAATCGTGGAGGGCGGTGGGAGTGCGGTCAAGATGAGCGACGGAACCCACGCAGGTCTACAGAGCGCGGCAGCCGTCTCGGCGCAACTCAAGCGACGCCAAAGAGAGGAACGCGAAGACTTTGAACGACACCGCAAATCAGCAAAGGAAGAGGAAACAGTTTATCGCGATGCCACCGGCCGACGAATCGACATCTCCATGAAACGCGCCGAAGCGCGACGCTTGGCCGCCGAGGCGGAGGAGAAGGAACGGCTCGCCAAGGAGGCGCTCAAGGGCGAGGTTCAGCTCGAGGAGGCGCGAAAGCGGCGCGAAAAGCTACAAGATGCTAAGCTCATGTCCTTTGCTCGCACGGCCGACGATGAAGAGATGAACCAGGAGCTGAAAGAGCAGGAGCGCTGGAACGATCCCATGATGCAGTTCATGGCAGAAAAGAAGGACGCGCCAGGCAAGGGCAAAAAGTCGAAACGGAAGCCTGTGTACGCTGGTGCTGCGCCCCCGAACCGCTATGGCATCAAGCCGGGCTATCGGTGGGATGGAGTTGATCGTAGCAACGGATTTGAGGGGGAGAGATTCAAGGCCATTAACCGGAGAGAACGAAATAAGGGGCTGGATTACGCATGGCAAATGGACGAGTAGAAGGATAGTTTTTGATACACGGATTCTATTATATACCCATATCTGAGCGCTTTACATCTCGTCCCAGGACGCTGGTAGGGTTTCAGTCTCATGTGGCATCCATCCCCCACTGACGGTTCCAAAAATGTTCTCAGCTGGGGCATCCTGAGGCTGGTACGAATTATGAAGAGAAACGAAATCCACATTGCATATCTGTCCGTTCAGACTTGGAATCGGTGCTTCCCCTATTCCTAAGTCCTGCGGCGGAGTCGCTTGTCTGGACCATAATCGCACAGCTTCTTGACAAGCTGGATCCATTCGCTCTTGGGCATCTGGCCAGGTCTGTCACCGAGACGGTGCTGGAACAGCTTGATAAGATCACCGATAACGATGCCCTCGTTGGGAATCTTTTCCAGAATTTCGGCTGGCTCGATGATAGAGCCTCCAGCAGATGGAGAGGCGCCTGAAAGATAGATGTCAGTCCGGCTTTCACTTGCTGCAGAGGTTGAGAGATGCTTACCACCTTGCGTCGGGATGGGGCTGCCAGCCCTGGATGCCGACGGTGTACCTCGAGCACTACCGCTGACAAGCTTCAACTTCTTCTTCCTAGAAACAGCACCATCCGACATCTCACCACCCGTCGCTTCTCCGTCGCTACCGGAGCCGGCGCCCATTCGCTGAGCGGCTGTACGCTGGGGTAGAGGAGTGCCAGCCCTGCTTCCCGCAGCAGGCGTGGCAGTCTTCTTGAGCTTCTTCCGAGAGGATTCGTTCCCACTAGACTCGGAGAGGGTTGGCGAACCGGGGCGTTTACGGGATTTACCCTTCTTCGAACCCTCAGGCTTCTTTCCGGATGGAGTGTTAGTACCCTTTGTACCAGACCCCTTTGGCTTTTCGCCAGCCTTGTTATCATCCTCCTCCTTCTTATCTTCATCCTTCTTCTCCTCTTCCCCTTTCTCCTCTTCATCGGAGTCGGAATCATCAGACTAATCCACGTATTAGCGTTGCTTCGTCCACGAACAACAAATCCCTATGGTATGCTTACCGAGCTGCTCCAGGGGTTGTCCTCAGAATTATCACTCTCATATATGTCCTCTCGGTCTCGCTTGATAAGCGCCTTTCTGGTCGCCTTACCAAGCTTTTGTCGCTCAATCTCCTCCTTCAACTCCTCAGCCAGCTCTCTGTCGACTTCCTGCTCGTCACCATCACCAAAGAGATTGGCGCCCAGTTGCTCGCGTCGAATGCGATCCTTGGAGTCCTTGGTGTCTTCATCATCGTTCTTTTCAAATAGAGGGGCCTCGTCATCGTCTTGGAACTCATCACCTGACATGTCAATCTCGTCATGTTCCAGCTTTTCCGACCTGGAGGCTGCCTTGAAAGTAGCGCTCTCTGTCTTGACCATCGGGCCGCGTCCGTAGAGAAGCTGTCGAGTAGCCTCAAGATCCTGCCGGCCTGCCCTCTTCTCCTCGTCTTTCATGACCCAACGACCGACGTCCACCTTCTTGCCCATCAACGCCTCGGCCTCATCGATTGTGAATGGTTGGAAAGGGGGCTTTGAAGTGAACCTGTACCACTTCTCAAGAGGTACCATGCGGAAGACCGACTGATCGATCATGAAAGCCACATTCGACTCGGAAAGAGCAGCGACGTAGCTACCGACCCAGACATTCTTACCCTCTGCATCTTCAAGATGCCATGGAAGCGCCTCTTCATATCGTAGCTCGGATTCCTTCTTGGCAGCTTGTGTTTTCGGGGCCCTGTTGAAGTTTGTCTTCTCCTCTTTTTGCTTCTTGGGTCGCTTGGGGTTGAGCTCCTTGGCGACAGGCGCAATCTTGGCCTGGTCGACGGCGCGCTGAGCCTCTCGTTCGGCCTTCATCTGGGCCAATCTCTCCGCCTCCTGCTCGTCCACCTGTGGCGCTTCGGGAGCTTCTATCTTGGGGGCTCTTCCTGGAGGGGGTTGACGGGCGTCTCGTCGGTGCAGCGTGACGGGTCGTGCGAAATCGTCCTGATCGGATGGGTCGATGGGCTTGTCACCCATCTTTGCTTGGGAGAACTTCATCATGTGGTAGCGAATGCCGTCGAGAAGAGCTTTCTTGGTCGTCATGATGGCGATGTCGGTAAACTGGGCAGGTGGTGGCTCCGACCATCCATCATAGAGCTTCCGCCGCTCTTCAGCACTTGGCCTCATTCCATTCTGTGAGCCAGCATTCGGTTGCGCCCCAGGTTTAGGTCCGGCCTTTCGCGAAACAAGGGGATTCGCGCGTGGCTTCTTCCGCATCGGTCGGAGAGGATTCGCTTTCTGTTTCGGGGCCCCATTCGGGTGGCCAGGCGCGCTGCCAGACGGGCCTCCGGGTGGCGGCGCGCTCATCTTGACGGTGATCTACTGGTGATTTGAATGATAGATTCTGCAGAGGGTGCTACCAAGGCAGCAGGTCAGGCTGGGCCTGGAGCCTAGCGTTGCGCCGGGCGCAAACAACGGAGCAAACACGTCGGGATTGAGGTGACTATGCTAAAGATGTCGATGGGAGATAACGTCGCGGTCGTCTCGATCTGCTGGTGATTGAGAGACAAAAGTCAGGAAGGGGGCGGAGGAAGTTATTTCTATTGACAAGTGGATGTTGGTGCAGGAGGAGCGCTAGGTCGTGTTGCTTGCTGCTGGTATGACGATGACAAAGGCGCGAAGCAAGCGAGCAAGCCACAATGGATGGGTGGCTGTGCGCGCCAGCTGGCAGGCCAGGTACCAAGGGAGCACCGACTTCCACTGGCCTTGGCAAGCTGGCAAGGGCTTTGTTCTAGGAAGCTCATCAAGCGACCCACCATCACTTGGGAACCTATGCACAGCGATACGGTTTTCTTTGTACGTTTCACTTCACCTGGTCAATTTGCTTGCGCTTCTTCTTGACGGTAACAGCTCTGGTTTTCTTATTTCAATTGAGTGGAGCATTGGGACTGCAGGTGATTACAGTGCTTGTGAAAGCTCTAATACTGTTCGTGACTTACCGGCGCACACTGTGGAACTCTGATAAGAGGCATATGATACACAGTTAGTGCGCAAGGTCTGGCACTGTACCCGGCCGTCCATTGGCAAGGGCAATTGTCTGGGCATTTTGTGGGGTTGCAGAGCCTCGACCTACAAACAGGGACGGCTGCTGAACATCATCCAGCATCACTTTGTCGCCTCATTCCCAATTTCTTTCAAAACATTTCACACGCATCCGTCCTTGCGTCGTCGATTGTGCCGCATCCAATCCCTTCCTGCCCCTTCCTTACCCCTCCTTCTTTGACCGGCCACAGGCTGCCCCTTCCCGCTCAAGCGAGGTGATGGGCCAAAGAGAGCCGGCTGTATCTTTACACCCACATCCATATCCCTCCCTCAAGTTGGATGGCTCCCTGGACACTCAATTATCGCTACAGGCTGCCGCGTGGCCCTTTTTCATCTCTTTCAATTTTCTTCTCTTCCTAAGGGGCTAAGAGTCCTCGAGCTTTCAATTCCTTTGTGTCGAAGTGCTTTTGCCTGAGAAGCGACTAGTCATACCCTGGTCAACCATCTAAGCCGGTCTCCCCAACTTACCCACTACTACCGACTCAAGACAGCTATTATCCTGTCAAGCTCTCACGATACTCCTTTGTTCAGCGTGTTGCATCCGACGGGTCTCGATGCTATCCAACCGTCCAGAACCGCCGCCTGGCGCGCCCACCGGCCCCCAGCAGCCCGGCCTTGAGAACCATCTTCGCAACCTGATTCTCTCCAACAACGGGCCATCGCAGGATTCTCCTACCAGCAAACCTTCTTCGGGCGTCCCAGCTCAGGCTTCTCTGAAGCCGCGTGCTACGGCTCCTGGCTTGGCCGCAAAGCCTCACAATGGCATGGGTAACAACGTTCCGACTGAGCCCTCCGCAATGGCTCCCCCATCCAAGCCATCGCGCAAGCGGATGAACCAGGCACAGAGACGCCAGATGAGCTCTCAATTGTCTATTCCCATTGACCCTCGACCTCAGCAACCCCCGCCTGCAAGGTCCTATCAGAGCCCGACTTCACACTACTCACGACCTTCTCAGTCGTACCAGCGCCACATGCACACCAATTCTCATCCAAGAACGACACATTACGACGGTCGCCAAAACGGTTCGTATGGTCAGCGTTCATGGAACGGCCCTCAGCAGGGAATTGGACCACATGGTTCTACTCATGGCCAACAGCAAGGCATTCCTGCGGATTCTATGCCCCTGCAGCTTAGTCGCGGCGGTATGCATCTCTACAACTCCAGACGCGACCCCCAGTTCTCCCCCGAGGAAATCAGCGCCCAGGCTTCTCTCCTTGACCGGCTTTGTTTTGAGGTGGTTTCCAACTCTGAGATCGAGAGATCCGAGATTGCGGAGAAGGAGGCCTTCCGTTGCCGTATCGAAGCCATCAGCCAAGAGGCCATTGCCCGTTGTGAGAAAGAGCAAAACCCAGAAGCAGAGTTCGATCCACTCTCGGTCCAACTTAAATGCTTTGGCAGTCTGTCCTCGGGGTTTGCTACGAAGGCCTCCGACATGGACCTTGGGCTGTTATCCCCAATGTCCCCAATCCAACCTGATGCTCCCGGCTCTCAGATCCCACGCTTACTAGAAAAAGCCTTCTTGGATGCCGGCCTGGGTGCCAGATTATTAACCCGCACTCGAGTCCCTATCATCAAGCTTTGCTCAGATCCGCCCAAGAAGCTACGACAAGATCTTCTCGAAGAGCGCTTCAAATGGGAAAACGGACTTGACGAGACTCAGGAAGATGACGAGCATGATCACGACAATGATCAGACCGGTCTTAATGGTCTTGAAACCAAGACGTCGACGTCTCTCGAGGTCACTTCGCCAACCTCTTTGACAGCAGAACCTCAGAATTTCGATATCAAACAGGGCCCCAAGAATACCCTCGCCTCGTATTACGGTTTGGCAAAGCGCGTTCTCCGTAGAGCGGGTGGTCGCGATGTCACGGTGTCCAACTATCGCGATCTTGCAGATCAGGACTGGGACATTCTGAACCGGGTTTGCAAGGCCTTCGTCGCTGGCCTCTCGGATCCGCAACTTCGAGGCCGATTAGCCAGATACCCATCTCTCACCTTTGAATCCGTCGATAATGGGCAATCCAACCGGTCCCTTCTCGGCGTTTATACTCAAATCGAGGGTGAGCAGATCCGGCAACTTTGGGAGGAGAGGGGTGTCCAGGAGCGAGCCCAACAACCTCGTGTTCTCGCTGAGCTAGCGATGGAAGTCTGGGAAGAGACTCAAAAGAATTTGAACTTCGGCATCGACCCTGTTTTCTACACCAAGCAGCTTCAGCTGGCTCTTGAGAAGATGAAAAGGGCGCCTTCAGTGCAGTTTGTGACCCTGGAGCAAACGCAACACGAAGCACCCATTGTCTACTCTGCTCGAGCCCTGAGTATAACCAATGCTCTACGGCCAGTGAACGAGCTCGCAGCCTCAGACTGGACCCGTCTGGTGGTCACTCAGTACTTGAACGGCATCCATCAAGAGGAAATTCGAAAGACTATAACGGATCACATCGCATCACGGGCAGAGGACATCCCAATCAGAGCCGTCATCCGTATGCACAAGGCCATCCATCTGGCATGGGAATTCGAGCGAGCGATAGAGAAGGATATTTACGACGAGTCCGTGATCCCGGATATCAAAGAGTACATCGCCCTCCTCCGAGCCCCCTTCCAACAGTCAGACGAATCTTCTACGAATACCGACTTCATCATTCCTCTTACACCTGCAACCTCTAGTCTGGTAGCGAGAATCAAGGCCCTCCCCGACCCTCACAAGCTAGCCCCCAACCAGCCGCGTGACCGATACCGCGATCGCCTAGAGTTCCCTAAGACGGGCGCAGGTGTGCAATGTGATATCAACTTTTCGGCTCACTTGGCTCTGCACAACACGGCGCTCTTGCGATGCTACTCTCTCACGGACCCACGGGTGCGACCAATGGTCCTATTCGTCAAGCACTGGGCGAAAATGCGTGGAATTAACTCTGGATACCGTGGAACTCTGAGCAGCTATGGCTATGTGTTGATGGTACTTCACTACCTAGTCAACGTCGCAGAGCCCTTTGTCAGTCCCAATCTTCAACAACTGGCTCCTCCACTCCCACGAGGGCTGTCGCCTGCCGAGCTGGAGAAAGCAACACTATGCCGTGGTCACGACATCCGGTTCTGGCGCAACGAAGAGGAAATACTGGGTCTTGCTCAGGCAAATCAACTAAATCACAACAACGCAACAATCGGTCATCTTCTCCGTGGCTTCTTTGAGTACTATGCTCATAGTACGATGCTGAGCACCTTATCAAGCCGAGGTTTCGATTGGGGCAGAGACGTTCTCAGTTTGCGTACACCAGGCGGGTTGCTGACCAAACAAAACAAGGGCTGGACAGGTGCAAAGACTGTCATAGTGCTAGATGCGCAAGGGGCCGGTCCTCACCCTCCACCACAAACTGAAAAAACGTCTACACCGGTAACTGCCCCCAAAGGGCAAGTCACATCTGACGAAGGCGTGCAGTCCAAGCAAGTGAACACAGCAAACAAGAACAACGAGTTCAAGGAAATCCGGCACCGGTATCTATTTGCTATCGAGGACCCCTTCGAGCTGGACCACAACGTCGCTCGAACTGTCACACACAATGGTATTGTATCTATCCGAGATGAGTTCCGGCGTGCATGGAAAATCATCCGATCGGCTGGGAATGGTAGCTCACAGGAAGAGCTCCTTCGGGACGTGAATGATGTTGAGGAGGAGGAAAGCCCCTTATCGAAGCTGCTGGACGATATTCATGGACTCGGGCAGACACGAAATGGATGAATAGATGAGAATCATGTTGAGACGACTGATGTACACCTGGGAAGGATGGTCATGGTAGTGGCGTAACGGGGATGGCAGATAGGCCTACGGATACAAGATAAACGGTCGGGGACATGTTTTTGGGAATTGTTGAACTTTGATTGTCGGGTGACATGGGAAACAGACCAGACAGTCAATCATGTACATTATGTGTGATCACGACCATATTCATGTGTCGTGGGACAAGACATCAAACAGATTGCGTGTGGCCGTGTTTCCAGGTCCGGCCTTCCTGCCGCGACCATTCTGTTTGGCTGCCTTCCGCTTCTTGGGTGCCGAAGCTCTCCCAGATTGCTCTTCAGTAAATGTGTCTGGTAATGGTACTAGCCTAGTGATGGTTTTCAACATCTGCGCTTCGACGCTCTTTCGCAGAAACTCTAGGGTACTCTCAATAGTTGGAAACTCGGCCAGGGATGGGAGGGAAGAAAGCATGCTATGTAGCTCCGGCATCGTTTCCTCGGTTGATGCAAGGGATATGACCTGTTTAAGAAGGCGGAACGAGTAGTACGCCGCCTGCAGCTGAGCAACGAAGTGGATGATGTCCCAAGAGACTCTTTTGAACGCTGTTCGCTGCGAGCATTCCTTAAGAATCTGCAGTATATGAGATTTCTTGCCTTCCTCGCGACAGTGTCTGATGTCCACGGTTAAACAAAGGATCTGCCATGTTTGGACTGCATCGCGCTCTGACTCTCCATTGATCTCGGACATCAGGCTTGTGAGGTCTTGAGCCCACGCCTTTGCAGCTTCTTTAGGTAGCATGTGCACTTGTCGGCCTTTTTGCACGCTCGTGTTAACACGTCGGTACTCTTGGACGGTTGACGATGAGCCGGGGATAATCCATCGAGCAACTGTATAAGCCAGTTGGCGGATAGGGGTACTCTGCTCCCAGGCACTCCCACGCGAAGGGTTCTCAAGGAGGATGGGTAGAAACATCATGTCGCCATTTGGATCATTTGATTGGACATCCTGGTTGCCCAGCTGTAGAATCAGCTCTGATATCCGGGGATCCAATGTCCCAATTTGGATCTCCCTGTCTGCAATTGACACTGGTAGTGGTGCTGTCTCATGATCAAGATACTCGTGACGGAACTCCGCGTAACCCGCTGTGTCAGCAACTTCCTGGGCACAATCTCGCAGAAGCTGAGAAAGTGTAGAATGAGGCGAGCGCTTACGCTCGTAAGCTAGCCGGCAGATCTCAGAGGTAGGCGAGAGCTTCACCTTCTCGCAGATATGCGCAGGGGAGAAGCTTGCACACGCCAGTCTCGATTGGCCATCAAGATAGATATCGCGAAGAAACACGACACGGCCATGGCCCAGATCATGCACCAGCAGGTCTGAATCCGCGGTGATAACTATGCCTCCAGATTTCGAAAGCCGCTGGGCGCAGTATGCATCGGCCTCGCCAGGGACGAGATGTACCAATTTTGTGTAGCGTGAGCAAAATCGTAGCGCATCGATAATTGCTGGAACATGGAAACTAGGTGGTAGAAACGGCTTTCCTAGAGGTTGTGTGGAGGAGAAAAGTGTTGGGGGAGTCTCCTTGACAGTTGAAAAGTCGGCCGGAGAGAAGCCACTTGGGTCTTTGGAGTGCAATGTTTTGAGCTGATTGAGGCTTTTCACCATTCTCTCCATCCGGACTAGTCGCTTTGCTCGTGGAAGATGGCCATCGAAGTAAATGGCTTCACTGATTTGCTCGAGTTAGCTTGGGCTCCCTTAGAAGGAATGGCAACTCACACACTTACACCACGACTGACGAGTTCATCTAGCCATGCGATGGTGGTATCCCCAAGGAGCTGGTATGAGGGCTGGACTATGCCATGTCTATTGCAGATGTGAAGAATGTGGTATGCCAAGGCAGGGCCATCAATGACTACTCGATCGTTGTCAAGAACTCCATGAACCGCATAGGGTTCTAGGGTAGAGATGAGATGAGGGATGCCCATTGCGAGAGTGGTTGTTGGACTCGCTGTGCCCTCTCATTGAAGCTGGGAATCTAAAACGAAAGATTGGCCTCAAGGGAAAGATCCAATGCTGGCCGTTTCTAGAAAACCTCCAAGTCAGACGTTGTCACGCATTGAGCGATCCGTTAAAGGCAACACACGCGACAGAGGCGACCGGCTGGATGCTTTCGCAAGGATTCCGGCCTCCGGTTGCGAGGCTGTGACGCACTTTCCGAAATGCCCCGCTTGGTCACCGACGGCGGGGCCTCCAGATGCAAGGACAGTGCTTGGCACTGTATGACACCGCAGATAACGACTGGCTGAGAGCCGCCGATAACCCTTTGCGTAACCCAAACTGTTGCCGTGCGGCCGCTAAAAAAAAGCAATACGGCGCACACTGGGTCCCGTGCGCAGAAGTGGCTTGGCTCGGCTCGCACGGTGCTCTGTACCGCGTCCATGAAAAAAAAAGCTTCCCACCTGAGCAACGCAGCTTTTTCCCAACCTTCTCTCCCACTCAATCTTTCCACGCTTCATCCTCACGCATCGATTGATGGGCTGCCCAAGATGCGCAACACCCTGATCTTTGCCGGCAATTCATGCCCAGTTCTCACAGGCCAGATCTGTGAGAATCTGGGTATGCTACCTGCCAGCGCCGAGCTTACTAAGTTCTCCAATGTGAGCTTCCCCTCGCCGTTATCGCCATTGATCTTTGGAGTCACCATCCCTGGGCCGCATTCCTTTGTCACCTTCTAGGGCGCTGGTGTCTCCGATCAATCAATGGCATTTCAATGCACACTCTCGAGGCTAACCGATTCTCAAGGGCGAGACGAGTGTCAGAATCTTGACAAGCGTCCGAGAGAAGGATGTCTTTGTCGTCCAGTCTGGAAGCTCTAGCATCAATGACTCCATCATGGAGCTTCTCATCATGATCTCGGCATGCAAGGGCGGCTCTGCTAACAAGGTCACTGGTTCGTGGTTATCTCTTCCCATTTGAGATCCCGTAGGCTGACTTGGCATCGCTGCCCAACAGCCGTCCTCCCTTACTTCCCCTATAGCCGTCAGTCCAAGAAGAAGTCCCACCGAGGTGCTATCACGGCTCGCATGCTTGCCAACCTGATGGGTGTTGCTGGTGTCAAGCATGTAATCACCGTCGATCTTCATGCATCCCAGATGCAGGGATTCTTCAAATGCCCCGTCGACAACCTCCATGCCGAGCCCATCCTCGCTAAATGGATCCGCCACAACGTCCCTAACTGGCGCGAAGCGGTTGTTGTTTCCAAGAATGCGGGAGGAACCAAGCGAGTCACGTCGCTTGCCGATGCGCTCAAGCTCAACTTTGGAATCGTCACCACAGATCGGAAGCGTGTCAGCAACATGACGGCTAGTATGATCATGAGACACTTCGATCATAGTGTCGATAGCCAACCAGCGTTGGAATCGAGCCGACCCGTTCCCAACCGGGGCGCCCGTGAGCCAGCACCCGAGCGGGAGAAGACTCCTAAGAGGGATGTTACTCCTCCACGAACCTCGCGGATTGTGACGGATCTGCAGGGCTCCCCTAAGCGAGTTAATGGCTCGTCGGCCCGCACTTCTAACCTGAGTCTTGCCGAGTCCGCGGATGACAATGTTACACCCCCAGCTCGATCGCCCGAACCATCAGTGGACGGCGAGGCCGACTATGATGACCACAAGGCACACGAGGTCACACATGGCCGCCTAGTCCAGGGCCGTATTGTTGAGGACGACTTCCCCTCCCCTGATCGATCCGCCGCCGATGTCAGTCTACATGACGAGGATCCCATGACCATGTCCCATGCGTCATCGTTCTTTGCCCCCGAGCCTCAATCTCTTGGAGGATCCGGTGATGCGGCAGGCAGCTCCGATGAGGAGGACAATGCGTTGGAAAATCCCAACGCCGAGCACATGATCACCTTGGTCGGAAACGTCAAGAACCGGACCGTCTTCATCGTGGACGACATGATTGACAAGGCCGGGTCTTGGATTGCTGCCGCTGAGACCGTGATTAAGAAGGGCGGGGCCAAGAAGGTGTACTGCATGGCGACTCATGGCATCTTTGGCGGAGAGAGTCTCGAACAACTGCAAGCATGCGAGTGCATCCACCAGATTGTTGTCACCAACAGCTTCCCCATTGATAAGGACAGGGCACGCAACATCAGCAAACTGGTGGTGCTCGACCTCTCGTTCTTGTTGGCTGAGGCCATTCGGCGCAACCACTACGGCGAGTCCATCTCGCCTTTGTTCCAACATTCTGGGGACTAGACAGATGGAACCTGCTATACTCTCGCTCTCTTGTCTACCGCCATGATGCGACTGCACAATCTGAGGCGGGTAATGGCATACTTCTTTGACGATATTCTTAGGGCCATTCTTTTGGTGTTTTTCTTAGCGAGGCGTCTGGGGAAAGGAACAGCTGGTGCCCTGAGCAGGACTTCATTCCTTGAGGGCTTACAAACAAAAGCAAAGTAGGTGACGAATCACGACTACTATTTCCCGGTCTTTTTGGTGCAGGAGCCTCTCGCGCGTGACAGTGTCCGCCTTTCGTTGTGCTGATGTGAATGAAACCGAGCTACATGCTCACCCAGCGGTGCTGTCACTTGTTGACGGCAAGGGCCCGATTCACCCCAGAATGGGTTCTTAACGGAACGTTGGAAGATGAAACTTTATCGAACTCAGAAGGCCTGTGACCCAAGACCATTCGTGGTCTCTCTTGTTCCTTCGGGGGCAAATGGGTTTTGGGCAAGAGAACTTTTCGAACATTCATGTGAGCTTCGGCGAGATGTAGAGGGCTTGACGGTTTGGCCACTGCCTCATGGTATGTCATTCTCAGGATGCACTGGACAAGTAGATTGTCCGATAGTGGTGGTAGCCCTGGATTCAAACTTACGAATATGAATATACCTTGATATTCCGTCTTTAACATGACATTGGGACCCTAATGCACTTTTATACATGAATTCTATTGTCTTATTTTGTCTATCTAACTTAAGCACCCTTTCGGTGAAGAATACCTGCGCCAGCCTAACAGGTGTCAGCCATTTTGTGATACTTTGAGAAGCGAGATTTCTTACCTGGTGGTTGGGGAAGACGAGGGTGTCGGCGACAACCACGTTCTCTCGACGGGTGGCTGTGAAGACGATAATCTCGGCAATGTCGTCGGGAGTGAGGGGCTCACATCCACTGGAAGGATTGTCAGCTCTTGATATCCTCTGAAGATGATGTCTTGTAAAGGACTGGTGAGAGTTGACTTACGCATACACAGCATCAGCCTTGGACTTGTCTCCGTAGAATCGCACAACAGAGAACTCCTAGAGGTCTGTTAGAAACAAGTTGGAAACTTGATGAATGGATGCTCGACTTACAGTCTCAACCTGACCGGGGTCAATCTCGATAACTCGGACACGGCTGGCGATCAGCTCCTTTCGCAAGCTCTCAGAGAAGCTGCGGACGGCGGCCTTGGTAGCGCAGTAGATAGAGCCGCCAGGGTAGGGCTCACGGCCGGCAATAGAGCCGACGTTGATGATGTCGCCGTGGCCTCCGTCGGGGCGGGCGAGGAAGATGGGGAGAACGGCCTGAGTCATGTTGATGAGGCCGGTGACGTTGGTGTTGAACATGACGCCAATGTCCTCCTCGGCGATCTCGGGAGCCCGAGCAACGCCCTTGACGAGGCCACTATGATGTATGAGTTACTCATCCGAGAAATGAGCGGGAAAGGAGACTTACGCATTGTTGACGAGGACGTCAATGTTCCTCCACTCCTCGGGCAGGTTGTTCACAAAGCCCTTGATCTCGGTAGGGTTGCTCACGTCGAGCTTAAAAGGCAGCACCTTGACGCCCTCACCAACCTCGCTCTTGATCTGATCAGCAAGCTCCTTGAGTGAGTCAATACGGCGAGCCGTGAGAATGAGCCGGAGGTCATTGCTGGGCGCCGTCCGGGCAAACTCGAGAGCCGTAGAGCGGCCGATGCCGGAGGAGGCACCGGTGACGACAACGGTCTTGCCGGCGAGACGCTTGGCAGCTGCGGAAGCCATTGTGCGACGGGTGAAGAGGGGACGGATAAGAGGTGTGAGTGAAGTCGGGCGTGAGAGCGAGAGGTTGAGGGTTGTCAATGCGGTGGTGAAGAGACGACGGGTGGTGTTCATTCGGACGGACTAGGGCCGAGTGAGGAGGTGGAGAAGAGTGAGGATGATGTGATTTGATGGAGATGAGAGAGAGCCGCAAATGGGTTCAATTGATTGGGATAAACGTGACAAGGAGTCAGAAAACGCTGAGTCAAGAGAGGAACAGAACGAGGTCGTCAAGGTATCTGGATCCTTGCTGAGGCTAGCAGGTATCTACGGGTCGCTATCTTAGCAAAGCCGTGGTTCGGCTTTGGAAGGATACACACGGAATAGTGGAGGGGGAATTGTTAGCGACGGTACTTTTGATAACGAACTTGAGCTACATGTCGTTGGAGTTTGACTGAGAGGGCGCACTTTTCTTACCCCGCGAATCATGACCTCTCAACCTTGGCTATCGGGATTACTAGACAGGGATTTCTAGCCTATCACATGTTGTGTAGGTTGCCTTATCCCCGGCCAAAGTGACGAAGAAGCCGCTTGGTGCTTGGTGAGGAGAATGGACCCCTCAGCCCCTCCTTTGATGGACGTTCATGGTTCAGACGTCATTGAGGTAGCTAGGGGTGGGGTTGGGGGTTCATTGGGGATGTTGGGGTGTGAATTTGAGGGACAACGGCTGTAGCCTGGAATAATGATATACGATACTTCCTTCGTACTTGCGGTCAATGAATTGACATGGTTTCATTTTATGGCATATGTAACTAATGTTGTGGTGATATGGCATGAACTCTTCACCGTCACCCCCAAGTCGATGGTTTGGGGGTGTGGTCGTCCATGCTGAGAATCACTTGTTCCCCGGGCTACGTCTGTCAAGCTACCTGACTAGGAAGATATGGGCAGACTCCAGAAGGTGGAAAATTATGCCGAAAGTCAAAGACCCCAACTATTCAAACTGCCCCGCTCCGAGTTCAACGGCGAACGTGTTGCGCCTCAGAACACCGAGGGGAGTAAACTTTGACCATTTCGGGCATCGTGACTCTTTGCATCCAGCTGTTTGATGCCTAATTTTAGAGTCATTCCTGAGAGCTTGATGAGAAGAATCACGAATGATCATTTCTTCCCCCGTGTGATCTGAGATATGTGATCTCATCGTAGTCGACTTTCTGAAAGATGCAATGATCCAATAACTGCCTGGGCGGCCAATCAATACCTCAGACCCGCTCAAGACTTTGTAACCAGTAGCAAGTAATCAAGTTTCTTTCTTGTGTTCTAGATTGCGGATTACGAAATAGTTTAGAGTTCCGGGAAATTGGTAAAAAGGTGCTACGAAGTTCCCTTGATGATTTACATGGCCTCAAAGGCTGGTCATAACTGTGTTGAGAAAAGGTAATCTCGTATGGACTCTTCTCGAATCATCAGAAAAATTTCTCTTGTTGAGCTTGGGCATTATCTTCCCAAATTATGGCGGATCTGTGTCTTTATAGCATCTGAACCCATTCTGGTGGGATATATCTTGTTGTTTTGCCCAGGGGCCTTAACCTTCAGAGAGTCTGGAATTGAACCGCCAACAAGAAAGGGCTGAAGGTTTAGCGAATAAGGCACTCGCTTGCCCAGAGAGCTTATGAGACAAATGCACTGGCTTCCATGTGGTGGCGATAGCACCATGCCAGGGAGAACGGTCACAAGGCACTCGCATCTAAGTTAAAGTCAATCATCAACACCAAAGTTTGGCTGAAACGATTCCCAACAAATTCAATCAAGGCATGGAAAACGTTGTCATCCAGGGCCCAAACATGGAGCCTCGTGTGTATATATATCTTCCCATCCATCCCTCGAGGACTGCAGTTCTCTTCCACTTTACATCTTCTCATACCACTTCCATCATCAATCACAAGTTATCAACTTTACCAAATTCATCACAACTTCATCAACACTTCACCACAACTCCATCTTCGACTCTTCATAACCACGACCTGAGTCTACTCTCTGTTCACAACTGAAGACCAACAAAACACCACAACAATGGTCCGAATCATCAACTATTTCACTCTACTCCTCGCTGCTGCCGCCACTATGGTTAGCTCTGCTCCTACTACGACTCCCACCCCGACTCTTGAGAACACCCTGAATCGGGTCGGTCGAAGTGCCTCCCCTGATGGCCTAGGTCACTCTAGAGACAAGGTTGACTTCATCACTGAAGCCAAGGCATTTGCTGAGGAGGAGATGAAGGAAGCCGAAGAGGCGTACAAGCTTGCAAGGGCTTTGTACAGACAGCGCATGGATGCTGCTGAGAATGATGGCAAGATCCAATTCACTCAGTTCTCGGAGGTTTCCTAGATGGAACTGGAACAGAGAGAAAGAGGGCGTTTCTAGGTCCTTTTTCTTTCTCAGAAATTTATCTAAAGAACTCTCTAGAGTTCATCTGAGGATTTCCCTAAAACTCGTCTGAGGGCGTCGTCCCATACAGACCACAGCATCGGTGTTTGGGGTTGAATGGTGTTGTCAGAGTGACCGGCGTTTTCATGGATCAAAGTTTGAGTTGGAATCTTATTTCTTCTACATTCTGCTGAGAACTCGAAACTGAATTCAATCAAGTTTTCAACCACAATCTGGCTACCTAGATATGTGAATGTATTGTGCCTGGAAGTCGTGATGCTGGATTTGGTGTTGTAGTTGGTCCCTGACCACTAACCGATAAGCGCTGGCTCGCTATCAAGCCACTAAACCCCATCAGCCATCGTCCCTGACGACAAGCAAGCCACTTTCATCCCACCACCAACAAATGATCTGTCTCCCATTCACGGCGTCACATGTGTCGTCATCCTTCACCCTTTGATTGCAACCTCGACTTTTTTCTTCAACGATTAGGGACCGCGATTTTAATGAACAGAGCTTTCTAGAAACGCCCCCCTTAACTTTTTGCGATTTCAACTCTATCAAACATCATCGCCGGCGCATCTGAGCGTGCCCGACTCCATCATGGGCGAGCTCGCCGACTACCTCATTAAAAATGATCCCAGCTTCGCAAGGTAGCAACCGCCCTTTTTACTTGTCCCACATACTATATCTGGAATCTCTTTGCTAACCGTGTACTTCCTTTAGGTCAAGATTGCCCGCACGGTACTCAGACTTTCGATCCCAACGCACACTGAACCCAGATGGCTACCAAGCAAACATCTCCGCCTGGCGCCAGGCCCTCTCCGATCTCGTCGCTCGAGGCCTCATCTCCCACCGCGGCTCGGAACCCGACCATTTTGTCCTGAATCTCGACGATGGACTACTGCGATCCCTCGAGTTTAAGGAGTTTGGCCAACCGCTGGCCTTGGGTACCGTCGTGCGCGAGGCGACCGCTGGACGAGACTTCATGCCCCTCAACGACTTCGATAAATCACAACAGAGCATATACCAAAGCAGTTGGTCAAGTTTGCCGTGGAACCTCATGGGCTGGACCCTGCGCCAGCTCGGAGTGGTGGATCCGTCTAGGGGAGATGATAAGCTGCCGACTGGCAAGTACGTGGTGGTCAAGAACGTCGAGGCCGCGGCAAAGGAGCTGGGCGACCTCATGGCGGAGAGAAGCTCAAGGTTTGATCGCGTCTTTAGCAAAGCGCAATTCCAAAAGGCATTCTCAACAGCCCTGGTTGAGGATCAGCGTTTGACAGATACCGACCTGGATGTGCTGCTCAAGTTCCTCTCTCGCGATAAGGGAGTTATCGAATATGACGGAAAGACAATTCGGATCAAGGGATCTGGTGAGCAAGGCGGCATCACAGAGGAAGATGCCGCTATTGCTTCCCTCAAGGAAGTGACAGAAAGTCTAAAGCATCAGACTGATCTTCTCAACACACGCATTGACGAGCTCGCACAAACCGCCAAGGATGCCGTCACCCGCAAGAACCGCATCGCGGCACTTGCAGCCCTCAAATCAAAGAAACTCGCCGAGTCGTCCCTCGCCACTCGCTACGCCACCCTCAACCAACTCGAGCAAGTGGCTGCCAAGCTCGAGCAGGCCGCTGACAACATCCAGCTCGTCAAGGTCATGGAGACGTCCACCGATGCGCTGGCCAGCCTCAATGCCCAAGTCGGCAGCGCGGATCGGGTCGACACCGTTATGGATCGTCTGCGGGAGCAGATGACCTCGACCGACGAGGTGGGCGCTATCTTGGCCGAGTCGACAGGCGCAGTGGTGGACGAGGGCGAGCTCGACGACGAGCTGGAGGCGATGGAGGCACAGGAACGCGAGAAGGAGGAGAAGGTGACACAGCGCAAGGAGGCAGAGGAGCAGAAGGCAAGGGAAGAGAAGGAGGCGGCCGAGGTACAGAAGAAGCTCGACGCGCTGCCAGCGGTGCCAGCAGATACCGACGAGATCCGCGAAAAGGCTCGGACGCCGACGTCGGAAACTGGAATCGCGAATCTGGCGATATAGAGGAAACCAGGAAGAAGGGGGAAGGGACTCATTCCGAGTCCAACTATTCACGTGCGTATATGATCACTGCATCTAGGATATCCGGGGGCGTTATGGGCTATATGTAAAGCCACGGGGGCCAATTGTTCATTAGAGTCTATACCTTGTTTTTATTCCACGTCTTTATATCATCAAATGGTATCTCGATGCACCGTCCTTCTTCTATGTTCCGCCCAAGCTCACTGCCCTGCCATGTTGCTCGCCTGTCATGGCTGGCTGCTTGGGTGCTGGGGCCATGTACAAGGTTGGGCTGGCCCATCTGGATTGTAGTATAAGGGTTGATTCCCTATGCCCGCGTCGGGGTTTTGGTGGTATGAGGGAGTAGTATAGTATGGTTGGGATGTAGAATAGGGGATATGCGGGTGAATGTCGGTGTGGTAAGGGTACGGGTTCTGCGCGTAGTATGACTCCGGAACACCTGAAGGCGCCTGTGTTACCGCCGCCATTGTCGTTGGAGGCGGCATGTAAGCGGCTGTCGAATTGACTGGGTTTGAGTCCTCTTGCTGAGTGACAGTTGGCGCCCAGCTTGGATCCTGTATTGGGTCCACGTTTGATGAGACCGCAGGCTGCTCGTGTGACGGCGCTTGTGATGGTGCTTGTGAAGGCGTTTGTTCCGAACTCGACAGCTTCTCCTGTTCCTTAGAAGCAGCTTCAGATTTCGACTCCTTCGCAGCCTCTTCGGCCTTCTTTTTCGCCTCGAGTCTGCTCTTCCTTGCGCTCGCAATCAAATCCTTGAACGAGTCGTCATGCTTCGCCGCCCAAGCCGCACCGTCAAAGTCCTTGTCCTTGATGATGGCGGCATTCTGCGCCGCCCGGCCAGTTGTCGGTGCTCTTCCTCCCTGTGTTCGCTCCCAAACATCCAGATCGTGCAGCAATTCGTTGCGCTTCTTTGGCTTTGCTGCGTCACAGTTGGCGTTCCAAAGTGTCACCCATTCTTTGTGCCGGCGCTCGAGTAGCATGCGAGGACCCTGATTGGAAATACCAAGTTCTCCTAGCTTCTTGCGTAGTGCTTGATCTTTGTACATGGAATAGCTCATCGTCGGTAGTCGTTCGAGGGCCTTCGTCTGACGTTGGTTGCCAAACGAGGTTGAGCTGCTTCCGGCTTTTCTTTGTGGATGTTTCGGGCCTGTGCAAGTTTCGAGATGCTTGAATACTTGCCACTCCTTCATCCGACTTTGACAGACGGGACAAGGCACAAGTCCGTCCCCTGTTGGCATTATTAGTGTTCCATCTTGTTTCCTCTGAACAGTGTTGATCTTACCAGGCTCTGGTACGTAGTCGTCATCATCTGGCACTTCCACCACCTCGTCCTCTTCTGTAGGTACTGCGTAAGAAGGTGTATGGGTTCGAGATCTTCTTGGTCGAGTTGATGTCCGTGGCCGCTTGCCTTCTGGCGCATCGTCTGACTCGTGGTGATCGTTCTCGGCCTTTCGCTTAGGTACAGCATTCGCTGCTCCCCCATTGCGCGCCAGCTCCAAAGCCACCGTTCTGGTCTTGACAAAGGCCTCCACGGCCTCCTCCATTGACCAGTTGCTCCGCAGCTTTAGCTCCTGCTCTGATGTGCGACAGAGCGGACACTTGCTGTCGTTGGACAAGGCTCTCCGAATGCATAGCGAACAGAAAGTGTGGGAGCAGGATGTGATCATGGGCGTCTTGTAAAAGTCCTTGCACACCTGGCAGCGCAGGGCGTTTTCAACAGCGGCGAGACCTGCGAGAGGCGTTGACAGCCAGTCGGTCGAATCGGGGACATCGTGGTTGGCCATGAAGCTTGGCTGTATGGCTGGTCTGGTGAGTCGATCGAGTATTCGGAGCCCCTGGATGTTTTATGCATCAATCCTATGAGGTGACAAGGAACTTTGTATACGAGGAGGGGTTGCCCGGGGAAGAAATCTTGGTTCGAATCAGGTTGTCGCGCTTAGACGCGATGCCTCGAATGACGCCTGCAAGTACCAATTTCTAGAATTTCGAACCACCGGATTGGAGCATATATATGTGCTAAAGCGGGTCGCACCTTCCTGTCTTGGCCAGATTGCACGTGAGAGCGCGTCCACTCTACGCGTCCTGCAATTGGCGTCTCTGGGATACCACGATTTCCACGGTCAAGCCGTAACGCGGATCTTGTTCAAATTCTTCCCTTCTCTTCCTCTTGCTTGGCCTGGTCGACGAGAAGGAGTTTTTCATTTAAAATCGCAGCATCATGGACGAGCACAGGAAATTTCTGGCAGATCGCCTGCTCAGTGAAGAGCGACCGGTATGCTCTCGATAGAGCCCCTTTTCTGCGGCTGATGGCAGGGCTAACATGATGCAGATCACATATCGTGTCCTCAGCAGAGCCTTGGATGTTCATGTGAACACTGCAAAGGAGTAAGTTCAGAAGAAGAACAAGCTGGTTCGCATTTCTGATCATTTCCTAGGATGCTCTATGACTTTCACAAGTCCCAAAATGCTTCTCGTGCCAACTCGGTCCACGCAACCTACCTTGTCTATGGCACCAGGAGCTCAGACAATCAGGAGTCTGATGGAGATGTCGAGATGGCAAGCTCAGCGCCCGAGAATGAGGCTCTCTCAGAGACGGTACCCATCACGACCTTGACCCTTGCCAGGGAGGAAGAGCTTAGTGGTAGCTTAACCCTTGACTCTATACCAATCAATGGTTGTTCACTAATCTCGTCAAAGATATCCTGGCCGACTACCAACAAGTCACTTCAATTCATGTCTACAGTCTTGCGCCTCATCCCCAAAAGGACCTCTCCCTCTTGTCAGATGCTTCAGCGCAGCTATCGGAGTACCGAAAAGATGAAGATGCTTCCGCGGCGTCGAAGAAGTACGGAATCATCAGCAACCCTCAAGCTCGAAAGAGAGATCGCAAGGGCCGCCCGCAGATTCCTTCACCAGCTACCTCACAGGCTGTCAAGCAAGAACCTGCTTCGTCCAAGCCGGCGCCGGCTGCAAAGGTCAAGGAAGAGTCGTCAACAGCCAAGTCGGAGGCAGTGGAGGCCAAACCAGTCAAGAAGGAACCATCAGCTTCCTCATCTAAGGAGGGCACGCCGGCCCCCAGTGGCTCGAAGAAGCCAGCCGTGAAGAAGGGCATGGCAGGAAGCATTATGCAGTCATTCGCCAAGGCAGCTGCACGACCACCCAAGCCGAAGCCAGCTCCCAAGGAGGAGGACACTTCCATGGCCCTCTCAGATGATGGTGAAGCGGATGACTCTGATATTGTCGCCTCCAAGTCAAAGCCTGCAGTGGACGCCGAGGAAGTCAGGAGAAAGCGTCAAGAGCGCGAAGATGCCCTGCGGAAAATGATGGAGGACGACGATGAGGAGGACAATAAGGAAGATTCAGACAAGGAAGAGGAGCAGGAGGACGAAGAGATGGAAGAGGCACCCGAACCTGAGCCAGAACCTGAGGAGCCCAAGGAGAAGAAGCCTTCGGAGGTGATATCGAGTAGCGGAGATGGGCGCAGAAGAGGAAAGAGACGAGTGATGAAGAAGAAGCGTATCCTGGATGACCAGGGGTACATGGGTAAGTTCATAACCAAGTGGCCGGGTTACAGGCTCAGATGCTAACCATTATTCAAGTCACGATCCAAGAGGAAGGCTGGGAATCCTTCTCAGAGGAGGAGGCTCCGAAGCCGGTGACGAAGAAGCCAGCGCCAACTCCAACCCCGTCATCATCAGGATCCAAGGCCAAGAAGCCTGCTCCAAAGGGACAAGGAAACATCATGTCTTTCTTCTCTAAGAAATAGGAGGTGAACGATGGCAAGAGTCGGGGACAAGACATGAAATAGAACAGCATGGCGGATGATATATTAAACATATTTATGGGCTTTCACAGCATCGCTTTCCCCGTTCAACTCCTCGTATTTGGCTGGGTCAGCCTTTACTCTCTGCAGCACTGCCGCCAACCTTTCGACGCCTTCAACCAGATCTTCTTCAGGCACGTAGGAAAACGTTAACCGGACGGCGCTGTTGAGATTCGCACAGGTTTCTTCGCCACGTATTTGGAACATGGTGCCGTTTCCGACGACCAAGTTCTCTTCGGAAATGGCAGCATCAGCTACCAACTTTGAAGACACGCCAGGACCAAGCGTTAGCCATACAAAGTAGCCGCCGTACACACTCCCATCTACAAGCCCAGCCTCACGTATTCCAACACCGAGGGGAGCCAGGTGTTTGTGAATCGCCTGCATTAGAACGCGGTGTCGATGTTGCAGTCTGGGCCGTAGTGTCGTGGCGAGGCGCTCCTGGAGAGCACCGGACTGGACCAAGTCGGCCATGATGGAGGCACAGAATTGACTCGGTGAGCCTCCTGATTGAGTCGCTCCCGTCTGCGACAGACCCCGAGCAAACGCAGGCGATCCCTCGAGCCAGCCAGTCCTCACACCAGGCCCGACAAGCTTACTGAAGGAACCATTGCTCACAGCGTGTCCAAATCTCTGGGGATCATTCTCCGCCTGACCCATGGCGAGGTCAATGTCGCAAAGCCGCGGTAGCAGCATGTCCGGGTGCTCGTTCGGACCTAGGTGTTCGGAGATCTTGGCTGGGTCGCTGTCGATGCGCCACTGGAGAAAGTCGTAGACGTCGTCGCAGATGATGAGGGCGTCGTACTTGCGCGCTACCCGTACCAGGGCTTCACGACGGCGGAGGGACATTGTCTTGCCAGATGGGTTGGAACATGTTGGCACGGTGTAGATGATGTGGCGGTAATGCTTGCGATACTCTCCTGGATCGCTGAAGCGAGGCTATCGCACATGTTAGTGCAAGCGTCTACAAGCTGTTTGTGTCATTATTACCTTGGCCTCTGGTGGGTTCTCCTCAAACTTGGCGAGCTTCTCCTCCAACGCCTCAATATCAACACCCTCCTCATCCTCAGGAAACGCCTTCAACCGGCCCTCGAAACCAGCATCACGAAAGATCTGAAAGACGAGGTGGTAGCACGGCGCAACGCACCACACGGCCTGAGTGACGTTGGGATCGGTGAAGCTCTGCAGAATGCAAGCGACGTTCTGGCTGGCGCCGCCTGAGATGCAGATGCGCTCCGGGTCCCGCTCAACCCGGTAGTGCTCCGACAGCCATGTGGCCAGGGCCTCGCGCAGGGGCTGGTAGCCGGCGTCGGCTCCGTACTGCAGCGCGGGGACGTAGATGGAGGGGTCGGCGAGGTTGCGCTGGGCGGCCGAGGACAGGAGGTCGGTGGGGAGGAGGGAGGGGTTGGGCCAGCCGCGGATGAGGTTGATCTGGTGCTTGCCCGCGTCGGGGTTCGAGGGGAACTCGGAGGCGTGGGTCGCGGGGGCCATGGTCACGATGCTTGATGATGGTGTTGAGGGGGAGTAACAATGTTTGAGAAAGGGAGGGCTGCGGCCCAACGTCATATATGTCTCTAATCTCCTCGTTGCACAGTATCCCGCCCAACTTTTGTCCATCCAGCAGTAAGAGCGATGTCGGACCGGCTGGAAGAGGTTCATGTCCCTTCCCTTCTGCAAGTCAAGTCTTGAATAACCGAGCGGATGGATGGTAAAGGGCGGATAACTGTGGACCTCTTCCGTCTGGCATGGGATCCATGATTGATTTTCTCGGAGTTGCTTGCCACTTTGTCGAAGGGCACCAATTGCCTAGGTGGATAATTACGAAATCTGGGGTACTACAAAAACCTTCGTGGGGGGAAAAGAAGATTAGTTGCTTGTGACACATAATGGCGATAATTGAATCTTACAAGGTTATTGGTCTTTGTTGCAATGGGGCCGTTCGCCAGTAATTTCTGTTTAGAGACAAGCCGGTGATAGCTAGCCGGTCCGGACCATGAACATGTTCCTCATGCTTGAAAAATCTTGCCTGCATCACAAGCTTAAACAGTAGCTGTCTTTTGTCAGTAGGGCTATGCCAGTAGAGGCCAGACTCATTTATTCATGCTGCTTTTCTCCGTATGCCAAGTACGCCCAATCCACCCAATCAATGGATGTATAATGCCATTTAGTACACCTGTTGTACAGGCTAAACTACCCATCCATTGCCCATCATATCTCATACGGTTCGGCACCCTCGCCAAATATCAAATGCGGCTTTCTCTTTGCGAGATCCAGAATCGTTGATGCAAAAACACCATTGGCCCATGCGAACCAACTTCTCGTGTACTGAGAAATATGCTGTACATCAATACTCTCGTGGACCAGACCCAGCTTGGCCGAGTCAAGCACCAGGTCCAAGCACTCCTTGATCTCGGTCTCGTTGCTCGTGGTTCGGGCTTGGATGAGAAGACTCATTGGCCATGCGTTCCTCAAGCCAATGTGAGGGCCTATAATGTCAGTTACTGTGTGCCACAGGTTCCGAGACCATTGGTGTCTTACCTCCAATACCCTTGAAGGCCTTTCCTTCCAAGTAGTAAGGGTTACCGCCCTTGTCTAGTAGCATCTTCCTTGTGTTTTGATATATCGGGTCATCCACATCGCAGAATCCCATCAGGGGAAGTGCCAGCAGTGAGGGATAGTTGGCATCATCCATGAGGATTGTCGAGCCGTACCCGTCTACTTCGTACGCGAACACATCGCCGTACTTCTTGTGCTTGACCACACCATGCTCCATTACGCCGTCCCGTATCTTGTTGCTCCATTCCTCCAGCGTCTTGGCCAACGTTGTCTTGCCAGCTTTCGTGAGGAGCGCTGCTGTTCGCTTCAATTCCACCGACATCTGGGCGTTGGCGGGGATGAAGAAGCCAAGAATCGTAGCGTCGTCACTGGGACGGAACGCCGACCGGACCAACCCAGTTCCCCAGTTGAGAGGGTTTCCCTCACCTCTCAGATTCAGCGTCTCTGTTCCGAGATCAGTGCGGCGCTGGAAGGTATACTCGTTGCGCCGGTATTTGCCCGTCTCAGGGTCAAACGTCGACTTGGACTGCTGCTCCAGCACGCCCAGCAGCGTATCGACAGCACGATACCACCTCTTGTTCAGAAACTCGAGCGAATCCGTGTGCTCATAAAAGTCGTTGCCAAGGGCGAGAAAGTGCGCGAGGGAATCCAGCTCGTACTTGCACTCAAAGACGGCCTGTGGCTCGTAGGCTGGGTGTACGACATCATCCTGGCCATTAGACGAGATGGGTAGTTCGCTGATGGGTGGTGGCTGGAAGGCATTGCAGTAAGGTGACTCGATAACATACTCAGCCTGCGTGTTGATGGCACCAAGCAGTAGTGTATGCACATCGGTGTCTTTGTTGGCCAAGGGCTGGTAGGGTCTCAGTTGATTTGTCGAGTCTCGCAGCCATTCAGCAATAATGTCGCCGGTAATAATAAAGGACTGTGGCCCTTGCCAAGCCTCATCGTCGTGGAATCCTCCAAAGCTTCCCATGCGGAAGAACCCAGTCTCTGACTTGCCCTTGGTGTGGAATTTGACCGTCGTGTCCGTCGTCGAGGGGAACGCATTCTCAAAGAGACGAGCCAGGTCTGGGTCTGTCATGCGCGATGTGACGTCCTCAATGACTTTTTCGATCGCTGGTGATTGAAAGGTCCGGCATTTGGGGCTCGGTCGTTGGTAGGGTAAAGCTCTAGGTCCGGTGCTCAAAGGTCGACTGAAGAGGCAATGTTAGCTCGCAGCGCCGGTAGAGACAGCAAGGGTGCATACTGGATATATGTAGCGTATCGTGTATAATCAGGACATGAATGCGTATAGTCGGAGAGAGGTCTCTGGTTGCCGTCGGTGCTGGCGCTGGCGAGCGATGCGCTCAAGCCCAGCAAGCTCGACGCCAGCAGCCGGAGCGTCATGGCTTGGGGAGCGTTTCTGCGAAGACTCTAGGTTCAGGTTGTAGGTGTGATTAGGGCAAGACAGGTCTGAGTCGGATCGGCACGGGGGAGGTCGTGAGGATTAGGGAGATGGTGTCAAGAGGTTGAGTTGAATGGTGCTGAACTGGCCGATCTGGTGTTGTCGCATCCCTTGACTGATTACGTAGGATGGGACAGCTCCTGAGGTAGGGGCGACGTGGGGCTTGCACGGGAGCTGGGGTAGCTCTATCTTGGAGCACTCATTAAATAACTGTTGCAACTTCACAATCATTGTTCGGTCTGCTCCGAAATCCTTCGTTTCAAGGCCGCAATTAATCTATAAGGGGTATCATTCAGAAACTATCGACAATGCTAATTCGCCACCATGATCTAACTAAACCCAACACCAATATAACATCACCATCCCCATGTCCGGCTGGACGCCGTAAACACCGGCGGCTTCCATTGAATTTTAGTAGGATCAACTATCCGCTTGCGCTTCAGCTTTGACTTTTCCCGTTGTTGAATCAGCTTCTCCGGTATCACAATCTTGTGATCGCTCTTATGATACACTTGCATCCGCATCGCCTGGAGAGTGTGTTCCACATCCTGGGTCGTCATGGCTAGCGATGTGGAAATGGTCTCGATCGTCACCTTTTCCTCTCGCTCGTTGAAGCCCATGAGAAGCTCGAGGATGTTCTCCGACCAGTACTGTCGATAACTCAGGAGACCCAAATCCGACAATGGCTTCTCTGGAGACCCAAGCTTCCCTTCAATCTTGGAGAGCTCGTACGAAAATTGAATCAAGAGTCGTCCGTAGCCTTTGCGCTGGTATTGGGGTAGAGTCAGAATACAGGCCACATTGTACCCGTCTGCGCTCTCCTTCTCCTTGGAAAAGTACCCAACTAGATGACATCCCTTTTCCGTCCGCGTCGTCATCACGTAAAACAAGAACGGATCTACGTCATAGTAGAGGGTCTTGTGGTCCAGGAACATCTTGGACAGCAGACACAGGTTGCGACACCATGTCCGTTGTCGTCGGCCGTCAATCTCGAAGAAGGAAATGGCTTCGTCTCGGTAGATTTCGTTTCCTGGGGGGTGTTGAAGAGTGCACTTTCGTCGGTGTCGCGTAAACGCCTTTTCATCTCCGTAGTAGCTCAGGCAAAACTCGCAGATGAAGATGACATCCTCTTGGTTAAAGACCTCGGGGTATGGCGAAAAGTACCACGGGTAGAGATCGTGTTTTCCGAATTGCACCTTGGAAATATTTCGAATTCGCGACACTTCGGTTGGGTTCTGCGTCATTGATCCGGATGTTCGCAGCTTCTCGATCTCGACTTCGCGACTGAACTCTGCCGGCTCCCTCTTAACTTCCGTCTCTTTCTCGTCCATGTCCATATCATCGACCGCGGGTGTCGCGCCACCTTCGACGCTAGGTCTCGTTTGACTGTCGCCATCGGGTCCAAGGGAGGAAGATTTTTGTCGACCTTGGGAATCTACAAAGTCTCAAAACAACCAATTGTCAGTCGCATGTGTTGATCAAGACCAGGGGTTGCCTACCTGTCCAAGGATGCGGCGTGTTCGCCTCTGAAGCTACAGACTGCTCTCTCTTGCTTAGGCGCTTCTGCGCCTTCTTAGATTGCTTCTTCGATTGAGCTGCCGACGCCTTCTTGGTCTTGGGATCCTTGGGTTTGTCCTTGTCCGGGTTTGGCCACTCGACTTCTCGGGTAAAATCGATCCTCGCCACAGGCACCCATTCGTCCAGTCGCTTATTGAAATTGTCGAAATTGCAGTAAAATTGCTTGCCGCTCTTTGTTGTCTTGATACTAAGGATTTCGGCTCGTCGCGGCTGACCTTCCTTGTCGACCCAGGCGATGCATCCTGTTGCTATTGTCTCGGGTGTCGCGTGGCCTTTCAGTCGAGGTTCGCCAGACCCTACGGTGGCCTCTCCGCCAGGGGTACCGCCAGCCATGATGAAAAGGGCTGATGTGGTCGCCTTTTTGATGAATGTCGCGCTGTCGCGTTGGTAGCTTGTCGCGATGATGGAGCGGGAGGAATTATTTCTGGAGGGGCATGGCAGAATATGGAACTGAGCGCTTATCGCAAAGGCGGTGAGCATGAGTCAAGCTTATCAATTTTTCGTCAGCTGCATAAATCCCGTTAGCCTCATCACCTGCAAAGCCTGCCATTCTTGAGCCGCTATCATCCACCACTTATACCAACGCAACCAGCTTTCTGCGGTACTTGACCTCGATCACCTTACTCGTTGAGAGGATGGCCGGACTCTCATCTAACTGGAAAAAGCTCCAGGCAAAACTCAAGACCGAATCTGCTTCAAAGCCATCCCTGAAGCGGAAATCGGATACAACAGCAGCAAAACCAGCATCCAAAAAGCCCAAGGTCAACAAAGCCCCTGAAAAGTCACAAAGGAAGATCAAGGGACCACGCGCAACGGCTAAGGGTCAAATGGGTGGCGTTCACAGCTCAAAGATTGAAGATGATTCACAACCTGGGACTTCAACATCCCTCGCATTATGGGCGGAAGATAACGACATATCTGCCGAAGCCTTGGCAGAGGCGTATAACCTCGGAGCCAAGGATAACTCAATGATGCTCGCATCAGCAAAGGACAAGATTAATCATGGCCTCACAGAAGGGATCGACATTGGCAAATATATCGCCATCGACTGTGAAATGGTTGGTGTTGGTCCTGGTGGTTACGAGTCAGCTCTCGCCCGTGTCAGTATTGTCGACTTTCATGGACGTCAAGTCTACGATTCATATGTGAAACCGAAGGAGAAGGTCACAAATTGGCGCACAGCCGTGAGTGGGATCAGCCCGAAGAGTATGAGATTTGCTAGGGACTTTGAAGAGGTCCAGGCCGACATCGATAAGCTTCTGAAGGACCGCATCTTGATTGGACATGACCTGAAACATGACCTCGAAGCCCTCATCCTAAGTCACCCAGCACGAGATATCCGAGACACAGCCAAATTTCCGGGTTTCAAAAAGTACGGCAATGGGAGGAAACCTGCGCTGCGACTCCTTGCGCAGCAGTTGTTGGGGGTTGAGATACAAGAAGGGGCACACTCCAGCATTGAAGATGCACGAGCGACAATGCTGCTCTTCCGAAAACACAAGTCAGCTTTCGACGTGGATCACGCCAATCGATTTGCACCGAAACCAACACCAGGAGGACAAAAGGGGAACAAATCCAAGAAGAAACGAAGGGGGTAATCAATGCCGTATCACCCGTCAACACCACGCTATGAGATTGTCTAGATACCCATACAGCATCATTCATTACCCCTCGAAGAGGTCCTCTACCATACTACTTGTCTTCCTCCTTCTTCGCACTCTCACAGAGGAATCCCGTCCATCAACTGGAGTGACCCTTCTCGGCCGACAGTAATGATCACGTCGCCCAGGGTCTTGGTCACGAAACCAGCCTCACAGTACGTGAAGTAGTACTGGCAACAAATTAGTTTCCGCGAATCCACAAATATCTTGGTTATATCTCACCTCCCACTTCTTGCGAAAGACCTCGACTCCTTCGGGAGTCATATCAGGGTGCTCCCTCATTAGAGCTGGTCGGATCCTATCGTCGAAGCTCTCCATAAAGTTCTCCTTCCACAGCCTCAGCGTCTTGGCGTAGTGGCCGCCAATGTTCTCAACATTCTCCACGATGAGGGTGCCTTGAGATTGCTCGCTGATATGATTCAAGAGCTGGGTGATTGATGGGAGGTATCCACCTGGGAAGATGTAATGGTTGATGAAGCTGCGATGCGTTAGCAAAGTGAATGGTGCTCCCCTCGTTAGACTTACTCCTCTGACTTGGAGTAGGCTTCGTGGCGGCCTTCGGGCATTGTGATGCACTGGAAAACGGCTACTCCGCCATCTCGTTTTAGAAGCTTATCGATGCAACTGAAGTATGTGGCAAGGTATTCCTGGCCAACTGCCTCCAACATCTCGATCGATACGATCTTATCATATGGGTTTTCGGGAACTGGGAGCGCTCGATAATCCATCAGTTTCACCTCGATCTTATCGCTGAATCCTGCGGCGTCGATGCGCTCTTCGGCCAAGATCTTTTGCTCCTTGGAAAGAGTGAGGCTAGTAACCCGACATCCAGTCCTCTTAACGGCCTCGATGGCGAATGAGCCCCATCCGGTACCGATCTCCAGGACATGGTCTGTTGATAGGATTCTAGCTCCGTCAATGAAGCGGCACAGCTTAGTGATCTGGGCCTCCTCCAATGACTCTTCTTCCTGGTCGAATCCACGATGGCGTTGCCAGATGGGACATGAGTAAGTCATGTCTGGTGAAAGGAAGGCGGCAAACATGTCATTACTGATGTCGTAGTGTGCTGAGATGTTGAGGAGCGCATTTGAAAGAGTGTTTGTTGAGCGAGCCACGCTGGAAATCGCAGAGGATAGACTTGAGATCCAAGTTGTGCCATTGTCCATTTGCTCGCGATTGACGATGAATAACTGGGATCGTGTTAGTCCCATGCTGGTGTCCGCTGTTGAAAGGAACTTACCTGGAAGAAGGATGTCAAATCTTTGCACTCAAAGTCACCCAGCATATAAGCCTCTGCGAACCCCATATCGGCAAACAAGAAGAGACGCATCCAGAAAGCGTCATCCTTGACCACAATCTCAACGCGTGGAACAATGTCCGCCCGTCGCGGCAAGCCAGTGTCATCAGGCTGACTTCCCAACTTCCCCGAGAGCTTTTGGCCATAGACATATCTCGTCTCAGCCGGCTCGTCGACCACAAGGAGAGTTCCTGTCTCAATGCGCGAGAGGACGGATTGAATGGCGGGCTTCGCGATAGCCAGTGCGGGACCCCATGTCAGGCTGCCGATTGAACCACGGACAGCTTCCGCGCCGCGAGAGACTGGCTTGCTGATTGCGGGGGGAAGAGTTGGTAATGAGAGACCCATTCGAACCATGGCTGCGGGGAGTTGTCCAGTCTTGGGCTGTACCTGCAGTCAAGAGATGAAGAAAGTCGAGGCTTCTGTGTGTGCCTAGACACGGGTCATGAACTGAAGTGGACTGTGTAGTATGGATGGGAGAGTCGAGTTCACTCTTCAGCGAGCACAGAAGGACGGGACATCTATCTCGGAATCAAGAGGGGTTTTGGTAGGTTTATCAGTTACTCAACGGTAAGCCCTGGACCCCTACTCCTTACATGGATCGGGCTGTCCGGGCACATCGTGCATGTCGGCGGCTCATCGATAAACCGTGCGGCATTGGAAGATGTTGGAACGGCGGCAGGGACGGCAGAGATCGGGGCTAGTTTACGGGGACAAGCAGCAGCAATGATCTTGGCGAGAGCAAGGGTTTAGTGTAGTATCTCTATTCAAAGGCATTGGCATGTTTCAAAGGTTTGTAACAGATGCGAGCGTCACTGCAGAAGCCGTTGATATAAAACGGGTACACCGAAGCTGCGTCTGGCATGCCGTCGGAAGCAACCTCTGTTGATCCCGCATTGTGGTTGCGGAGGCAAGTCGCAGAGGTAACAGCCTGAGAGGGATACCTTGCAGAGCACGACAAAACACCAGGAGCTGAATCAAAATCACCAACTGCATCGAGCTAGTACAAGAAGGCTTCCATGACGGGTGCAATTCCCGATGGAGGGCGCACGAAGTGGATGCCAGATCGATCAGTCTTGATGTCATCGACTTTTCTTCGGTACTCCGAAAAGACCGATTGCGAATGCGATAGGTGGGCCTCTATTTCTTTCAGCAAGCCACAGAGGAGAGAAAAGTGGTAAGCGAATGCAAGAGCCGATGCTGAGATATCGAGATGCGATGTGCCATCACGCAGAGTGCATGGGAATCGGTTTCTTTCTAGATGGGCAATGTCAATGCGATGATCGATCTCGAAGGGTGGTCCCTTGGTCCCTGAGGTGGTTGCCCGATTTGGCTTATCTCTTATCAGATTAGATAAGCTTAACCCAGTCCCTGGAAAGACCCTTTACGCGTCTCGACGCGTCTCCCTTCAACCTCTACAATTCACCCACCAACCAACTCAAAATGTCACAACCAATTCTCTCGATAAAGTCCGACGACAACAAGTCCAAGGCCATAGCGAACCTGCTGCCTTGCCGTATCCATCACGATGGCCCTATTCCTGACGTTTCCAATTATTGGTCACCCACCACTGCCGAAGGTTTGTACCTATCCCTTAAGGATTTGACGAGCCCTAGACTCACAAGCTCTCATAGATGGCACCAAGCTAGCATACTTTCGGGGGCGAAAACTTCATGGCAAGACTGTAAAGCTACCGGAGCAGTGCCGCGGTGTCTTGGTAGAGAGGAGGCAAGAAAAGGAGCAGCAGCCTGCAGTAGAGGAACCGGTCGTTGTGATCGACGATGACGAAGCTGAGAAGGGGCCCGCCGGAACCATGCAGGTTACGGCTGAATTTGATGAAATGGTTATTTGGGGTCACGAGACTCTCGTGGATGCCGCTGAGGACCCGTACATTCGGAGTATGGAGGAATGGCTTCAAGTGGCTGGTCAAGTAAGCTCATTCCCCCCTCGACATGCAAGTTTTTCGTGCTAATTACTTAGATTCACTCTTATTCAGAGGAAGCTCCAGGCAAATAATGTGGATGGGCCCATAGACCAAGAAGTCTCAACAGCGGCGAACAGCTGCGATTCATCTACTATAAACCACCAAGATGGGCGTTATACACACAAAGAAGACCCAACCACAAGACCTCCCCTTAGATCAAGCACAGCGCGTTTAGCTGAAGACAGCGCAAATCCATAACATGGTTATCAATACGCCTCAAACACCAGACAGGAGCGAGTTTCTCGGAATTTGGATGCAATAGAATGTTTTGATTATAGAGCTAGGCCAAGGCATATCCAAAAACCCACTCATCGTTTAATATGAACCTTGCTCATGTTGTTTATCTCTCAACGCTTCAGGCTTCTAGCGACAGAACAGTCAATGTCGCGAACAGGAGCAGATCCAAGGGAATCAACCATTTATCGCTCTTTTGCCATTGCCCTCTTCTCTCCGCAATCTTTCTAGGAAGTCAGCAGTTTCCTAATCGCTGCGCAAAACATTGGCCTCCTGTAGCTTCCGCCCCAGGTCGATAGGCATCCCGCGGGTCACTGTCACCACAAAGTCCGACCCTTTACTCTCAGTGCTCACCCAGTCGCCACCGTAGATTTCCGAGATAGCGTTGCGGAAAGCAGACGCGTCGCGTATCATGGTGACGGGAATCACATGGGTGAAAATGGGCTTGACTGGGGAAGTCATGATGTGGGTTTCGCGATGTTCGTGGTGTGACATTTCTTGCAGTAGTAGATTGTAGAGTGTTTGGTCGTCTTACTAGAACATATGATCAACTACTTGGTTTTATATCTACGACCTTGGCCGCCATCTATTCAGATTCTCTGTAGACTACCACCCACTGAGACTGGCAACCGCCTATGTCAAACAGAGCATCACTAATGATAAATACTAGTGACAAGAACACAATCATGAATGCTCATACGATGGCGGAAAGCCTGATTGAGTCTCAAAGCGGCTGAGAGCAGAGGTTAACAGTTAAATTCGTTACTTCGCTTATTCACTGCATCTCTCTCTGTCTACCATGATGAGTTGTCTTCGTTGTGACTGGCACAAAGCCCGCCCAAGAATGAGGCATGGGCATCGGGGTGGGACCCGCTGGAAGTGATCAATCCGCCTTGAACATGTTGCTGTGACGTCCACTAAATGGGATGCTGTGTACGTTTATTGCTCAACAAAGGAACTAGACCAGGTGGCCGCACAAGGCCATGTTATTATGGTTCGTTCCCAGGAGGGAGCGGTAATGAATTCCTCTTTGTTAGTTTTGCGTCAAAAGTGCCCATTTTCCCTTTGACGGGGTGCACCTTGGGTCTTTCTTACAAGCTCAAAGGAATCCTTGTCTTTGGCACTCATTATGATTTACTACCTCTATGGAAAACAAAGAGCGTATCATTCACCTGTAGCACGAACGGGCCTTAGTTGATGCCGGTGTCTTGGGGGAAATGAGAACATGACACTTGATCAAGAAGTGACAGGACCAACATGATGCCCTTTTGAGCTCGACAAAGATACCCCCATGTGCTTCAAAGATCTGGGATCGCTAATCAGATGTCTCTAAGCTTGCCTTTCAGCTATTTGATCTGTATGAATGATTTGCTATGCAGCCCAGAGTCGTGAGCCCAGCTGTTCTTTCGTTTCAAGGGGCGGCCGCCTCCTAATAGCCTACAGATTGATAGGGATATGCCTAGGTACTAAACCATCTAAACATATAAAAGCAACATACAGCACCCAGTAAAGCACTTGAAAACTCTACCCCTCAACATCTGCATTCCGGCATCTACTGTTCAGAAAACTACCTCTCTATCCACAACTCAACCCGAACAGCTTTTTACCATCGTCGACCACCACCATGTCCAGTCGACTGACAACATTGAGACATGTTCTCACCCAACAGAAGCGTCGTGTGCCTTGCGATATCGAGCCAGGAAGAAACTCTGTCAACAAAGGGTGGCCACAGCTCGACAGTTCGGGAATCAGCATTTGGGACGAATTTATCCTACCCAACCTCAACGCAAGCTACGGCCACGTCCTCGACCTTGCCATCCCAGAGGAACTAGTGGCAGTCCCCCAAGCTAGCCAGGCCCTTGCTGGGATTTCCCTCAGTAAAGAACAGGACATGAACTACCTGATGGGATGGAACGATGGGGTTCTGAAGAAGACCCTCCAGTTTGCCCAGGCGCATCTCGACCTTCATCGCGGCATCGTTTTGAACCACAGCGTCGTGGCCACCGATACTTCGGCCCTTGTCATAGTGTCGGACGGAGATCGAAAAGCTTGGGTGACCCATCTCATCGAGTTGGATAACTACCCTGGGCCAACCCGCCTCGTAGTTGGCCTGGCGAGATCAAGCTCAAAGTGGAGTGGGCGTAACGTGGCGAGTCAGCTCGAGAATGGAGTCAAGACAGAGCACATCTGGCCTCTCAGACAGCTCGCAAACGCCTGCAAACTCGCCGGTACACCATATGGCTACATCCAGACGGATAAGGAACAGGTGGTTTGCCGGTTTGATCTAAATACCGCGGATCTGAAGGTGGCCATTATGCCCATCCCCTGGTCCCAGTACGACAGCACGGTTCTCACCACTGACCTCGCCCTCTGGTGGCTTTGCATGCTGGCAATGGCGAATATCGGCTCGTCACCATCGTTCCATAGTCAAGGAGGCCCAAGTGGTCGGGGTTGAGGGACACTGTTCGACTCGCATGCGAACGAGGCTGGCCTGGAGGTACTCTCTCACCCTCCCGTTGAGATGCTAGACTCCCTTGTCTAGCGGTTTTCAACTTGTATTTCTACTCAGCATTCCCTGAAACGTCGACGTAGAAAGGGTTCAGTGCTGGAGCCCCATCCATTGTGGAAGGGGCATTGAAGGTGAAGGGGTGTTGCCGGGAGCGATGATGGTCTTTAAGACTCGCGTGTTTATTCTATGCATGTACCGATTTAGAAGCAGACCAGTTGCTGCTTTTTTATTTTAGTTTAGAGAATGAAACTGCTTTTTTGCCACTGATTGTGGGCGGACGGTCTCGTCCCAGCCACCGTTGAGCGATCCCAAATATAGGGCTATTGAGTCTTTAGAAACACCTTGCAGAAACTGGATACCTGTACAAAGGCCAGCAAGTTATCCGCTTGTACCCGTCCTGTCTGCCTGCCTGGCACGGCCAGACTTCCTGCTGGCACGCGTGCATCTATGACGAAAGCGGGCTGGTGAGCAATGAAAGGAATCTTTGTTCCGGATTACTAGCTAATTGATCTATTATTGGAGTATCCATTATCCTATTGGCCATAGGGGCTTATTTATAAGGATCCGTAGCTCAGTTCTTTGTAGCTAATCTTTTTCTTTGTGTGCATAGCCAAGATGCTTTAGTTAGTCAGGGAGATAGATATAAGACGGGAACCTGCTCTTCATCTTTCGCCCAGCGTGTCAAAATCACCAAGCCCTCCTTGAATAACTACTACCTCGTCTCCTTCTACTCCAAGTTCACGCCTCACCCACTTCGCCATGTATCCAGACTGGCCTGAGTCTACCTCCGACTTGGTACCGCTCCCGCACTGCGACGGTCCCAAGCTGGAGCCTTTTGACTTTCAGGGTCCCCAGAAGATGGAATTCCTCGAGTACATTGGAGAAGGTGCCCATGCGCATGTCTTCAAGGTCGAAATCCTGGGCCAGATCTGCGCCCTGAAACTTGCAAGTGCCCTCGAAGCTGCAACAGCCAGGTACCAGCTGACTCTCGCGTAGTTTAGATTCGTCTACGAAGATGATTGGCCATCCCCCGTAAACAAATGGGACTCGGACGATAGAGATGCTTTCACCCATCTTGCAAACTACGCAGAGCCGTTCAACAGTGAATGTCGGGCCTACGGCCGCCTCAGGGAAGCCGACTGCGAACACCTAGCCAACAGGTGCTTTGGCTATCTTTTGCTGGAAGAGGAGAACGAACGGGCCATGATGAACAAGTTCAAGGACCACAGGATCGACTTCAACGGCAACATCTTGTTCCCTGGTGGCCTGGATATGCGAGGCCGGTTTCTAGGTAAAGATGGGAGGCCACCACCAATCCGGGGCATCATCAAGGAGTTCGGCCAGCCTGAGAAAGAGCTGAGCATGAGAACTCTGCGCAGCATTCTCAAGGACGTGATCCAGATGCAGCAGCTTGGTATCATCAGGCTGGACGTCGCTGATAGACAGTTCATCAACGGCAAGATGGCCGACTTTAGCACCGCCATCACGTTCCCGCACTTCATCACCAGTCCCGAGCTGAACCCACACCTCACACCCGAGATGGCGGCTGCCATGGAACTGGAGACTCTTCTGTTCAGCCGCAAAGACTATGAAGAATTCGACCAGATGGTGGGGATGTGGAACTATGAAAACCCCAGCCATCAACGCTCCTTCTTCTCGCTCCCTGGGGGGGATGACGGGTTGAAGTATAATCTGAGAAGTCTACCATCTCGAAACAGGCTCTACTCGCTTGTTGATCCAAGATTGTACGACAGGAAGAGCAGTAGGGGGGGACTGGACGGGAAGGTCACCAAGGGGCGCCGACGGCCTTGCGCGAAACCCCCCAGATGGTACTATGACGGCAGCCTGGATGCTGCCAAGGTAATCAGCAACATGAGGTTTGAATTCCTGCACAATTGGTACTACAAGGATGGGTATGCTTTCCCAAAAGAGGTAAAATGGTGATACGGCCATGGTGTTTGGTAGACTAAAACGACGGGCTAGTTGGCTGGGTGCAGTTGGTAATCATTAACCTTTGTAATTCATTCACTATCCAGGCCTGTGTCAACTCCAACCGCGATGCTCGCATCAAGGTCCCGTTGCACCCAATGAATCTTGTTCTGGATCCGAGTGAAGGCGTCTCTGCCGAGCGGTAGCCTCAGGATGTTGCCCTTTAGGTGTCCCGCTTCTCCCTCACCCGTAGCAACTTCAAAGATGACGTTGACAGCCTTCTTCGGGTCTCCAGGCTGCTTCCCCGTAGCGGCGCTGAATTTCTTGAGCGCCTCGTCCACAGCGGTCCCCGAGTACGCCTGCTCGGCCGAGGTGTCGCTCTTGAGGCTGGCGCCAAGGAAGTTGGTCCTGAACGCACCGGGCTCGACAAGGAGGACGTCGATGCCAAACTCCTTGACCTCCTTGGACAGAGCTTCAGTGAAACCCTCGAGGCCGAACTTGCTGGCCGCGTAGAGTCCGCAGCTGGGGTTGCCGTCCTGCCCTGCAACGCTGCTGACGTTGACAATGGTCCCCGAGCGGCGAGCCCTCATGCCAGGCAGAACAGCCTGGACGGCATAGAAGGGACCAAAGAAGTTGGTTTGGATTTGTTGTTCAGCCTCTGCCTCCCTAATCACTCTGTTAAAATAGTGTCATTGTGTACGACCTCGAAGACTCACGTAAACAGTTCTATCACGCCCAAGACGGAGTATCCGGCGTTGTTGACAAGATAGTCAATCTTTCCGAATATCTTTTCCGCCTCCTGGATTTTCTTGGTTATGCTCGCCTTGGATTCTGTCATGTCGAGCTGAATAATCTTGCCCCCGGCCTCCTCGATAGATTTGACAGCTTCAGAAGATCGTACTGGATCCCTCACCGTCGCAATGACTCGATGGCCAGCTTGGAGAGCACGCAAGCTCAGCAACAGACCAAAGCCGTTGGAGCTTCCGGTGATGAACCAAACAGGTGCTGCCATTTTGATAACGATTCAAGTGCGATGAATGGAGTTTGCTCTTGTTTTTCTTGCATAAAAACAGAGGACGTCTTTCCTTTATTTATCAATCATCATGATGCGGACTTATTATCTTGGTCTCCGTTAATGCCGGTGGATACGCCAATACGCCCACACTTGATGATGATCACAAATCCACACCATCGCTTATGCACCATGACACCAACTTTATCGCCTAACACCGAAAAACATATGAGACATGTGAATGTGTATCAAACTTTGTTTTGAGATGTTAACCTCCATGTCATTGGTGGCGAATATCTATATGCCAACCTTGGGCGCCTACTTTGACATGTAAGTTGTAGCAATCGTGTCATGCTACCGGCAACTTCGGAATCTACTGACCACAATCGTAGAGCTGCAATACAACAGAAACATGATATGACATGTACTGCCCGTCACAGCTCAGCAAAAGGTTACTTGCGTCACCAACATGTCGAGGCGTTGGGGCCAAGGACATTCTGTGTCGATGGGACAACCACTCTCCGACTCTCCGACACTCGGCCAGTCGTTGAAACAAGTTGAGCGAAAGCCTGTTGGCTATAGATGAAGTGCTTCATAACACCAAAGTTGGTTTGATATGGCCCCGGCCAACGATATGCGATGGTTAAGTTGCCAAGGAGGCAAACTGGGCTTCTTTCTGGTATAGCCCTCAACTCCACCGCTCTCTAGCACATACGACCATACCCACTGGAGAACTCGGGATCCCGTCCGCTCTCCCATAGATAAGCCAGTGAGGGGCGGATTAGTAGTTGGGTCGGTGACGACCAGCGAATCCCCGCTGTTGTATGTCTTTTTGCCAATTGTCTGGAAAATGTCGCGCGTCCATCTCGCTGGTGACTCTTTGTGACAATGCTTCTGGCTCTTTGATCGTTCCCCCCAATGGCGTGGAGGGTGGTCAACCAACAGGGACTGGGTCATTCACATCACTACAGCCAATAGGAAGACAGGAATGTGCAAGGGTAGCTGGTCGGGCAGTTTGCTTCCAGCAACAGTTGTTCAAGTCCTATCTACTTATGAAAGAGATCTCTTTTTTTTTAATTTACTTTTTTCAGCTTGTGGCAAGTGATGAAAAAGAAAGACAAGGTAAATATCCCCGCCATACCCCGTGGCCTCTGGGTGCCTGCGTCGTTCAGATCGGGAACAGTCCATATCCTGATGCAACACCTCCCCATTCGTTGACGGGCCCAAGAATGAACTCGTCGTGCTGATACAAATAACCGCGGGGGTCCCCATTGCGATCAAAATAAAATGTTGCAGTAACGTGTCGCCCAGCAAGCCTGGCACGCAAAGTAGAGGGGAGGGTTGATCCTCTATTGCCCACGTACACACGACGGTTGAATGTGCGAGCCCAGCCAATGTTGCGGGCCTGGGGCATTGAGGCTAGAGCTGGTGTGGCTTGAGTGGCTGGAGCCGGAGCCGTCACTCGAGCTGAGGCTAGTGTCTGGATGTCCGTGGCATACTGCTGCTCAAGTAGCTGCCACCTTTGACGGAGCTGGCTGACAGATCTTTGGTTCGCTGTGACGGTTTGGTTGGTGTTGACCAAGCGTGCTGGTGAATGATCCGCAGTAGTAGCAGAGGGCTGTGACTGGTTGAGCTGGTGAGGCACAGCGGGGACTGGAGAAGACTGAGAGTTGTTGGTGTTGTTCATGGTGGTCTTTCAATTATTGTAAAATGAGATGAGTTGAGATGGAATGGCTCAAGGTGAACACGACTCCTGTTGCCCATTTTAAATATTCGAATGGCCTCTTGTACCTGTTGGTCATTGATGGTGAGAGTATCGTTTTCAGACACCCTTGTCTGGTGATGAGTACCTAGAGGTTCGGTTTTCGGCCCCTGGTAAGGTCAAAAACGGCCTTGTTGGTGTTGAACATTCGGTCGCTGGGTGCTACCACATCCCTCCCTGTCCACGTGCTCGGCCATCGACCTGGCCACGTTCCAGAATTTCCCTCAAGCCTCAAACTTCCCTCCTGCAACGTCCAAAATCCAACCAGAGCCAGCGCTGGTTTGCTTCCAGTGACCGAAGCAGACATTCTCTGGCTTGGTTTCGCTGTGCGATGGGGGATTTCGGAGCTTGAAGAGTACGGTAGATGCATATCTCGATTTTTCCATTTCTCCTGACTTGTTTGGCATGCTTCAGAGGCGATCACGACGTGCTCCCAAGGCTTGCACCTGAACTTTGATTCCTCCAGATCTCGGCTTGCTGTTCTGTCTAAAAGAAGTGGTAGGGAATGACCAACCAATCAGATAAGAAATACTACTCGGCTAAGAGATACTTCCAATTGTGTGCAGTTCGCACACTGACTCGAGTACCTTTTAACTATGCCCAGAGTTGACGACCCACATCTAATAAAACCATTCCATGCCAAGGGTGGCGAGCTTAGTTGAAGCTCAATACGGACCATCCCAGATGCTACCACGTTCGAGTGGTAAGGTGCTCGGGATCAGGGAGAGTGGCCCCACAATACCCAAAGGAGCGCCGGAGTTGAGCGGAAAGAAAGTGAGAAGCCAACCACGTCAATGGATCCTGACAAGGGTTTAGGGGTGATGATAGGTGATGTGAGAAAGAGTTATGAAAAGTCGATACTATCTTCCGGCGCTCCTTCTAGCAAGAGTCTCCTCGTAAGGAAGCCGTGTATAAGAACCCGATGGAAACCTGTCTACATCTCGATTCAAAATACTCAAGCTCTTGTGTCGCATCTCGTGCATTTTCCAGCTCCTTAAATCACACCTTCTAGTCAGCTGTTTAAGATTTCATATATTTTGGACACAATGACGACTCAAAAGCCCAAGGTTCTTGTTGTCCTTACCTCGGCCGACAAGGTCCCCAAGACTGGCAAACAGATTGGTTGGTATTTGGTAAGTCGTCGTCTTGATTCGATTGCCTACTTTTCATCACAAACTATGCCTGGCGATAAAGGCCTATGCTAACACTACAAAGCCTGAGCTCGCACACCCTTTCCACGTCCTCAACCCCCTTGTCGAGCTGGTCTATGCTTCGCCCAAGGGTGGAGTGTCACCTCTTGACCCGGTATCCGTCGATCTCTTCAAGGAGGATCCGGTGTGCAAGGATTTCCTCGAAAATCACACGTCAGTCTGGGAGAAGACGGCAAAGCTGTCTGATTTTGCTGGCCGAGCCTCGGAGTTTGACGCCATCTTCTACCCGGGCGGACATGGTCCCATGGTAGATCTCGCGGATGACCAGCATTCGAAAGATCTGCTCCGTGACTTCCACTCGCAAGGCAAAATCATTTCGGCCGTGTGTCACGGCCCTGCAGCTCTTGTCAACGCCACTACTGCTGCAGGCGAGCCGTTGCTGAAGGGAGTGCGGGTCACTGGATTTGACAATGTGGGCGAGGAAATGTTTCAGTTCACTGAGGACATGGACTTCAGTCTCGAGGATAGGTTGGGTCAAGTCAGTGGCGGCAACTACGTCAAGGCTGACGAGGGTCCCCTTGCGGAAAAGGTCGTGGTCAATGGCAAGATTATCACGGGGCAGAACCCGGCGTCGTCCAAGGGAGTGGCTGAGGAGATTGCCAAAGCTCTAGAGGTCTAGTTAAGTAGTCTGTCTAATTGATAGATTTATTACTTTATAGCCCAGGACGACTCGAACAGTTGCGAGAGTCTATCCAATGCGAGCTTACTTAAACCTATAAGCACATAATAAAGAAACAAGTGGGCGACATCTCGTCTCGGAAATAGGGCTTACGGACTTACGGTGAGAAATTAATAAGCCTTGGCCTCGGCGGTTTAGCGCTGACGATTGGAATTCCACCCTTTTGACCTGCAACATAGAATAGTCATCAGCCTTCGTCAAGCCAGATCAACTGACTGCCGGCATGTTTGGAGCTTTCTCTGCTTCTTCCAAACCCACAGGGTCTTTATCCTCTCCAAATGTCTCATCTAAGCCGAAAAGAAATCAGGTCACCCGGGCTTGTGACTTATGTCGAATACATAGAGTCAAGTGCGATACGAATCATCCTTGCCGAAACTGTATGGCTAGAGGTTGGCAATGTAGTAGTCGTGGGAGGCTTGATCAAGGATGGAACCTCCCACGAGCCATGAGGTATGAGGACTGAACGAAACGAAGCAACATGTTGATGTTCTGAGTTGACCTCGACTGTGTAGGGAGATAGAAACATTGCGAGGGCGTGTGAAAGAGCTCGAGGCTCAACTTGAGGGTACAAACAGTGAATCAAAGGATACACACAAACATCATACGTGTGACGACAAAGACGACCAGCCTTCAAGTCTATACCCCTGCAACGAGGACGGGATTCATATGGATACTACCCAACCCACGGAGTCTTCTTCCTCCCGTGCTCAGTTTTACGGGCAGTCGTCGGCATATTACTTTATCCACCGCATAAACCTCCACCTTCAATCTCACCGCCAAGAATGCCCAGAAGCTCAGAGCCCTCAAACACTCATCCCCAACTCTGCGAGCCGATCCTTCGTTCATGCGGTATTCTCCCAAGAAGGAGAGCCGGAAGCAGGGGTCGGCTCAGAGGCGGTCTCAGAACGTCATCAGCGGTTGACAGAGAGCACATTGTCAGGAAAGAACTTGACAGCAACCCAGGAGGCCTTCTTTCTCGACCTCTTCTGGGATTCTTGGCACTGCTGCTATCAGATTCTCGATCAGGTTGAATTCAAGGCGCACTACAAGTCCCTCTGGGGTGATCCCGGCCAAACCACCCGGAAACCATCTGCCCTAGTCGACATCGTCTTGGCCTTGTGTATGCAGTTTGGCGTCACATCTCTTCCTCGACAGGTAGAGTCCAAGGCCGAGATTGACATCCGCGATGCAACTATCGCCGGCCGCTGGCTCTACCGACGCGCCCAAGCCCTGCTGGCCCACGAGCTTGAGAGGCCTTCTCTCACAACCCTTCAGTGCCAGTTCTGGTCTGCCGTCTATCTCGGTAACGCATCCTATCAGAACATGGCTCAAAGCATGATCGGTACTGCCATCTGCACAGCACACGCACTTGGGCTGCACATCGAGCCATCTACAGAGCTACCCCTCAAGGAACGAGAGGCAAGGAAGCAGATGTGGTGGACGCTGTTTGTGTTTGAAACAAGGCTCTGTATCCGAATGGGCCGACCTTGGGCTGTTGACATGTCTCGAACAACATGTTCTTCGCCAGCAGAGGACGAGGAGCCTCACGCCGGCCATGTGGCGTGGCGAAGCTACACGGTGCAAAGAGCTAGGCTTATGCTACTGGTCCGAGCCGCTTTTCACAAGTTCCACCAAAAGTGCGCTTCCATCAAGAAGGGAAACCCAAGTTTCATTATTGAAGAGTGCTCCAAGACCCTCAAGGCCGGTATCGAGGATATACACGCATGGGTTGATACAGTCCCTGTCGCGTTGAAGACAGAACGCCGGGGAAATGGTATCCCCTTCTCAACAGACCTTTCTGAAATCGAGATTGAGCCTTTCGCACCGCTCTGGTTGCGTCGGCAGCGCCTAATGCTGGAGCTTGGATATCACGACTCCCTTCTGACACTTGGTCGTTCATGCATAGCCTTCTCGCTCAACACAGCGAGGGAGCCTCATCATCAAGGGGTTCATACTGACGCAATACCCTCGGAATTTTCCAAGATGCTTCTTGTGGCTGAAACTGCCGCTCAACACGCAATATCGATAACGCACCTGTTGCACCAGATCTATAGGGACCATGATATCCTTGACGGTTGGTACGAGCCGTTCAACTACCAATGGAATGCGGCCATAACGTTGGTCGGATTCATCCTGGCTTACCCCAAGACCAGTCATATGGTACTGGATGCTAGTGAGGCCCTTTCCAGCAGTATCAACGTCCTAGAGCGGATGGGCAGCTTCTTCGGGGTGGCAGCGAGTGCGGCGGTCGTCATCAAAAACCTTTTGTACAAGACCAACGTTGAGCGTAGACTGGAAGAGTTTACGACCAACCCGGCCGAGGAGTGTTCAGCCGACATTTCCAAAGCCCCCCTAGGCCAACTGGATTCTATTCATCTCCCAGAGTTGGACATTGCATCATCTATCCTGGCTGGAGCTGATGGCACATTTGGGCCGGCATTCGAGTTTGCAGAGTTCGGGTTCAACCATGATCTGAATCAATTCACTGGCATCGGTGACTTTGGCCTCGAAGACAACTTTGATCTCTGGACGTATCCTCTGGATTCTTAGTTGGAATTCAATTTAAACTGGAAACAACAAAACGCTATAATAAAGTAAGGAAATGGAGAGCATCTAGATTAAGAAAGGACAGTTGTATCCCTCCTGAGCACCACAACTTTTGATGCACAACATTCTAGATTATCATATAAACCTTGATCGCTCATCCCAGCATTACTGGAACAATTTAGCCATGGAAGAGAAATTAGGTAATCAGTCGACTTACCTTCCCAGCCCCATTCTTCCATTACGGTTAACCAATGCAACCTGCTTTTTACCGTGTAGTTCCTGGCGTCTGTCTTGAGTCCTGAAGCGTCTTCTTGAGTTAGAGCAATCGAATCAAACATGAGAAAAGATGTGGGAAGTTCCCATTCTTGTTGCATACATGCACAATCATTTTCACAGCCGCTCTCAGGAACCATACCTTGCTCAAAGTCCAATCCAGCATCTCGTAATCCTGCCGAGAAAAGAGAGTTGCCCATCCTTCCGTGGCTGGATCCCTCACATGATTGACGGTGCTTCCCATAACTATCTCGCCTCCTCCAGACCTCCAGCGTCAACTCTAAACACCTCTCCACGATCCCAGACGTATTTCCGGTGGTCATTGATTCCCATCTGTCACGGATCCAATCTCTATCTTCTGCCTCTGTTGCCTCACAGCCGGCTATCATCAGGGGTAGAATGTGGAAGATGACGGCTCGGGAATGGAGTGGAACTGTAGCGATGAGCACAAGCACCTTGCGCGCCATTTCCGAGAAAGAAAATCGAATGGGGAGCTCGGGTACTGCCTGGTACAATAGAAGTAGCGTGGCCCATTTGTAGGAGTTGGCTGTCTGCACCAAGTCTGAAGCATTTGGGGTCAGGGACTCAGCGTCTCCAGCGACTTCCAAGCTCATGGACGGTGTCCAAAATTCGATAGACATCTTGAGTTCCACAGCCCGAGCGACAATTGCGGGAGAGTTGAGTCTATCCTGCGTCTTGCGAACACGTCGGACAAGGTCGGCGACACGACCAATCAATGGGAATAGTGTCCCAGCACATCCCATGAGAGGGTCGACCTGAGGCTCGGGACAAGGACTTGTTGAGCTGCACGCAGTCATGAGGTCAAAGTCCATAGCCTGGACGTTGGAGCAGGTGATTCTCGTGAGGACATCCATGTAGAGCCATAGGTTGGCGAGAAAGCTCAAGCAGAGATTTCCCTCTAGAGGCCGTGATGCAAGGTCCTTGGAGAGACCTTGCTGAAGGAGGTCTTTTGCCTTGTTGATATGGCTGATGCCATTTGATGCTCGAGGGTAGTACCAAGTTTGAGCGATGCTCAGAGCAAGCGTGACGATGAGAGCCACCTCGAGGCGCATGCTGCCGTTCGCCTCGACCGAGAGCTTCCCCATACTGTTTTCCAGGTGCCTAACACCCTCAGCGCGAAGTCGAGGCAGGCCGTTGGCTCCATTGAAGCATGTCATGGCAGCGATGGCGTGGTATAGAGCAGGGTGATCCTTTGCCAGAGGCCAGACCACTTTACGCCACGGGTTCCCGGTCGGGTCTTCCTTGATGTAGAGAACCTCGCATATCCTATTGTCGTAGAGCATGGCAATGCTCTCTGGGCTGTTATCTCGGATGGCTGGTTGTCGATAGAGGTTGAAGGGGCCATGTCCGTTTAGCTGAAACGAAGGGCTCACAGCTAGATCCAGGGCTGAGATCCACGAGTCCTCAGCTGCAACTAGTGCATCCGGGTCTTGATTAGAAAGAATGTCTGCGGAGCCAAAATTGTCTGATGCAAGATCAAGAAAGTTTGGCAAAACGGCCTCGGCATTCTCCTCTATCGCGCCGGGATCGGCCGACATGAGGTGCTTGGGATCCACGATGGCGTTGAGATCCAAGAAGAGCATGTCGAAATCCGCGACCTGTTCCGTCGGGCTGAAAGATATGTCAAGAGAGGGGCCAGCGGGAGAATCGAGTGTTTGGAGGAGGTCGTCGTCTTGGGGTCTTGGGCTAACCAGGTCTTCTATCGCGTTGGATTCCGAGTCCTCGAATATTCTCGACGATGGGAGTGGAGAATTGATTCTTTCTTGTGGTATATCAGATGATGGAGTTTTATGAGAATGAGTCGTCTGGAGTTGTCTTGTTTTGGTCGCTATCAAATCAGCATGTAGCATCTGGTATGCCTATCCAACTTACTCTTGCGTGCAAGGTAACTTGTCTGGTCGGGTTTCTCAATTTCCTTCCATATCAAATCCAAACTATAACCGCCGCAAGGAACTCGTCTCCGTAGACATTGTGAGCATGATGGCTTGAGCTCGTCGCACTTCCTCCTCTTTGCTTTACACGTCACGCACCCTGTGGCCGTCAGCCGTGACCTTGACAACCTCCAAGCACGCACGAACCATGTCGACTCTTTTCATGCTTGGCCTTTTTCAATGTTTCTCTGGGAGCCTCTTCACGGAAACTCTGAGGCAAAAGTCGCCGCGGAGGTTTTCTATTGTTTGCTGCTGACGTGGAGGTTGCATCATCTTGTATCCCAGGTTGAGCGGCCGAGGTCGTACTCATCCCAAACACCGTATTCACCTTGAGTGGACGGGCAAAGAGCAAACAAACACCCTTGGCTGCAAAAAAAGATGTTTTATGAGAAGAGGAGGAGGGTGGTCGTGGCTGTTCTTTATACTCTTACTGATCACAAGATGCAGCTATCAAGTCATGCATCGGTAAGGACGGCTACTGTTACCACTTCAGGTTTAGTGTGGGGGCCTCGATGCCGCTATGACTGATCTCTTATCACCGGGTTTCACACAGGTTCCTTATACAAAAGTCATGGGGGCGCATGTAAAAGGTGCATTCTAGACATGCAACACGCTACTGAAAAGACTGACGCCGCACCCTCAATCTGAACGAGTCCAAGCTTTAACAGTGTCATCATCTTCATCAAAGAAATCATGTAATTTTAAGCCGGAGACACCTCTGCGACCTGAGCCGTAGAGTCTAGAGGTGGAGGCGGTGACGCATTGGACTTGAGCCTGTCCTTTTCGAACTGAGCAGAGCACATCTCTAGCACTCGGCTCTGGTAGTCTAATGTACGGGATTAGCATATTACATCACGTAAACTTTTTTGGAAGTAACCTACAGACTACACCATTCTCCTTGTTCGGGTTGAGAGTGCCCTCGGTGTAGATGCCGATGTTGAGATTCTGCTGCGTTCTCTCACACAGCTCAATGTCTTCCAAGGCGACTGTGCGAGTGAACTTGTAGTAGTCCTCAAACTCTTCGGAGCCGACAGGTGCAGCATGGTAGTAATCAAACTCCATAACACTGTTGCCAGGCTCCTCCAACGGACACACGCGCCAAGAGGTCATGCCGCCGCCATAGATGCTCAGTGTCGAGTTTGGGAACAGATACACAAACAGCCCGTCATTGGCTTCACTGGGGCCCGCGAGATGTTGAGAGTAGTTGTGTCTGTTGACGACCCTGTAAGTGGTGGGCTTGTACTTTTTGGAAAACTCGGGATGAGCGTAGGCGCAGTGAAGGCATTCCTGGTATCCGTCGACCATGGCTTTCCAGTTGTAGTTGCCGACATACTTGAGAGGTCGACGAAGTGGCAGATCAGTAAAGTCGACGTCCTTGATCAGCTCTTCTAGGCCTGGGAAGAATTCTTGGAAGCTGACTGTCTCGTCGGACAAGGTCATGAAGAGCAAGCCGCCTCTCGTCAAGTGGCTACGTATTTCCGAACCCTAACAAAAAGGTTAGAATATCGACAGGGCAGTATATCCAAGGCAAATCATGTGAAGCATACAGAGTCGGAAAAGATCTTGACCGTCTTCCAATCAGCAGAAGACCGCCGGATAGTGTAGCTGACCTGCGCCAACTCGCAGCGGTAGTCTTCTTGGGCGTTGGGCCATTTGGTGACGGCGCCCAGGAGAATCCAGCTCTTGTAAACGTTAGAAGTTCTTCAGGTAGCGGAACTGAATAGTTGCAAACCTTGAGAAAGATGGCTCGCCTCTCGAGACCATAGATGGCCTTGCTAGTATACCACGAGGCAGGAAGTGTTGTCTGGCAAGCCATTTTGAACTTGATCAGGAGTTGTAATGACAATGTTGTCTACCTACTGAACAAAACTCTATCCATCATAGAGAGGATGAATATATAATCAATAAATCTAAACCATCATCAAAACGGGCGCAACTCTTTTCCAGATGCAACATTATCTCGCAGAATCCTTCCCATGCGCTATTCTTGATAAAGAAGGGCGGTCCATCACTCTGCATCTCCAACCATTTTGGGGGACTCAATCCGGGGCATCCGCAGCCAATCAAAACTCCAACGAGAAGCCATCCAAATGAGGAAACTTGATCCCAGGTATTCAGAACTCCTCATTGGACGTTATTTCGGCTCATCGATAACGCCACGGACGGGAAGCAGCGGAGATCTACGGGTAGTTGATCGCCCGTGACCAGGGGTCCTAGCACACCCGTTGGGATCAGACTTCCTACAGAGGGAAGCCGGGCTCATATGATCTGTACAAGTATCGTGAACATGATTAATATGGAGTAGCGGTGTTGTTGTCTGGTGCGGTGGGCCTGGCCCATTTGGGTTATGCCAAACGGTGAGAGATATCGTCGAGACCTGCTGGCGTATAAAGTTTTATGAGCGTGTTTTTACAGCAGTAGACACCACTGCTTTTCTCATCTCTATCTTCTATGCTATTAAGAATGTTTGCGACCGATATATCCCCTTATCTTCTCTGCGGCGCCGCCCTCGCTTTGGCTGCGTTGTTGTTTTGGCTCTGTAGGATATTCTTCAACTCCACATCGACGACACTTGCAAATGTCCCACTCCTCACCAAGTGGCCAGATCTCCCCCCAGGATGGTGGACAGATTCTGAACGCTTCCAAACCGAGAAACGTGCCATCTTCAGCCAGGTGAGCCTTCCTAGATCCCGTCGAGGCCCGCTCTAACCTTGACAGACTTGGATTTGCGTAAGCCATCGCAGCCGCTTCGTCAAGGCCGGGGACTACATCGCCTTTGACATTGCGGGATTCCGTGTCCTCCTCATTCTGGGCAAAGACGGCACCGTACGAGCATTCCATAATATTTGTCGCCATCGTGCTTTCCCCGTGGCCAAGAAGGCTTCTGGATCCTCGACTGTGCTCGGCTGCAGATACCATGGATGGAGTTACGATACCAAGGGCCAGCTCACAAAGGCACCTCATTTCGACAATGTCCCCGGTTTTGAAAAGAGCCAGAACGGGCTCTTTCCAATCCACACAAGAGTGGATGATGGTGGATTCCTTCACATCAACATGAGTGCAAGTGAACCGGCTGGAAACGAACTGTCACATATCAAAAAGACTTCTCAACTTGCCAGTATCAGCCAAAACTCTCACTTTATTGACAGTTGGGAAGTAAAAGGAAGCTTTAACTGGAAAGTAATAGGTACGTTGTCAACACCCATACGATAAGTGAAACGAGCTATTGCAACGTGCTAACCCAAGTCTAGTCAATGACACCCAGCATACCTTTCAGACACCTACAACAGACGGCATATCTCGCCTCTTCTCTGACAAAGACTCCGTGTCTACAGGCCAGAAGCGTCTTGGACCACTGACTACCGTATCTTTAAAGCCTAGTAGTCCACTCTGGTACCAAGTCACATACTCCCCAGACTCTGTCGGACAGACAACGGTACGATGCGACGTATATTCGACCAAGAAGCCTGGTGCATATGCTTTTGACAACGCTTCAAAAGCCAGTTTGAAGGACCAAATTCAGGCCATGGTCCACCAACACGAGGGCATTTACACTAAGCTCACTGGCCCTGACTTTGACACACTTGGTGGTGGATGTACGTTCACGGAGCATCTGAACAGAGATACCCGAACTAACGGTCATCTAGATGAGCAGTTCAAGATCGCCGACATGGTCGATGCCCATCTTGAGAAGGAAAAGCTTCAAGGGCAAGAGATCAAACCATCTGCCATCCAGCAATGCAGAAGCGCAGCATACATGCAAGCGGAAGGAAGTAAGACCAATCCCTTTCCCATATCTATGCAACATCCTTCTAACTTGGCCCAACAGTCTGTAGAGCAATGGAGTGTGGCAGTGAAAAACTTGAGTGGTGAGATTGGTAGATGGATCGAAAAAGCATACATATCTTCTATGGGTAGCAAGGGTAAATTTTGTGATACACGTGTGATGGTTACTAGACAGCTATGATTACAATTTGTTTTGCGTGACCCCTTTCTTCCCAATACCAACACTTGATCAGAGCACGATCGGTGTGAATCCGCTGGTCTGATGATCCCTGAGAGTAACTTGTGTGTGTGTGTGTGTAACTTGTGAAACGCGGTACTGTTTTGATCATCATGGCGACTTAAAAATGCTCTGGGGTAATAATGGCACTGTACAAACCCCAAGGCCCGGCATCCAGAAACAATGAACGAATCGAAACCTTGCTTCCCCCGATTCCATCTCGATCCCGGCAGGGACCAGTTCTCGCCAAGCATCCCTAGGATCAAATGGCAAGGCTGTGTGCCCCCAACTTATTCCACATTGCATCGATGGCTGTCTGATTGATGCATGTTCCAAGTTTTCCAGCGGTGCCTGATTGTTCACAGCCTGGCAAGGCAGCCCTTCTCTCTAACCTGACTAACAAAGTTTGCATGTCTTGTACAACAATAGATGCAACATATTCCGCCATGTCTTGAAATGCAGTAGTCACAAGGCCATACGACAAGTCCCTAGTGCTGCGAAACTTGGTACTCTGAGGTCTTGGCGCTGGCGCTTCAACTGGGACGGCAATATATACGCGGCTCTTTATTTTTAATAGACGAGATCGAATCCCGGATCAGAACGAGGAGGGGAAGGCAAAATACTCACCGAGAATCAAGGAGGTGTATACATCATGTAGTGACCCAGCTATGGCTTGGCCAGGCGCAACAGTGAGTGTAATCATGCATAACTGTCTCAAATATGGTCTTGTGTGACCATGGCGAGGGCTTGACAGCATGACACTCATCCCTATTATCCTTCTTAAGCACAGTTTCCCCGCAAACTACTTGGGAGACGAGAATAAACTGCAAAGGTCAAGACTTGGTAGCAACAACTGATGCCCAGGTGCCCAAGCTCAATAACTGGGAATCATATGAGCTTGTGTGAGAGCCAAGAAACTTTGGCCGAAGCCGTTTCCTTCCTTCAAAGATTTGAGAACCCATTGACCTAGCTCTCGGCCATATACTGAACTTTCCATAGACCAGGTTTCTCCTATAACCCGGGTGGTCAATAACTTGAACCATGTGGCTTCTTACTTTTCGAGACGACAGCACCCTAACTGCTGCGCAAGTCCTCAGTGCCTCTATCATTCTCCTTGCAGGCTTCCTTTTGCGCTGCATAAACCGAGGATATCAGATCAGAAAGCGGTTCCAAGCTCTCAAAGCGCAGGGCATTGTCAGTACAACTCTTCATAGAATCATAACTTTATCCTGCTGACCGGCCACAGCCCATTATAGAGCATTCCATCATTTTTGGCCACCTCAAAGTTGTCAGAAAGTTAACGGCAAACCTCCCCCCTGACGCATATCCCGACTATTTACAGACGCAACTCCAAGACAACTGGAGACAGCTGTTCCCTCAGTGCACCAAATGCCCACCTGTAGTCTACATCGACACCTGGCCACTAGCAAACCCGTTGATCGTCTCTCTCAACGCAGACGTCTCATCCCAGTTCATGCAGCAACATTCCATGCCCAGGTTCCGAGACGCAAAGGATTTCTTTCACCCGCTGACCAAGAACCGCGACGTTGTCAGCATGGGAGAGGCCGAGTGGAAGATTTGGCGCAAGAGGCTTAATGTTGGCTTTGGTGCTCAGTACATCACCAGTCGCATCCCAGACATCGTGGAAGAAGTTGAACAATTCGTCGATGTATTGAAGAGTAGGGCAGGAACGGGTGAGACATGGGGACCGGTGTTTCTTCTGGAGCACGCCACGAGAAATCTCACCTTGGACATCAGCGTCCGTTTCTTCTTGTAAGTATAGACTTTTACTTTCTAGTCTGCGCTTTACGGAGACTCTTAGAATTCAGCAAGGGGAATGCTTACGAAATTATAGGAACATGCGTCTGCACGAGCAAAGAGGGAATCCATCTCCGCTCGCAGTTGCTTTGGAAGATACGCTTTCCAAGATGATGTTCCGAGTCAACATCCTCAACGTTGTACCATACTACAACCCCTGGCGGCACTTTAAACTCTGGTGGAACTACCGCACACTCACTCAGCAGCTTATCCCTCCAATGCAAAGACGTCTATCTGAACTACAGGCAGACAACACAATTCCTAGAAAGACGCTCATTGACCTAATTGTTCAGGCGTTGGAGGAAGAGGCAGCCGAAGAGCAAGGATCCAGCGGAGGGAAGCCCAAGGACCTCATAGGGCTTGCGAATGACTCACTCGAGGTGGTTGTTGGCCAACTCAACGTGTTTATGCTTGCGGGGTTCGAAACAACTGGGAGTGCCATCTCCTGGGTCTTTCGCTTATTGTGTCAACATCCCGCAGTCTTGGCCCAGTTGCGTCAAGAGCATGATGAAATCTTGGGTACAGATCCTTGGGGCGCTGCCGATACATTGAAGGAAAACCCACAGCTGGTCAACATGCTGACATACACACATGCCGTCGTCCGCGAGTCGATGCGAGTCTACACCAACGTTGGCACTGTACGTCAAGGCGATCATGCCTTCTTCCTTACGGGTCCCCCAGGCTCAGGTCCCGGTTTCGAAGGAAAGAAGCTCCCGACTGATGACTTTGGTCTGTGGGACGGCGTGTCTGCTATTCATCGAGACCCCAAAATATGGCATAGAGCCGACGAGTTTATACCGGAGCGTTTTCTCGTCACAGACACCAATGACCCCCTCTACCCGCCACCCAATGCCTGGCGAGCGTTTGCTGCGGGCCCCAGGAACTGCGTCGGACAGCATCTTGCTATGGTTGAGATAAAGTTGGTCATGGCCATGGTGGTGAGGTGCTTCGACATTGACTGTAGGTGGGATGAATGGGATCGAAGCAGGCAGGTTTCTAGCCTTGACCTAACCGCATGCTGCTAACATTATTTATTAGAGGAAACAAAGATACAAAGACAGACCATCCCACTGTTTGGGGCGATCGTTATTATCAAGTTGGCAGATATGGACCACCACGAGTCAAGGAGGGCATGCCGGTACATGTGAGGGTGCGCTCCCAGATCTAGCTATCGTATTCACACGAAATTCCCGGTTGGAAGAGTATTATGGCTAAGATGATGGTTTTTTTTTTTCGTTAATCATGTTACTTGCCTTTTGATGAACATGGGACAGAGTGCTACAGTACCTATGCTAGAGTGATATCATATCAAGAATAGCACCAAACAGAAAACCTTGGGTAATGCAAGAGCTCAACTAACAGCCACATAAGCTTAATAATTTTCCCAGAGCTTTTGGAGGCTCCGGCCCGGCAGCTTTCAGATTACGGCATCCTTTTAATAGATGCCTATGATTGGTACCCAGAAGCTAGAGATGGAGATCATCGTGACTTGCCATGCCAAGGCGGCAGATAGATTGGACCCGGTAGGTAGATGCACCGACGGACTTCCGTGGACAATCGGACTTTATGAGACTCAAAGCCCCTCATCTAATGGCTATGGCGCTGTCGGGAGCCATTCACTAAACTCCATGTGGTCTAAATGAAAGGACCAGGCTTCTATTGCGGCCAATATATGGCCTTTGGCCCCCAATGCGACCCCAATAGTCTGCGCCACAGCGTCCATCCAGCAATGTCCTCCGTAAATTATAGGAACGCGTATCCTTGACCTTCAATCAGCTGCTTGCCAAGTCACCTGCTGCCCGATATGCCCGTCTCCATCACGAAGCAGCTCTTGGCCGCCGCTGCCTATTCCACCTCACATGTGGACATCATCGCCGTCGGCTCTGACAATGCTGTGTATCACCAGGGCTGGAACACATCCAGCTGGCAGAGCGACTGGGACTCGCTAGGCGGCTCCTTCGCTGCTGTCGCGCCCGCCCTGGTCTCATGGGGGCCTGATCGCCTTGATGCCTTTGCGAGGGATCGCAAGACGGATCATTTGGCGCATAACTCGTGGAATGGAGAGGATTGGGGTAAATCTTGGCCTCAGCTAGGGACCAAGACCTTTACGGGCTCCTTTGCCGCTGTCGCATGGGAAAAGAACCGTCTGGACGTCTTTGGGAGAGGAGACAGCGACCGGGCTGTGTATCACCAATGGGTGAGTTTTTCCAGTTCAATTATCGCGCATTTCATTAATCACTCTTGCGTGCGAAGTGGGATGGAGAGAAATGGACGACTGATTGGGAGGACCTTGGAGGAGTCGTGATATCAGAACTCGCCGTCGCCTCCTGGGAACCGAAGCGCCTCGATCTTTTTGGCATTGGTGGCGACGACAAGCTCTACCATCACTCTTACGACGGTGACAGCTACGGTTGGCAGTCGAATTGGGACAGCCTCGATGGAGGTTTCACCTCTGCACCGGCAGCTGTATCCTGGGGTCCCGATCGCATCGACGTCTTTGGCCTGGGAACCGACTTTGCCATGTACACGCGCAACTGGGACGGCAGTGATTGGAGCGAGTATTTGAATCTCGGTGGAAATTGGGTGAGCCCGCCGGCGGTGGTGAGCTGGGGCGCAGGGAGATTGGATCTCTTTGTTATCGGCGAAGACAGCGACCTATGGCATCTGTCGTTCGAGGATGGCAATGGCTGGCAGTCTCAATGGGACTCTCTAGGAGGTCCATTCGATAGCCCGCCTGTCGCTGTGAGTCGGGACAAGGATAGATTGAGCGTCTTTGCAGCAGATTCACGGGGTAGAGTCTGGCATCGCGAGTGGAACGGTGACAACTGGCAAGACTGGGAAGGCCTCGGGGCGCCAGGTGAGTCTGAGAACGATGAGAGGAATCGACCAGAGGACAAGGGAGATCCGGATGGACCCAGTGTGCCAAAGGACGCGACCGGCACGCGAAATTCTTCGGAAAGCACGGGCAGCCGTACGGCTGACAAGCCCAAGGAGACTGAGTCGGACGAATCGGCAGCTCCAGGCAGAGCATACGTAGCCAAGGGCTGCGTTGGAGCTGCTCTTATTGCCTTTATGCTGAGTGCTTGGGTATAATCTGGGGCTTGGTTTGCGTGCTTAATATTCCAAGGGGAGATGTCTTTGCTCGAGCGATGGACGAAGGCTGATGAGTGTTGAAACCACCGGTCTCACTCTCGACTCTGTGTAGCCAGCATCTTACTTAGCGTATGAAGTAACATTTTGAATTGCCAAATTCGCTTGTCATGATAATGGGTCTGCTGATCTTGACTCTGATAGGCCTGCTCGGACTCTGTCAGACTTGAAACTTGGATCATTTGGATCCAACGCCGGTAATTTGATGACGTGGGATGTTTAATTTCCTTGTACCAGGATACAGGCTATTGAGCTTATCACTGGCCAGCTCGCTCTCATGAGGGGATCTAAGCCTCAAGATCGCCAATGATGATCTGAAGCTGATGGTGATAACATACAGTGCTGTGGCTAAGTGACAGCGTCGGACTCGAGGCTTCATCCACCTTCCGACATAGCCGAATATGGCTTTTTAATCAGTAACCCAACGGAGACTGTGTTTAGCCAATTTAATTGTCGACGAGCCGGGGCTTGTCTCGAAATGCGAGCTCACATCTCGCAAATCGACCTGACAAAGATGATACAAAATGTTTAAAGGCATCATTGCCCGGCTGTTGATTACTATATCATGTCTGGTGTTAGTAGCATGGTTATCTTGGAACTCGGCTCTGTTCCATCAATCATCACTATCCGAAATGAAGCTCAGCAACCTCCTTTTCACTCTCACGTTGGCGGCTGGAGTTTCTGCAAGAAAGAAGTTAACTCCTGAACAAGTGGCGGCCGACATCAATTCGGAAGAGTGAGTCTAACTGGTTGAAATATCTACTCTATACTGAACTTTAATTCTAGCCTACAAGATGTTCTGCAAAACTTGTACAAGATTGCGCAGGACAATGATGGCAACAGAGCATTCGGGCTCCCTGGTTACAACGCCTCTCTCGATTTTGTCCTTGCACGTCTAGGCTGTGGCAATCACTTTGACATAACTTTCCAGCCATTCACACACCTATTCTCCCATACTCGAAAGATCTCTTTGACAGGCCCTGACGGAGATAATATCCAAACCATCTCGTTGCAGTATAACCACGCCACCCCTCCCGAGGGAGTCACTGCCCCCTTGGCTCTCGTTCCTATTGATGACGAGCGTGGTTCCGGATGCTTTCAGGATCAATGGACTGACATCGACGTGGAGGGGAAAATCGCCTTGATCAAACGTGGAAAATGCCACTTTGCCGACAAACTCAAGTTTGCCAAGGACAATGGTGCCTCAGCTGCCATCATCTTCAACGATGATCCTAAGCAGACTGGAGGATCAGCTTCTCTCGGTGCAGAGAACTTTGGAAAGCTTGCGCCTGTTGGAGTCGTTAGTTACGATGAAGGTGCTTCCTGGGTGAAGCGTATTAACCAAAACGAGACTCTTGAAGTTACCTTGTCCATCGACGTTTTGACCGAGGATCGAGAAACTTGGCAGATCATTGCCGACACAAAGGATGGCGATGCGGACAACATCATCATGCTCGGTGCTCACCTCGACTCTATTCAAGAAGGCCCCGGCATTAATGACAATGGCAGTGGTGTTGCCGCACTACTCAGCATCGCCGAATCCCTCAAAAAGTACAGAGGGCTAAAGAACAAGGTTCGTTTCGCCTTCTGGGGCGCAGAAGAGAGTGGGATGATTGGGTCTTTTTACTACACTTCGAACCTCTCCAAGGAAGAGGCGAGCAAGATCCGATTCTACTTCAACTACGATATGATTGCCTCTCCACAGCCATACTACATAGTGTATGCCGACTCGGACGCACACAAGGCTGGAGCTCGCTTTCTTTTTGAATACTTGAGCGATCAGGGCTACCCTGCCGAGTACACGTACGTACCTCCTCCTGTGCTCTTCATGCAAGCACTAACATGAAACACAGTCCTTTTGGAAGCTCATCCGACTACATCGGTTTTCTCGAGCTCGGAATCCCCTCATCCGGCATATTCACCGGTGCAGGAGCTCCCCAGGATGCATGCTATCACACCTCATGCGACGACATTGACAATATCAACAAAGAGGCTTTGGTGGTCAACGCCAAGGCAGCTGGCTTTGCTGCTGCAAACCTTGCTCTGAATGTCGACAATGTTCCCAGGCACGAAACAACTAGTCCTAACCCCAAGAGCAAGCGTGGTATGTCGAGAAACATGGTTAGATGGGCCAATGTTGCCAGGGGTGCAGAGAAGGTGCATAGTTGTGGGAGCGAGAGGAAGGTGTTTATGTGAGACGGTGATTCTGTTTGATATCTAGGGGGCAAGGAAGCTTGTATATAAACACCTCGATTGGATTTACTTGTATAAGCTCAAGTCAATTTTGACCAAGAAGGTCAAATACAAATTGATAACTATATCCTCATCCTCATCCTCCAGTACATCTTTAAACATGTATGGCTCTAGTTCAGATAGCCTATAAAATCATGCTTCGACCAAACACCACACGACATTTCCGTCCCCCATTGTCAGCCTACGAGCGTTTGAGTCGTGGTCAAACCTACTAATTGAAACTAACAAAAGTGAACCACCGTCCTAGATACCAACACTAGTCATCAGCATACAGCCATAGAGATCTATTTTCGACAAGGAACAAGTTTTCAGATATGGTAGAGCTCACTACCCTAGGCCTGACTGAGGATCATCATCGCGAGTTCAGAAAAGCAACACCAAGAATAATTAGCCTTCCATATGGTACTAGTAGTCCTGTGTTGAGATGGGGCGTATTGATTGGGAATCTACCGGCTGACACATATTTCATAGGTGTTGATATGAAAACAGAACTGGGGGGTAGCAACACCGATATCAACATGTTTAAGGGTAGAGCATCTAGACTTATCACAGCTTTTCCTTCCTGACTGGAGAGTGTGAGCTAAGTGCATGATATGATGACCACGAAATTTTCTAGTGAATCAAGGGTACTTGAGATTCAGTGAAGACCCCAAACGTGACGCAAAGCTATCGAGTCTTGGCTTGTTCTCAATCCACCTCGAGATGCCTCCTAGGGCATCATCAAGCCCGACATATTCTCTTCTCTAAATCCATAACCGATATTACCCTCGGTCCAGATTTCCTCATCTTCGCACCTACCCTTCACAATTTCGTTTCCATCTTCTCTCCTCCGAGCCAAGACCTACACCCAAGACTTCCGCCCACTAAGGACCCAACTGCTCCCATAGCCAAGATGCCAACGCTCCTTGCCAAGATGCTTATGCCACCCACTCTGCAGTCAGGCTCGAATCTCGCATGTCCGGGCTTGGAACCTAGATCCTAGGTCGGCTATCTTGCCCTTAGCGCTCGGGTCCGAGATCTTCGGACGGAGCTAGGCTTGGGGGCAAGAGTTGCAATGTCTTGTGTTTTTTGCTGACCCGCATCTAGGACGAGATTGCTCTTGGCTGCATTATGGAGAGGACAAGAAGAGCTTGCGCAGTGAAAATCCGGGGTAAGTACTAATGAGTGAAGGCCAAGAGACGAAGACGACTTTGAAGTAGTAGATACAGAGTTCATTAACGGTTCAATCGCCAAGACAATCGTTATCTCTGCAATCTCGGAGTTTCCCCGATATTCGTCGAGGTTCTACTGGACAGTTGCATCGAGAAACGCCATGTAGCTAAACATAAGTTCATCCATCGCTAAAGGATGCCACGGTTGCATGGGACCTAGTTTGCGGTATCAGTTAAATCTACCAGAACCTTCCGAAGTATTCCGTCTGCCGTGCAAGGGTGTAAAACCTGTTAGCAAGACGTTGCTTTTGCCAATGTTGACTTGGTGTCTTGGCCTTGTCTAGGGTATCCCAAGAGGAGGCCTTGGCTCTTGGCCAACGACATATCCACCAGGCAGCAGTTGCTAGGATCACGGGGGTGGACGGTTCAGATAGGCGGTGGGCTCGCGGCGCGGGCAGGGATTTTCGCATGTCTTGCAAGATCTGCACAGCTGAGAAGGGGCCTCAACCCTGGGGCCTCGCGGACGTTGTGTTTCTTGGCTTCAACTTGGGCATTGGGCTGAACCTGGCATGCTTGCCTGTGCGTCCAGGGGAAGGAAACAGTGGTCAGGTGATTGAAGCCCGGTCTTGGCGAAAGGAGTCGACATGAGCACGCAGTGCCGTCGGCAATCTAAGATGCAAAGACACGGCTTTGCTTGGCCACTGATCCGATCTGGAGCAGGGATGATGGGATCTGCTCCCGAAAGGCCTCGACCCTCATGTGTTGGTTGTACTGATCTCCTATGTATGTGTTACCGTCTCCCGCAATCGGTGTACGGGCTGGATATCCAGCTTCTGAGCCGTTCATGTCATGTGAGTGGAGACCTATCAGCGGCTCGGGAGATGACCCCGGACGTGTCTGTTGGTTAAAATGACTACAAGTGGGTTCGTGTACAGGCAGTTAATGCAGGAAGAGGAAAAAAAGCAGACATTGGGTATCGATCAAGTGGCTGGGATGCTTGAGGGGGGGAAATGTCGAAATGTGTAAATTGAGAGCGGGGTTCCGATGCAATGCATCCATCGTGGAAGATCCTCGTCGATTCTCGTCTCGCTTGGCGCTTGTTTGGAGGAGGAGACAACAAGAACCAGAGACTGCAGGGAGATGGAACGAATCCCCATGTGCCAAGATTGCTTGCCGTGCTGTCCAACGGCAAAACTTGCACTCTTGACGGAAAATACACCCAAGACTCGTAATAACCACCAGCTCAGAGAAGACAAATGTGTCATCTTGCATCAAGGATTCCTCCTCAACCGGTTTTCTTGGCCCACCTCGAGGTTCGACTTCACCTCAACCAACAGGTCGGCATCCAATGGCGCTGAAGCTTGGCGGACAAGGTCAGCGGGCGCTGGTGTTGTTATTTCTCCACCATCGCTCTGACTAAGAGTTGCTCTTTTGACAATTCGAGCGTGAGTGTGTGTGAAGATCACCACAATAGTATGCCTGGATGCTCGTAACTGTATTAACAGTCCATCGCGGAAGCCGCGAGAAAAAAAACTCTTGACCCAAGGGATAGATACGAGGATGAACGAGTCATTCCACATGCCCTAGTTTCACAGACATGACTGTTCCATGTCTCGATCGCTCTGTAAGCAGTCAAGGTCACGAGGACAAAAATCTTGTCCCCGGACTGCGGCTGGCGGACGTGGGGTCCGGGGTAGCAGCAAGCCACATGTCGATACCACCCAGTGAGACCAGGTGTTACGTGATCGCAGGGATAGTGTTGAGATTAGCAAAGTTCTAGATGGCTTTGCCTGTGGACGAAACTCCGAGATAACCCGAGAACTAGTTGAGGCCCCCTTGCTGGGTTGTTATGGTTAAGTCTTCTCTCTAGGATAAGGTATCTAGAGGCGAGTTTCAGTCGTGTTGTGGCGTAAAAACGTGCTAGAGTTGTAGGGCCAATACGTCCCGTGACTGGGTAAAAGCTTTTCTCCTCAGGCCTCATGCTGCACTGAGAGATGGATACGTGTATCTACTGCATAAAGAAACGGAATGCAAGCTGCCGTGAGTAATCTGCACGCCTGCTCTAGCCTCAACACAAGTTCAAACAATATTGAGCAGTCGTTCGGCCTGTGAGTGAAGAGCACAATGGCTTGCATAATAGCCCCGCCATGTGTCACTGTCCCGGTCCGTGAATGGTCGGGTTCCTCGTCCGAAGCACACCGAGCAGTCACAAACTCCGGAGCCGTGCATAACCTCCGCCTCCGGACGCCGGAGTTCCCTTTGACCTCCCTGCCTCGGCGGCTCTTCTCGCGCTTCAGAGGAGGAAGCCCGCCCCACTTTTCACCTGCGCGCCCAAAGCCAAGCCCACGCTGTTGCCTTTTGGGCGGGACGGGGGCTGAGAGGAAAGTGGGCCCCGCGGCGGAGCACGTGACTCGTACGATTTCGACGCCCCGGTGCTAGCGGAGGTGGGGCAAAGGGGCGGAGGGTGGAGGCCGAAGCGGAGGCGGAGACCCGGAGGATGATTGTTTTTGACAGGGGAGATGAAAGACGGGGTCGGCAAGACCGAGCGGCGATGACGGCAGTGAAATGGAAAATTCAAGAAGCACTGCCCGGTCTATGAACCGGGGAGTAATGATCACGCGGATGAACGGTTGATGATAAGCGACGGGTCCCCTGTGAAAAAGGGTGTGACAAGAAGGTGGAGGGAGAGGAGAGGGAACTTGGTTGGGACGCTGAACATATCATCTCGGGAACTGTTTCAACCAAAGCGAAATACCAGAGAAAAAATTTCATGCCCATATTTTCTTTTCCAAGACGTAACATGAGGGCACCATCTGCCCAGAATTGCCAAGAGGCGCCGGTTCTTGAGGAGGGACTCGAAAGGTCCTCTCCATATGCCTTCGATTCTGTCCTCTTATTGGACAATGGAGGAGAATTGAGAAGTGTGATTGGTTTAGACAGCCGATAAGCTTAGCGCAAGCGTCACACTTGCCCAGAACCTTAAGTGACATAAGCGCAGGATTGGGAGGTCTTGGGGGAGGGGCAGACCGGGGGGCGACAATCCACAAAACGAGCATTACGCCAATGAAGGAGCATGAAAAGCACATGGCCAAGCCGCCTCTAGACTCATTCCAGAAACGAGCAGCTCTGCCAAGGGAACTTCAAGTCGTTTGTTCGTGTTTCTACCACTTCAGAACCCCTCCATCTTCTCTGGACCCCACGTAGAATAGACGCAGAAGATGCTGAAGGAGGAAACGATCAGGATATCCTGCTGCTGCTCTTGGGTTATCAATGCATGGGGGAGAATCTGCTCGGCTCTGCATATCTTCAGAGTACGCACTTTCGGTTGGATAGGCGTCATTCTGCAAGCGCCAAGAGCCGCCAAGGTGGCTTTCGCCATACAGACGTTCTTGCGACGACCGCCAAGAGCACGCGCGGCTGGGCGCCAAGGCGTGTCGAACCAGCTGAACCTTGGTTCGTTTAGGCTTTCGGTGAGATGGCGGATTGTTGAGAACTAGCTCCTTTAGCCTGTATGCCGCGCGAGCATGTGCATCCTGGCAGCCCAAGTCTTGGATAGTCGTGAGATGCCGGCTGGGCATGAGAAACCGAGATAGCAGCTGCTACCGTCTCAGATGTTGGACCTGCGTGGAGAGATTGGAGATGAGGGGGAGCTATGGCCATTCCATCCAGGGCCTCGGTGTTGCCCGTCCGCATCGGAGATGTCAAGTCGAAAAACTGGTCATGAGGGAGGCTCATCGTCAGCTGGTCCATGAGATCGGACCGGGTTTCCAATTCGATCAAAGGCAGACATCAACCGACAACGATGACGATATCTACCGTTGCAACGCAACTGCCAGCAGCCCATGAACCCTGAGAACGGCAAGGGGAATGCCGATATTCGCAATGGGCCAAGCTTGACGAACGATGCTTGGAGAAGGATCCGTGCCGCCGCAAGCACCCCATGCTCCAACCCGTGATGCACACCAATGACCTCACAGGTTGATCGGTAGTGTCTCTTGTCGTGTTTTTCTGTGTTGCCCCCCTTGCCCTCAACCTTGTGGTCTGCCCTTTGACTTGGGTGCCATGTTTGCCTAACCCGCCAAGATGCCAAGATGCCAAGATCTCCACCGCGCACACCACCACGGACGTTCGAGATACCCTCTTACCGGTCGCGGACGCTCTCTGTCGGGGTACGTACCTTTGCTTGAAGGTAACGCCACCCGGATGGAGGAAAGGGCCGAAGGGAGGGGAGATTGTGACGAGTCTGAAGTGAAGGCTGCCGATAAGTGCGAGCATCAGGCATCAATTGACATGATTGCCGGCTTGATTGTCGTTGCGGGAGATGCTGCGATATGTCAAACGGAAGGCCGCAGGTAATACAAGCAAGCAAAAGCGTAAAAGACGGTTGGTCGTGTTCTCCCTTCGACGTCACGGATTTGCCGACGCCCTCAGCCCCGAACCCCGGAGACGACCGACCGTTTTGATACCACCACACCTCCTCAAACGGAGGCCACACCTGGCACCTGCATCCTGGTAGGGCGATTATCTTGGCCGGTGGCGGCTCTAACCTGTACTCGCGTTCGGATGTGGGGTCCCGCCAAGACCTCCGGGCCTGGCAACGACTCGCAGAGTCCCGGTCCCCAGGTCCGCTCCGAGGAGCTTGGTGCTCATCAAGCGTCTTTGATCGATTCAAGGAACCATGGAGTCTCGGACACGGAGGGAGGGTCGCAAAGTATATATGACCCCTCCCCCGCACCTTTGGCAACGTTCTTTTCTCTGTCAACTTCAAGTCAAAAGTACCTACTTTCTCGGTCGTACTTTCCTCAATCTTTGTCTTGGAAAGTCAGTCTATCGCTCTTTCCTTTGCCGAGACTCTATACATTACATCTTTCTCCACGTGCATGACGTCGGAGTAGGTACCTTATCTGTACCTCTACAACCTTCAAGCCTCAACACCTCAGCATATTTGTCGCGATAACCCCCCGAGCCTAAGTATAAGACACCAAGGTTTCCCCTCCTTCCTTTCCAACGTCCCTCTGGTCCTGGTAACCCTTCCGAACCTGTGACCATGGCGGCGGAATATCCCAAGCATCCGTTCCTCCTCTCCGTTGAGGAGACGGCACAGGCCCTTGGCACCAGCATTGACAAGGGCCTTACCAGCCAACAGGTCGCCGAGGCTCAGCAAAAGTACCCGCTGAATGAGCTCGATGTCGGCGGCACAATCCCTTGGTACAGCATTCTGACCAAGCAATTGCTCAATGCTATGATTATTGTACGTCTTTCGCTTTCGCTTCAATCATATGGCGATACTAATGGATCCAATAGGTCCTTGCATTTGCCATGGCTCTGAGCTTTGGTATCAAAGATTACATCGAAGGTGGTGTGCTTGTCTTTGTTATTGTTCTCAACGTTACCATTGGTTTCTGGCAAGAGTACCGCGCTGAGAAGCGAATGGATGCTCTCCGAGCTCTCTCTTCTCCCAGTGCCATGGTTCTCCGTGACGGAAAGACACAGGTCATCTCCAAGTAAGTTTCTTGCAGTTTTCGCGAAGCTCAAAATGCTAACATTTTCAAGCCCCGAGGTCGTTCCCGGCGATATCGTTCTCCTCAAGATGGGTGACACCGTCCCCGCCGATCTCCGACTATTCGAAGCCATGAACCTTGCCTGCGAGGAAGGTCAGCTTACCGGCGAATCCATCCCCGTCGAAAAGATCACCGATAACAACATTACTGCTCCTGGAACGGAGAAGCTTGTTCAGTCTGAGGAGGAGATTGGCATTGGTGACCGTGTCAACATGGCCTACGCTACTACTATTGTCCGAAAGGGCCGTGGCCGTGGCATTGTCACTGCTACTGGTATGGTCACTGAAGTCGGTAAGATCGCGGCCTCTACCTCCAAGAAGCAGCGCAAGGCAGGTCGTTCCATGAACTGGCGCAAGTATGGTAAGCGACAGCCTGTCGTTGGTCTTTCCAAGCGTATCTACGATGTCGTTGGCAAGTTCCTGGGTCTTACCGAGGGTACACCTCTCCAGAGGAAGCTCTCCGCCCTCGCCTATGTACTCTTTGGCTGTGCCGTCATCTTGGCCATTATCGTGTTTGCTGTCAACAAGTTTAACATGCAGAATGAGGTGATTATCTATGCGACTTCGCTGGGTATTGCTATCATTCCCGAGTCGCTTGTTGCTGTCTTGACCATCACCATGGTTGTTGCCGTTACTGTCATGCGAAAGGCCAACGTCGTTGTCCGTGATCTTTCCGCTCTTGAAGCCCTCGGAGGAGTCACCAACATTTGCTCCGATAAGACTGGCACCTTGACAGAGGGAGCTATGATTGTCCGCAAGGTCTGGATCCCCTCGTCTCACATCTACACTGTCCGGGAGTCTCAGAGCCCCAACGATCCCACGAAGGGCAAGGTCACCTACTCCAAGCAGGATGAGTCCGAGCCTGAGGAGAAGGAGGCTCCCCGTGATTACGACCGCGAGCGAAGTGCTGCTGTCCTCAAGTTTGATATCCCCGACGATAAGGACAAGGCTACCAAGCTCGCCGAGGCCGCTAGCCCTGAGGTGGATTGCGAGATGACGGATGAGCTCCAAGCTTTCCTGCTATCTGCTGCTCTTTGCAACCTGGCCACTGTTCGCTACGACGAGGAAGAGGAGAAGTGGCAGACAACCGGCGAGCCTACCGAGATCGCTCTTCAGGTCTTTTCCCATCGCTTCAATGCTGGTAAGAAGACCCTCGAGGGTCAAGGCTGGAAGCAGACTGCCGAGTTCCCCTTTGACAGCTCCATCAAGCGCATGTCGGTCATCTATGATGTTCCCAACGATGCGACTGGTTCCATCATTGATCCTGAGAAGAGTTTGGTATTCACCAAGGGTGCTGTCGAGCGTGTCCTGGACCTTTGCGATTACGTTGGCACTGGTGATAACCAGCAGCCTGTGACTGAGGAGTTGAAGGAGACTGTTCTCAACCAGATGAACGCCCTTGCATCTCAAGGTCAGCGTGTTCTTGCTATTGCTTACCGTCCCTGGCATGGTCGCTTCACTGCGAAGCAGGCCTCTACCGCTGCTGAAGATGAGAAGCTCCGTGCCGAAGTTGAGCAGGGTCTTACTCTCCTTGGTCTTGCTGGTATCTACGATCCTCCTCGCCGCGAGACAAAGCCTTCGATTGCTGAGTGCTCCAACGCTGGTATCCGCGTTCACATGCTTACTGGTGATCACCCCGAGACTGCCAAGGCCATCGCCAAGGAGGTTGGTATCATTCCCCGAAACCTTGGTATCCTGCCCGATCATGTTGCCCAGTCGATTGTCCAAAAGGCTACCGACTTTGATCGCATGACTGATGAAGAGATCGACGCCCTTGAGGAACTTCCTCTGGTTGTTGCCCGTTGCGCCCCCGACACCAAGACCCGCATGATCGATGCCCTTCGCCGGCGCGGTGCCTTCATGGCCATGACTGGTGACGGCGTCAACGATGCCCCATCTCTATCTCGCGCCGATGTTGGTATTGCCATGGGTTCCGGTTCCGATGTCGCCAAGTCTGCCTCCAAGATTGTGCTCACCGACGACAAGTTCAACTCGATTGTTGCTGCTATTCGCGAGGGTCGCCGCATGTTTGATAACATCCAGAAGTTTGTCCTGCACCTGCTTACTTCCAATGTGGGCGAGGTTATTCTCCTGGTTGCTGGCCTTGGCTTTGTCGACAGCTCTGGTTTCTCTGTCTTCCCTGTCTCGCCTCTGCAGATTATCTGGATCAACATGGCTACTTCCTCGTTCCCTGCCTTCGGACTCGGCCGTGAGGCTGCTGCTCAGGATATCATGCGCAAGCCCCCGCAAGATAAGAAGCGTGGTGTCTTTACCAACCAGATCATCATCGATATGATTGTCTACGGTTGCATCATGGGCGCTTGCACCATGTGCACTTTCTGCATCATCATCTATGGTGCCAATGGCGGCAACTTGGGTAAGGAATGCAACCAGCGGTACTCCGATGAGTGTATCCCTGTCTTCAAGGCTCGTGCCGCTACCTTTGCTGAGCTGACATGGCTCATCCTGATCTCTGCCTGGGAGTTCAAGAGTCTGCGTCGATCCATCTTCCGCCTCAACCCCGATGATGACAGCAAGTTCCCCGTCTTCAAGGATATCTACTCTAACCGATTCCTCTTCTGGTCTGTCATCATTGGCGGTCTATCCGTGTTCCCCGTCGTCTACATCCCCGTCATCAATCATAAGTTCTTCAAGCATACTGGCATCACCTGGGAGTGGGCTCTGGCCGTCGGCTTCACTGTCGTGTTTGTCGCTGGTATCGAGCTCTGGAAGATGGTCAAGAGACACTACCACCTTCTTGAGGATGCTCCCGTTCGTCGTGGTGTCTGGGGCCAGGGTGGTGAGGATGGCAACAAGCTCAGCCGAACCATGTCCCTGTCCAGCTTCAAGACATGGGCATCCTTCTCCCGCAAGGACACTGGCGAGTCTCTGGGCAAGCGAAGCGTTTCGCGAGGTCCTGTCGATCGCCACATCGTGCCTCAAGGCCTGGCGGCCACCGAGGCGTAATCTTTACGAATGTTATGGTTATAATATGAGAGTAATGTGGAGGATTGCATCAAAAGTACGAGAGAAGAGGTGCATCAGCTGGGAAAAGATTTGATGATTGAGGGGGAATGGTGCATCTGTTGATATGTCGGAAGTTGATGACTATTGATATCACTTGTTTTTTGTAGTTATGTTCGATGAGAACCTAGATATCCCCCGCTCCAGCATAGAAGGCTGGTTGCGAATTCACTGCTTCATGATAAGACTCGTTTAATTCTTCAAGGATCCAAAGCCGTGGGAATTGTGAAAGTTTGGGTTAAACATCTGAGTAGTCTTGCTTGGTCAAGCCATACTAATCTATGATTATAGTGAGTTCAGTAGCATCATGGATCTTTGACATGGTGAGTCTCAGTGCATGTAGTCACAGCATCCCCAGTGAGCAGGAGTCACAATGGCTACCTTGAGAGTAAAATTGCAACATAGGTTTAGTTTCAAGTACAGAGGCTTTTATTCTAACAAATGATGGCGATACGTGATATTCAACACCGTAGCACAGCAATAAAACTTCCCTACAATACCATCTTCAACACCATAGCCATTACTAACGCCATAAATCCAATGTGTGGTAAGTTCACTGCTGACGGTGCCGCACTATCCTCTCCTGTCGTATTCAGACCCAGGTACTCTGCGCCAATATCCGTCAGGTCGCCGTCGTTTGTAAGGAGGGCGGCGTTGGGGCCGACGTTGGAGATGCCAGAGCGAAAGGCACCAAAGTAGGTATAACGGCCAATGAAATCGGACTCGTCGAACCATTTGAGCGTTTGCCTGAAGAAGGCGTCGGTAGGACCGGGATCTTGATGGGCGTAGGCGTATTCGGTGACCCAGATCTCAGCATCGGGCCATCTATCGACATACTGTTAGTTGTATCCCGTATAGGGGAAAGTGATGGATCTTACTCGGCGAGGTGTTCCCCGATGTGAGAGGCGAGACCTTCAAAATTATCGTACCAATGGACAGGAAGATAGTCCCAGGTGCAGTTCCCCTTTGTGCCTGCCTTGTTCTTAATCTGAGTGCAGTTCCCGAGGAACTGTTTCAGCCAGGGCATCGAGCTCCAGCCTCCGGTGCACGCAGGCAGACCGAGCTTAATTCCCATCTGACCAAGGGGTTCAAAATTGGCAACCCAGGCCTCAGCGGCGGTCTTTGGGTCAAGATTGCTCCCACCAACATCGTTCGAGGCATCGGGTTCGTTAAAGCCGAGGACGTGGGTAATGTTGGTGCCGCTCTTGATGCGGGCCTGGACACTTTCGAGGAAACTTGTGTCGCTACTGTCGGATCCAACTCCCCACATCATAGGCACGAACTCGAATTGCTCCTGGGGGATGTCCTCGTATACGGGTGACGGATAGTCGGCGTAGTTATAGTACCATGTGATATCGCTTCCATTTTGGATCCAGATCTTGTCGTCCTTGGCTTCATTCCTGTCGGCGGTATAGACAAGACCTCGCTTTCCGTTGGGTGTAGCAGATGCGAATCCAGCCAGGAGTGTCGCTAGGAGTGTCCTTTTTGAGGTCATAATGAATGACTGTGAGGATGAATGAGAGTGCACAATCCGCGTATGAGTAACCACTATTGCCAAAGGCGATACGAGAGTTGACGGCTGAGGCAGGCGGCGAGAATTAGAGAAAGGCCAACCAGGGGTTTAATGTGCTCTTAAGAGCAATCTTTCTTTGGTCTAGATTGGCCCATCTGACTACTTCTAGTTTCTTTGAGGGTAGTTATCTTCGAATTTCTCGTCGCGTTCCAAAGTTGCCGTCTTTGGGATACAGCAAATGTCGGCGGGGCCGTGACTAGTTGCGCCGGAAAAGGGTGTAAATGAACGGAATAGCGATACCACAATGCTACTTGTGAGTGGGAAAAAAACGAGAGAAGAAGAGAAATAGACAGATGAATCTTTTCAGAGAACGGATGGCAGGGTCAAAGAGAGAGGAAGAATGACAAGATGGAGGGCGATGGCCTCAATAAATCGGATCATGGCTCAAAACCCAAAATTTCTTGGGTCTCCCCATTCAGATCTGGCAGATCAAAGAGTTTTACCGGCTGGGGGAAGCTATCCGAGAAAAGGACAGACATGAAAGTCCCTGTCTCACCTGTTGGTCTGATTGATCCGGATGAAGGCATTGTTCATGGAGCTAAGACAGAGGCGTCGTGGACTCAGATTTGTCGGCAGCGCTAAGAGCGCCAAAGAAAGCCTATGCCTTTGGCAGACGACTTTCAGTGGATGGTCCCTGGGATCCAGGGCAAAGCGACACACTACGGCAGGTCCTTAGACTGGATCTCAGCCGTCCATGCATGCCACGCAGGAACCCGCAAGGCTGGAGCTGGTAGAAAACCTGGATTCTGGCTCCTGTCGCAGGCTTTGGGAAGTCCATAAAGCCCATTGCTGCCCTTTGACACACTTGATGTCATTACCATTGTGCATGCGAGCTGAACTTCCTCTGCTTATTGCCATGAGCAAGACCTGGTTTCCGAAAAAGAGGTAACCACAGGAGGACTAATGGAGGGTCGAGACCTTGGCCAGATGGACTGTTTTGGCCACGAAAAGACGCTGTCGATGGATACCTTGCCGTTTAGGTTTGGGTAGAATTCCAGTCCCAGAAATTCGGATAAGGGCAGTCACCCTCCTTGTCATGAGAAGCCAGCATCCCTCTGTAGCGAGACCGGCTCGGCGGCAAAGCTGACGACAAAGACTGGTGGTAGGCTTCAAGGCGCAAAATCGTTGAGCAGAGCTAGAAGGCGCATAATGATGACTGGATGGTGGTGCCGCAGCTTGATCATATCAACGGGCAACGTCTTGGAATGGAGATCTGATAGTCGGAGGCTTGCTCGCCGAGATACCGAGGCACGTCAAATTCGATTATGTCAGCAACCATCCCCCGCAAAAAGCTGACCCCGGAGTTTCGGCGTGCAGACTCCGCATCCCGAGGAACCACGAGAAGCTTTTGCCTCGGCTGGCCCCACAAGAGGTCGCGTCGAGTGCCGCGACAGCTTGCCGTTTGATGGGTGAATAGCGGTTAGAAACTCTCAGACCCCCTCCCCATGATGAACTTGGCCTCGGCATCTTTTTTCTTCATAATTTGAACAAGAAAAAGAACAAGAACAAGAAGGGCCCTGAGCAGTCGCTGTTTTCCCAATCTTTAATCATCCTCATCACTTTCATCTCGTATTCAAAATGGCTGTTGAACGAATTGGCTCCATCATAAAACACCTGGCCCCTGGGTCATCCATTAACAACATGTCGGTGTCCATCCTAACTTTTTAGCTTCAACTGACTGACCTTGCGATGCAGTCAATCCAAGAATCCCGATGATATCGTCATCACCCTCGCTATCCGAACGCCTCTCACCAAGGCCAAGAAGGGTGGCTTCAAGGACACAAGCCTGGAGTATATGCTCTATGCTCTCCTGAAGGAGGTCCGAGAGCTGTCCCATCTGGATCCTGCTCTGGTTGAGGATATCTGCCTCGGAAACGTAAGGCGCATCGCACACTATCGCCGAGTCTATTACTGACAGATTGCAGGTCTCCGATGCCAAAGCTGCCTACAAGGTCCGCGCTTCCGCCCTCGCCGCCGGTTTCCCCAACACGACCGCCGCCTCCTCCGTGAACCGCTTCTGCTCCTCTGGCCTCAAGGCCACAGCCGATATTGCCCACGCCATCACCAATGGCTCCATCTCGATCGGTATCGCCATGGGCGCTGAGCAAATGACGGTCGGTGGCGACGCCCTCGACAAGCCTTTCGACGAGGCTGTCACATCACAGAACCAGGAGGCTGTCGACTGCATGCAGCCCATGGGATGGACGAGCGAGAATGTTAGCAAGGACTTTGGCGTCACCCGTGAGGCCATGGATAAATATGCCGCCGAGAGCTTCCAGAAGGCTGAGGCAGCGCAGAAGGCGGGATGGTTCGATGATGAGATTGTGCCCATCACAACAAAGGTCAAGGGACCCGATGGTGAGGTCAAGGAGGTTACTCTCACCAAGGATGAGGGTATCCGACCGGGCACCACTGCTGAGAGTCTCGGCAAGATTCGCGCGGCGTTCCCTCAATGGGGTGGATGCACTACTGGCGGTAACGCCAGTCAGATCACAGACGGAGGTATGTCTAATTCCAGCCTCAGATTGCCATGTTACTAACTGATAAACAGCTGCCGCTCTGCTACTGATGAAGCGATCTACTGCTGAGCAGCTTGGCCAGCCTATCATGGCCAAGTATGTCGGCTCTACTGTTTCCGGTCTGGCACCTCGCATCATGGGTATTGGACCCAGCATTGCCATTCCCAAGCTGCTATCCCAACACGACATCTCTCTTGAGGACGTTGATGTCGTCGAGATCAACGAGGCTTTCGCTTCAATGGCCGTTTACTGCCAAGATAAGCTTGGCCTCACATCGGACAAGCTGAACCCCCGTGGAGGTGCTATCGCGCTGGGTCACCCACTGGGCGCGACAGGTGCGCGACAGATCGTGACGGGTCTGGCTGAGTTGAGGCGTCAGAAGAAGAAGATGCTCCTGACGAGCATGTGTATTGGTACTGGACAGGGCATGGCGGGCTTGTTCGTTAACGAGCAGGTGTAAGGGAAAAGGAGCATGTTTTATTCTGTGACATTATCAATACTTGGCCACCTAATTTGGACCTCATGAATGCATATATCAAGTTGAACAAAGCCACGAGTCAGGTTTGATCTCATCTCGGTGAGCGAGATTACCGAATCTAGATAAAAGATGCCCCGTTAGATATAGCGGGAGCGAAACAGAAGCCGTTAGGTCACACCGCAACTCTCGCCTATCATTGCACAATCATCCAAGACTGTTGCAGTTGAAGAGACGACGTCCAAATCGACACCATTGGGCTGTTCACCTCGTGTTGAAAGCGTTGATCCTCCACGGCCGATGTCGGGTCCACGGCACCACCTCCAACCTCCACCGTCTCCAAGCAGCAGGGATCGCTGAACAACACGGGCCCAGCCATTCGCCCACATTCGCTGGAACGCCTGCGTTGGAGGAGACACCGCTGGGTGGATCGGGGTCACCCGCGCCCTGATGTCACCGGGATGCATGTGCTACAGCAGGTGGGTAAGTTTTCCTTCAAGGGTTTCCAACGGTTGGGCATGATTGGTCGGTTGGGCTAGACGGGTTGGGATCTCAGATGGTCAAACTGCCTGATGATTACGCAGAAGGCAAAGGCAAAGAAAAAAGAACCTGAACCCTTGGTTTGGAATGGGGTCCTTGGGCAGGTACCTACCTCCTCATCTTAGCGAGCGTGAAATTTTCTTTTTCTTTTCCTTTCTTACTTCTTGTCGCTGGCTTCGCTCTGCTCTGCTCCCCCGTGACTCGTGCGTGATTGTTGACTTTCAACCGTCTCAGGCTCCGGCTCGATGCGTTTCTCCTCATCGTCGGCTGCGTTCTTCCCGTCGTCGTCAAAGTCAAAAGTCGGCCCTTGATCGTTGATGGCTGTCAGCTGAAGCATTGGATCGCAAACAGCCTCAATATCCATCCAGTCCAATTCCCCTGCAGTATTGTGATAACAATTCAGCATAGACGCGTCTGACATTGCCCATACTCCACCCAGCATCTGCTAAAAACATCATCACCCACTCGATATTCGCAATCATGGTGAATCGACCCTCCCACAGTCGCACCAACTCGCACACCGATCACCGTCCTGCCCAGCCAAGTGCCCTCCGCCAGGCCCTCAGTGCCCAGAACAGATCTGACAGCGACAATGGCAGCGGCAGCTCTGCCCCCATGGCTTCGCCTCCCGCCTCGCCTGGCCCAACCTCTGGAGCCCCCATCAGCGAGATCTTTGCGAGCGAGTCGACCCCTCTGATGCAGGGCAACAACACCACATCTACGAACCACCGTCGATCGAGCATCCACCCGGCGCATCCAGGTGTCTGCAGCCATGGCACCTTTAGCCCGCGGCCGTCGAGTCCTGCCATGACCATGCAGAGCACCGACGAGGATGGAAGCGATACTGGGGGTTCGGGTACACACATTCCAGTGCTGGACAGTGCGATCACGACGATCGTGGGGCATGACGATTGGAAACGGTGGTTGAAGAAGAGGATGCGCACCAAGAAGATGGGCCACAGCAGTGTGCTTGCTGAACAGGCTGGATTCGAGGATACGGCATTCATGTCAGTACCTACACATACTGGTGCTTTGTAGCAACCTGCTAACTTGATTCCTAGGTATCTCGCATACTACGTCCCCTGCTTGAACTGGATGCGCCAGTACAAGCTCTCATACCTCCGTGGTGACCTGGTGGCCGCCGTCACCATGGCCTCCTTCTACCTCCCCATGGCCCTCTCCCTCGCCGCGAATCTCGCCCACGTCCCTCCGATCCACGGTCTCTACGCCTTTGTCTTCAACCCCTTCATCTACGCTCTACTGGGGTCTTGCCCACAGATGGTAGTCGGGCCTGAAGCTGCCGGCTCGCTTCTTGTTGGAACCGTGGTGAAGCAGAATGTTGGTTCTGGAGACGACGAGGAGAACGACCTTTTGCATGCGCAGATCTGCGGCATTGTTGCTGGTATGGCGGGCGCAATGGTTCTCATTGCTGGCCTGGGAAGACTTGGATTTCTGGATAGCGTGCTCAGCAAGCCGTTCCTTCGCGGCTTCATCAGCGCCATCGGCTTCGTCATTGCTGTCGACCAGCTGATTCCCGAACTTGGACTCGCCAAGCTGGCCGACGAGGTGGGCGTGAGCCACGGTAGCCCGGTTGAGAAGATCCAGTTCATGGTTCGAAACATTCACGAGTCTCATGGGTTGACCTTTGCCATTGCTGGGATCAGCTTTCTCTTCATCATGATCTGTCGGTAAGTTGTGGCTTGGTGGCTCTGAAACTCGACGTGCCTCTAACCAGGTTTTAGTGAAACAAAGAATCGCCTCCAGCCCAGGTTTCCCGGAGTCGCCTACATCCCCGACCGCTTCTTTGTCGTTGTCGTGTCTGCCATTCTGTGCTGGAAGCTCGACTGGGAGAACAAGGGTGTTGAGATTTTGGGAACTGTCAAGGCCGCCAACGGTAACCTTCTCGCTTTCCAGTGGCCCTTCAAGCTGGAGCACATGCCTCACATCCGAAGTGCCATGTCGACGTCCTTCCTGATTGCTCTCTTGGGCTTCTTCGAGTCTTCTGTTGCTGCCAAGAGTCTGGGTTCCAGCGAGACTATCCAAGGCATTCAGCTCAGCGCTAACCGAGAGCTTATTGCGCTTGGCATCGCAAACATGGTCGGTGGCTGCTTCATGAGCTTGCCGGCGTTTGGTGGATATGGTCGAAGCAAGGTCAACAAGAGCACTGGTGGTAAGAGTCCTGCCAGCTCCATGTTCTTGAGTATCATTTCGCTGTTTTCCATCTTCTTCCTCCTCCCTTACTTTTACTACCTGCCAGTAAGTGCCCTGTTGACGTAGCCAACGCTACGATCCATTGCTACCTAAACAATGCTGACACCTTCCAGAAACCTGTCCTGTCGGCTATGATTTCCGTGGTGGCTTGGTCGCTGATAGAAGAGGCGCCCCATGACATCACGTTCTTCCTGAAGATCCGTGGCTGGACCGAGCTGGGCCTCATGGCTATTATCTTCTTGGCGACCATGTTTTACTCACTGACTCTGGGCATGGCGTTTGGCGTGGGACTGTCGATGTTGATGGTGATCAAGCACAGCACCAGACCGCGAATTCAGATTCTTGGCCGCATCCCTGGCACGAACCGGTTCGAGAATGCTGAGGGAGAACGAAGCAGCCTGGAGTTTGTCGAGGGTTGTCTTATTGTCAAAATCCCTGAGCCTTTGACGTTTGCCAACACTGGCGAGCTCAAGTCTCGTCTTCGTAGACTGGAGCTGTACGGCACGTCAAAGGCGCACCCTGCCCTTCCTCGTCTTCGCAGCCTTGACTCGAACCGCAATGTCATCTTTGACATCCATGGTGTCACCTCGATGGATGGCTCAGGCACCCAGGTCCTCACCGAGATCGTGCGCAACTACCACGATCGAAAGGTCCGCGTCTTCTTCTCGAGGCCTCCCCAGCGCCGAGACCACCCAGTCTGGCATCTGATGGTGAACAGCGGCATCGTGGAGCTAGCAGGCGGCGAGGGACACTTTGTCAACGACGTCGAGGAGGCCTTGAGGTTGACAGAGTATGAAGAGAGCGTGACTGGAGAGTCAAGTCGACGCTAAGACTTTTGGATGACTTGGATCCGATTTTCATGAAAGCAAAGACTCTTTAGATAAAAGGTAGCGGTTTGGTCTTTCTTGATACATGCATACATGGCCCTGGAGCGTTGAGGATGTTGAAGAGCGGAGGAGATACCAAAATCTGAGGGTGTAGCGATGAAGTTGAGGGCTGATAAGGAATAGCATTGGGTAATCGGCGCTATATAAACAATAGGATGCACTCTTTTGCTGAATTTTGAACATGTGGTTGCCGAATTGGTCTCGTGCCTTGTGAAGATGGCCCATGGGAGCCTTGACATGGTCAACGGCTTCCAAACCAGAAGTACGAACAGATAGTATAAAGCCTCCAAGTCAACACACCCCCTCAAACTAGATCAGATGCTTCTAATAGCCCCCATATGATTCGTAGCCTAGTAGATATATCGGGCAGTAACTCAATTGCAACTCTGTTACCCTAAAAAGCCTGACGAAAAGAAATCCATATATTAATAGCAGGAAAAGGGAACTAGAAAGAGGGCTTAGCATGGCATCCCCAAAATGCTACCTGGCTGTAGGAAATGTGTGTCCTACCGTCCAAGATACGACTCAGAAGGTCCTCTCGGTAGGTTCTTTATATGTCCTCGGCAAGCGTCATTGTCATACATCACGGGCTAGAGACTATCCCAAAGTGCCCAACTCAGCAAAGTGGAATACAGCCCAAACCCCCCTACAGAGGTAGCAACCCACCTCAGGTTTCTAAACCACAGTCCCCAATATGTACTGTCGTAGTTTAGTCCCAGAACTCTACTTGATGCACCATAGATAGGGACCTACGTAAGCATGCAGGTTCGGGTCAAGGACATGTGTGTGGTTAAAAATGCAGTGCAAAAAGGCCCCGAGATCCTTGAAACCATCACGTCTAGTCATGTCGAAGACTATGCTGGTGAGTAGCACTGGGTAATTAATCAGCTATTGCAATTGATATCGAGAATGACGATGCCCCCAGATGACTTGGCATAAGAGATGACCCGTCACCATCTTCCACAGGCTAATTATAACCAACCTAATCTGTTCACGCCCAAGAGACGGTAATGTCATGAATTCCAGGAGATGGGGTATCAAGACGGTCACTCGGCACCTTGGGCCTCCCTCCTTGGTTCACTATCCTCCCTCATTGCCTGACCGTCAAGTTCATGCCCATGTCAAGTTTGAAACTAGGCCTTCAACAATATATCTACTTTTCTTAACCCGGAGCTGCACCCCTAAGAGTCCGTCAAGACGTATATACCAGTGATTCCCACAGTCAAGTGTTCCCGCTGCCAATCCACGACGGCATCTGGGCCGTCCTGGCGACAGTCTCCTCTCATCCAATCAGAGCCACGCCCGGTTAGCTCAATCGGTAGAGCGTGAGACTCTTAGAATGCCTCAGTAACAGAAGTTGCTCTGGTCTGAGTACGCGATCTCAAGGTTGCGGGTTCGACCCCCGCATCGGGCTGTTCCTATATAAACGATTGATTACGAGCATTGCATGGCTTCTTTTTGCCCTTGCCTTCTTTTTGAGCTCATGCAAGGGCTCTGCGGTTATCCAGACCTTGCTTTGCAAGTGTGATGCCGGTGGTCTATGTCTTGGTGGTCGACCTGAACACTTCTGAACAGTGAGAACATCTCTCTTGGACAACATATTTAGTAAAACATCTGCATTTTTGTTATAATCACACTCTTGTAGTAGGCTCGTCACCTGATAAGGAACTGGCTCTGCGAATACACATGGAAGCACCTCAGAGAGCGAGTACCCCATGCGCTTGACTTTGGATACCCTAGCTTAGTTCAGTATCAACATATCGATGTCACTCTCGCCATCCACAAGATACATTGCGTATATTTAGCTTCTGACCAGGGGTAAGCAAGTGATGCGTCTTCATTAAAAAGTGGCTCGGCCAAGTCTTCGCCTTGCAATGGGCTGATATTGGCAGTGGCTTCTAAGATCAAGTCCCGACCGAGTACCGAATGGAGCCAGCTTATATCCAAGAAACCAGTGGCCAAGAAGTACTTCCAGAGATGAGCTGGCTTGATGGCGATTGCCTCTTGATCCATGATCCCATCACAACGTTACATCAAGTGCCAAGCCCGATAGTTGGGTACCCAGTACTCGGGACAGGTCCATACAAGGCCAAGCTTCACGACAATGACATTAGTTCAACCACCAGAAGCATGGCATCATAATATGGTTTGGCACGTACTAAACACGTCAGTCAGAACTGATCTTGCTTGTAAATGTAGTCAAGAGAGAGTCCAAACAAAGTTGAGGCTAAGCACATCGATATGCCTGAGCACCCGATCTCAGAGGACCAACACAGAGACAAGGAGTGAAAAGATCCCGGCTGTGGCGCTAGGACGACATCCCCGGCATGTTTCCACGACACGCCAGCTGCTTACCAAATAAGGAATGGCAAATAGAAGTTCAGACGTCTGGGAGACACTCGCAACAAAGTGCCCTCGTGGGGTAAGGCTGAGCTCGCCTCTAAGGAAGCAATTTTACACCCCTGGGAATCTCGTGGTTCGTCGCCATCCGTTGTGAGTATTGCGTGCTGCTGCCTCATCCGTCATGTGGTGTCAACGGTTCCCCAAGCGAAGGATAACAGTGGCACCCCGAGGCGAAGTGATCCATCAGAATGATCGTGAACTGCTCCTTTCGGGGAGTTGATCGCCTCATTACCCCATCAATAGTCTCTAGCCAAGAGCGGAGGGGCCATTCGTCAAGCTCGGCTCGTCGGAGAGGAAATGAACAATTCACCAACTCCCCGTTTCCTCGTCCCACGTTGAGTAATCTGGTCGTTGCATCGCGAGCATGACGCCGATCAAGTCCCCGATGGCTTATTTTCGCCCGCCGACAGCCCGGAGGCGCCGACGACGGACTCCCCGCGGCAAGTCGCTGAAACGGGGATTCTTGGCGGAGATGTGCTCATCCAAAACTGCCATGTTGCCAAGACTGAAATAGTGATGCCTGGAGGGTGATCGCTTGGCAAAGAGCTTCCGTCTCTCGAGGGCTCCGCTTTGACTTTCAAGTTCCTGCGTCAGACCAAAAGGTTAAGCTTGTTTAGAATCGGAGATTATAAAAAGTTAGAAAGTATACGAGTCAGTAGTTGATCATTCAGTCTCGAAAAGATCCAGAAAGAGTGGGTGAGAAGTAAAAGATATCCACCTCATCAAGTAAACCCAACGTAAATCACACACACCGTAGGATATTGTGCCTGAATTGTGCAAGCAGTCAATGACGTCTGTCCAGGTCATTATGAGCTGTTACCACCAAACAGGGCCCATGACAGTCGCATCTTACGTACAGAAAGCCTGTTGTTTGGCAACTCTTCTAATTTACCTGACCTCTTCTCTGTAAGGGTAGACTTGTTGACCCCCATCTTGAAGTAAAAAGTGTCTCACGGCCATGCCGCGCGACCAACATGTGATATCTGCTGTATCAGAGGCGCATTGCGTGATTGATTCGAATATTCCCATTCGTCTCTTGGCGAGGAGGATCAGTTTCTTCAGCCGCAATCATCCATAGGGAAGGCGGCCCAAAAAAGAGCTGCCTCCTGGGGAAGACGGCAATCCTCGAGGTTTTTTGGAGACCCGGAGGTGCAGCTTTGGGGAACCCGTCGTCAGTCGTCTCGTCTTACCCACACCATTCAAGGAACATCAGGATCCCTGTTTATGGCGCAATGCCATTGTTGTTAGCTGGTTTGCCCCCCCTTCTTCTTCGAGTCGCGCGCGCCGCTGCCGCCCGATGTTCCGCTGCCTAGTTTTTTTGTGCTCTTCACTCTTTACCCCCTGGCGGAATGTCGCTACGCCGGCGACCCAGTTAGAGAAAGGGAAATGGGGAAATAGGATAGGCTGTGTTTATCGCCGTTATGCTTAATTCGACCGACCGTGTGTGGTGCTCCGTGTGAACCGCTCCGCCCCGACATCCTCACTTCCGGCCCCGTGTTCACCAGAGCCTCAATCCGGGGAGAGAGAACCTCACCGTCCCCGTCGCGAGCGGCTCTCGGTGATGCCCTCCATCTTCGAGGCAAAAGTCAGCAACAGCGTAAAAATCCTGCGGAGACGAACCTCCACCCCCGGTATGAAGCGCCAAGATGCTGGGCAAGCTTGGCAGCGGAGCCCTTTCACCCCCCGTTTGTGTCCGCCCGTTCACAGAGGAGTGCTGGTTTCTTTAGTCGTACGAAACGACTCTGGGAGGAGCGAGGAGATGCTCGCCAAGAGCTGTGATGGGGGTCATCCCGGCATGTCGCCGAGTCGATCTTTTGGCAGGCAAGCCAATCCTTTGTCCAGCTTTGATGCGAGGAGTTTGCCATGTTAACTGGGTCATTGTTGCAACGGGACCTGTCGCGATGCCCCGATCCTTGGATGAGGATGTTGGGCTTGCTCTCTTGGCCCACGTTATGTTACACCCGTCCCATCTCGTCTGGAATAAAAAGACGACTCTGTCCACGGATGGATCCAAGCATCGACAGTGTGTGTGTCCCAGCCTCTCGGGTCCTCGCTTCTTTTAACTCTCTCCTCCTTTGGTTGGACCCTGAGCGCATGCAGGAAGAGCCCTTGAACGAACCCTAATTCCTCAACCAAGTTGAGCCAGGTATTGCACCTTACCTGTACGTTGAAGCTGTATGTATCCCTGAAAACCTTCTTCTGCCTCAGTGACATGTGAGCTCGAGCTTACACTCCTCGAGGTTCCCTTTGGAAGATTAGAACCCACCCTTCTTCAACTGCTGCATACTTCCAACAATGGCAGTTCCCCCGATCCTCAAAAAGGTCGGCAAGTGGCTGTCGCCTCCCCCCTCGACCTCTGACGATGGCCGTGATCAATGGAACTCGCGGGCCTCCTTCCTGTTGGCGGCCATGGGTGGCTGCGCCGGCATGGGAAACCTTATTAGGTATCCCTCACAGGTCTACAACAACAACGGTCTACAGTGGTTCATCCCCTACCTCCTCTGCGTCTTTCTCATCGCCATCCCGACCTTGATTCTCGAGGTCAGCATCGGTCAGGCTTACCATGGAGGTTCTGTTGTTGCCTTTAATAATGTCAACCGTCGTCTCAAGGGTTTGGGTTTCAGTCTGTTGTACATTGGCTTCATCGTCGGCCCGTACTTTGTCGTCAACCTTTCATGGATCATGATCTACTTTCGCAACTCGTTCAAGAATCCTCTACCGTGGGAGGGACGAGCTGAAGAGTACTACTACCAAGACGTTGTCCAGAATGTCGACGCTATTCCCGGCAATAAGACCTTCAACTCGGTGCAGGACTACGTAAAGTATCCTGGTATTGCTCTGATCGGCGAGACTGTGGGATGGACCGCCTTTACTTGGTTCCTGGTTTGGATCTCAATCTTTCGAGGTATCGGTCAGACAGGTCGTGTCGTCTACTTCACCATGGGACTGCCTGTTATCATGACCATCATCCTCGTTGGCCGCTCCGTCTCCCTCCCCAACGCTGGCCGCGGCATCAAGCTGTACTTTGGCGAGTGGAATGGTGAGAAGCTTGGAAGTGGCGATATCTGGCAAACAGCCGCAGGCCAAGTCTTTTTCTCCACAGGCGTTGGTTTCGGCTACTTCAGTTCTTATGCGTCTTACAACCAGAAACACTCCAACGCAGTCATGGACTCGTGCCTGATTGTCGCCAGCAACGTCCTATTCGAGGGCTTCGCCGCCTTTGCTGCTTTCGGTGTTGTCGGCTACCTCAACATGATGCCTGTCCCTGGCGAGAGAATTGGTTCCTTTACCATCGGCTTCTTAACCTTGCCAACCGCCATCACCACTCTTCCTGGTCAAAATTTCTGGGCCTTTGCCCTCTTCTTCACTCTCATGGTCCTCGGATACAGTTCAGCCTTTGCTATGCTTGACGCAGTCGTCACTCTTGTCATGGACACCAACATCAAGACGCGTCGCGAGTGGGTTGTCACAGGTCTCGTCATCATCTCATTCCTCGTCTCACTCCCCTACTGCACCGAGTTTGGCTACGCCCTTTTGACCGGTGTAGACCGTTGGATCAACGATGTGGCTTTGGTGTTTGTCGTCTTTGGCGAATGTGCCTTTTCCACCACCTTCTACCGCTGGAGGGACGTTGCCGGCCAGGTCGGAAATCCTGCCTTTTTCATCTGGAACTTTGGATACTACGGTGGTATGGTGCTTGGTGTTGCTATTTCCCACGCTGTCCGCCCTGAAGCTGGTGCTGGTGTTGGCTTTGGTCTCTTTATTGCTGGCTCGGTCATCTCTGCCATCATCGGCAAGACACCTGATTCTGTGCCTCCAGCTCTTGAGTTTACTGAAGAGAAGGGATTCATTCGAAGGGCCATTGGCAGGAGCGCTGCTCTGAACCGCACCTTTAGTAACGTGTATCTCACCAAATTTTGGTATCTCGCTTTCTACTCGGTAAGTCATACACTCACATCACGGCCTTTAATCCGTGCTAACTGAAGATAGGGCCAGCAACTCCGAAGAGATCTCAACGTCATCGTTGGAACCGGAAAGAACTGGAGGATCCCCTCATTCTGGCCCATCCTCCTCCGCTTCGTCTCAGCCCCCGTTCTCGCCATCATCTACGGCTTCGCCTACCCAGCATTCCACGATCTCCGCGATGACCCCCTTCACATTCTCGGTTTCGCCATCGCCCACATCTGCCTACTCCTAATCGGCCTCGGCGTACTCGTACCTCGCTGGTACGACTGCATGATTCCTCCCAAGCGCCGCGAAGAGGGCAATATCCCATATGCCCCCAACGTGTTGCTAGGGAGCACCGATGCTCAGCAGAGTGATTCCATGGAGACGGGAGAAGGCGTTGAGGGCTCCAGCGAGGAGAAGCGCAGTTGAAGAGGATCTCTTGTTGTTTGAGACATGACAAGCATTATACTTTGAGGTAATATTTGTATCCTGTATACCACGGTTGGAGGCGAAGAGGAGATTGCTCATTCATACCCCCCATGTCCCTCTAGTTGAGGGCTTTGCAATTTGATCTTGCTCGTCACTCAAAGAGTCGAGTGATGAGGGAGCCATGAATAAAGGCCCGCGAATGACAATTGTCACGCTGAACAGGGCACATGATTTATCTTTTCTCTGTGCGAATTAATGTTGCCTGTTTGTGAGTTGGATATCGTGAGTTCAGGCTGTGCTTATTTTACCGCTATTTAGGCAAATGGTAAGCGTCGGGGATTTATCACGCCGTCTACTTTATCAACAATCATTCAAGATTCGCAACACTTTTCTTGACCTTGAAGTTTTAGAACAACGTCAACTTCTTCCACGAAAACAACCCTGCCTTAGTATTTCCTGACGATGCTCACCAAATCCACTCACGTCTACGCCCACCACGGCCTCCCTCTCGAATGCGACGTCTACACTCAAGACGCCGCCTCTGACACGCACGCCTTTCTCTACTTTCACCCTGGAGGACTTACAGATTGGGGTCGCGAGTTTATCGCCCCGTGGTTCGTACAGGTGAGTTCTCGTCTCTAAAAAGTGGCACCATGTCTAAAATCGTTCTCTCCCCGCAAACAAGGCTTGCCTCGAGAGGAAATGGACCTTGATCAGCGCCAGTTACCGGCTCATGCCTCAAGTTGGAACTCAAGGTCTTATCGATGATGTTTCGGCGGCATATCAGTTTGCGAGATCATGGGCTGTCAAGGATGGAAAAGAGCGGCCGGTCATATTGGGGGGTGCCAGTGCTGGTAAGTCAAGTATCACGATAGCTTCACTCAACAAGATGCTCATAAGCGCTTTAGGCTTTTTCAATTCTGTGCTGGTTATAAATAATTGCTCGCCGCCGCCTATCGCTCTACTAGGCATTTGTGGGCTTCACACCTTTCGCCATCCTTTTTACAACTCATCAACACTCCTCCTCCCAGAACCCATCGAAGATGCAGACGTGGCCGAGTTCATCAGCAGACCAATCGAAGTAGGCAAACAGGAAGTAGGAAGCATCGCAAGCTTTGCACTGGACAAGTTGCTGCCTGATGGATCAAAGAACCCAGACTATAAAGCACCCCAGGCACCGGTGATTCAAGATCCGCCTAAGCACCCCAGAGGTCACCTCTACGAGTACTACATCTACAAGAACGCCTGGCTCGACTTGGTTGGAGAGATCGATGCCGGGTATACCTGGGCAAAGGATCCAAGCAACAAACGACGAGTCGAGAGCTGGCCACCTACCGTTCTCATACACGGAGACGCAGACCTGCATGTGCCTCTGGACTCTGCCGAGCAAATGAGGGAGTGCCTCAGCGAAGACAAAGTGAGGCTGTTTGTGGCAAATGGTCTGCATCATTTGTTCGAGACGTTTTATTTCCTCGAGGATGATGAGCCGGGGATGGATGCTGTTAGAGATGCATTGAAGTGTCTTGATGGTATAGTTGCGGCAGCATCAAAGTAAGGCGCAGTAAAGAGGTTAGATATTCGTTGTAATGTTAGAGAAGACCTAATTGACTATAAGATGGAGAGATGATACTGCAAGTATGAGATTGATAAGGATCCAGAGCGCAAATATGTAAAGATCAAATCTTAACAATCCTGACAAATGCCGTAATATCACAGACACAGACCCCTTTCTTCATCAAAGCTATTCTTATCAACAACTCATTCTTGGCTCATGCCAAGAAATTCTTCTTGAGGCCAGCGACACGTCCAAATGATATGACTTGCGATAATCCAAACAAAAACCTCATCCTTACACACACACACCAAGAATATAAGCGAACGAGGCCCATGACGTACGCACTTTAACCAGCTGATATCAGGTGAGGCGACAGACCGTCATAAATGACAAGTAGTCCTTCTCGCATCCTTCTTTTTTTTTCCCCCGCCTCGTTTGTCGTACATTGCCAAGTAACAATGCAAAGAATCCCACATCCCGGTTCCTCTACGATAGAGTAGGAGTAAAAGACTTGGCCGGGGGAGAAAAGAGAGAGGATTGAGGGGAATACACGTCTTGATCACCTGGACCATGTCCTGGGGTAAGCGTAACCCGAGAAAGGACATGAGTATGAATGTGGAAATTATGGCCGATCCTAGCAAACGAGACGTGTCACTATAGGGCATTTTACAATGAGGCCAACGGGTAAAAAATGTCACCGATAGGATAACAATTTCTCCTTTGTTCGAAACGTTCTAGATCTTTCATCCTGTCTTTGGAAAACTCCGAGTCTCGCAGGAGACAATCGTAAGGCTGCTTGCATGCACACCACCCCAAGACTTCTTCCAAGATATGGCTTCAAAAGCCTGCCGATCACATCAAACCACCCCCTCTTTCTCTTATTTTTTTTTCCCCTACCGCGACAAGCGAAGGACGGGGTGAGTGGCTCAGTAACCCCCCGTCGTACCTGCAGTTCATCGAGGTAGTATCCTGACTACGGACTCGGTCAAGAGTTGCACATTCTTCGCATTCGCCACGAGAGACAGACCGATTCCTCACCGACTTGGTAACCTCTCGCCTCATTGCCCACATGGCTTGTGGGGAACGCCACTTTCTCAATACTGAATGAAACAGAAAAGTCAGGATACAAAGATACGGGTTGACCGGTTTGCTGTTTCTTCTCTGTAGCCTCACCGCCGAGGGAGAAGAAATGCAATCCTTACTTAGCGGCGTGGGAAAAAGAAAGCAAGAATGCTTCGGTTCCGATGACATTGGATAGCTCGGAAACTAGTCCTCTTTGCCCCCCCTCCCCTCTTCCAAGGATCCTTTGTGCCGCTCATGGCCCTGCTCATCATTGAACAAGGTTGAGATACCTACCTCTCGTACAGGCTTCGAGAATCAAAGAGTGTACGGAGTAGACCCTGTCCGATTGATTCAGATCCAATCAATCCCGCGTCTCACAACTCGCATCTCCCATCGACACTCGGCAGAAATGACAGGTCAAGCGCCGTCTAACCCGCGATCCTGGTTCTCGGCGTTGGAGCGAGCAAACGAACAACATGGGAGACGATCATCAAAACTCTCTTCGGCTCTCTTCTATCCCGTGACGTCTGTCTCATGCATCGAACCCTGTATGCTCTTGTGAATTGTTTCTCCAGAAGAAACGATGCACCGCTAGAAACGGTCCGTCCGTAGTCCAGCTCGGATCGCCGGGTACCAAGACCCGAGTCTATCCCAAGTCGTCACTAGGTTAGCTACCCAAAGGTCTCCCTACCTTTGTAGCAGTGTACATCCCCATCCCCATCCCATGGCATCAACACAGCACAGCCTTGGTCAGCCCTTCCTCCTCGCCTCCCCGAATCTTCTGGCCCGGCTTGATTCCCCGTCCGTTGGATCCATGTTTCATGCCTCCCTCCATCCACACACCGCACTCGGAGGTCATCCGCCGGGCCTATCCTCTCTCCTGGACTGACTCTGTTCAGCTCTGCTCTGCCTCTCTCTCCACTCTCTTGATAGACCTTGTCCTTGTCTTCCCCCCGTCTCCTCATTATGCCGTGGCTCCTCTCCATCCCATCCGCCAGCTCATCTCTCGCTTAAATCGGGATTCATCCCATCTCTTGACAACCGTCCAGACTCGCCATCATCCATTGGTCACCACCACCTGCCAGTCCTCTCGTTTCACAGGTCACTGACAGCCACCACCTCCATCGACACATGCCCAGCCCATCCTGACAGCTCGGCCCGGGTTGCATTAGTGCAGGAGTACAAGAGTGAGCCTTGAGGCCCTCCGTTTTACGCTTGCTTGATAGAGTTTGGAACCCTTGCTCATAGGTCCATCCCAAAGTCCGCCTCGGCCGGGTCGCATTAGTGCCCGAGTTTTGGGAGCTGGAAAGCACTCTCGGGGCGAGTTGTTAAACCGCCGCCTGCTTCTACTTATCGCAGTTCCCGCAGCATCTCGGTCAGGCTCACTGCCAAGAGTCAGCAACATTACCAGTTACCATCAGGTTATGACTTGCAGCCACTAAGAGCAAGAAAATACACGGCAGAGATTCGTGTATCGATTCACAACAGATTCAGACACTTCGGCGATCCATACCAGGAACTCGCCTGTGTACGACCCATCAAGTTGGATTCTCCCATTTCAGCAGAGCCAAACGAGGAGGTGACAGTCGACACGATGTCACCCTCCAAGATAGCAGAGCCGTGGCGATTGACAGCCTCTGAGGTCCTCTCCAGAATCCAGGCTGATGAGCTTTCGGTCCAAGATTACGCCAGATCTCTGCTCGAGAGGATCAAGGCCCGGGACGATCAAGTGCAGGCCTGGGCACATTTCGACGAAGATCTGGTGATCGAGCAAGCAAAGGCCCTGGATGAGGTACCAAAGAAGAGCCGAGGTCCTCTTCATGGCCTGCCTATTGCAGTCAAGGATGTCATCTACACCAAGGGTAAGCCAACCGAGCACCAAAAAGGGATCATCAACTGACCTCGCCAGACATGCCCACCCAACACAACTCGTCCCTATACGAAGGAAGCTTTCCCGAGGTTGATGCCGCCTCAGTCCGCACCCTCCGTCATGCAGGCGCTCTCATCTTTGGTAACTCCGTTTCCCCATCCACTCGGGATTCCCACTTACAATCCCACCCCCAGGCAAGACGACAACCGCCCAGTTCGCAGCCGTCCACGTCGGTCCAAAGACCCGCAACCCCCACGACCCCCTCCGCACCCCCGGTGGATCGTCTACCGGCTCCGGCGCCGTCGTCGCCGACTTCCAGGCTCCCCTTTCCCTGGGTACCCAGACCGGCGGCTCCATGATCCGGCCTGCCTCGTTCAACGGCATTTATGGCCTCAAGCCCACGTGGAACTCGGTTTCTCGCGAGGGGTCCAAGATCTACTCCCTGACCTTTGACACACTGGGGTGGTTTGCTCGGTGTGTTGATGACCTCGCGCTCTTGGCTGATGTTTTCGGCATCCAAGACGACAAGCCAGAGGAGGATGCAACTGTGTTTGAAGGCGTCAAAGGTGCGCGTTTCGCCATCTGCAAGACAGTCGTCTGGCCCTTTGCTGGCCCTGGCACCCAAGAAGCCTTGTCCAAAGCTGCCGCCCTTCTTGAAGCCCATGGCGCCATCGTCGAAGAGGTCGACCTCCCGTCAGAATTCGACAACCTCCCAGAATGGCATCGCGTGGTCCTTCACTGCGAAGGCGGTACCGCATTCTTGCCGGAGTATCGTGTCGGGAGGGATCACATCAACCAAGTTCTTGTCGATCATGTCGAGAACATCAACGGATTCACCCGCAAGGAGCACTTAGAGGCGTTTGATGGCATGGCGGCCCTTCGACCCAAGTTTGATGAGATTGCTGGGCAGTACGCAGCTTTCATCACCCCAAGCGTGCCTGATGAGGCACCTGTTGGTCTCGAAAGCACGGGGAGTCACATCTTTTGCTGTATTTGGAGTGCAAGTCCCCCTTGCCCTCTCTCTTGTCAGGAGAGCTAACATGGACATAGGCCCTGCACACGCCCGTGCTCAACGTCCCCGGCTTCAAGGGCGCCCACGACATGCCCATCGGGGTGTCCCTGGTAGCGCCACGATATCGTGATCGTCATCTTCTCGATGTCGGCAAAGCGGTCGGTGAAATCTTTGAGGCTGAAGGCGGATGGGAGACCAAGCTGTAAGCGTGCCATCATGATATGCGAACACTTGAGCTGTCAGCCGTGGTCAAGGCCACGTCTTCTGAAACGGTTGAGGTTTACAATGGCGCATCGTGGAACTGGAAACAGGTTAGAGGTATAGGTACAGATAGACGGTAACAGGGACGGATAAGACCAGGCGTCTTCGGATAGTTAGTATGGATGTTGAATGCTTTTCGTATTTTCCCATCAGGGCGCTGGACGATTGCCGACGACTCTCGTCGACAAAGGAGTCTATATCCCAAAAATCCGTCCATGACCAGAACCGCTGACATTAATTGCTCGTTACAAAGATAATAACTGTGATCGCAACCCTGGACCCGAGCCCCTCGTCGTCCAATGCCCACCCAATATTACAATTCATGCTTGCGTGAATAGGTAACCGTACATACTCCGGAACGTGGTTTCCAAGCTCTTGGCTTCACAAATGTGAAGGAAATGCTGAGAATGTGAGTGAAGGAAGAGGGTGTCAAGTATTGCCCGATAAAGAATAAACAAAAAGATGCCTGTGGGAAAGATGGCCCAATGTGTTGAAGTAGCTCATCGCTTCACAGGGATGATCTTGTCGATACAATCGGCAACCTATCACGACATTAGTTATCATCCATGAAAGTCTAAATTAGGAATATTCACCTCATCGAGTAGCACGCCTTGATTTCGTAGATAGTGGCCCATGCTCTTCACAAGCTCAACCTGCTCATCAGGAGAAAGACTGGTAATGGCAGTCTCGAGAACAGTGCCAAGGTTGACCTTGTGGATGGCGATGAAACTGTGGTAGTACATGTAGGCGAAGAAACCCATGATGAACTGGCAGTCCATGCGATCAGTGATACCACCGTGGCCAGGAATAGAGTCGCCAAAGTCCTTGATCTTGAAGGTGCGCTTGAGGCCAGATGCGAAGAAACCGCCAAAGGGAGCAATTAGTGAGGCAAAAGTGGCGAGGTTGAGGGCGTGGAGTTGCATAGGAGCAAAGGTGACCGAGAAGTGAGTGTTTTCAGGAAGGAAGAAGAGCTCGGGGAGCTCGTATGTCTTAAGTAGGAAGACGGGGTTAGGGTCGCACTGAAGACCAGTGAAGATATTGGCGCCGAGGTCATTAACAGGGCAGATGAAGTACTTGGATCGCATCATGATGTTGACAAGGATCATGCCAAAGAGGATGGTCATGATCCAGGCACCAACAAAGCCCTCGACCGTCTTCTTGGGAGATAGCTTGATGAGCTGGGTGCGGCCAAACATGATACCGCAGATATAAGCAAAGATGTCGTTGGTGATGACCAGAGCGGCGGGCAAGAAGAACCAGATCATGCCCTCAAACACATTGTTCATGATAAAGTGTGCTTGGACCACAATCAGGTAGAGAGCCATGTGTGTCCAAGCAAAGTTGGTAAACTGGAACTTGTAGTGGCCAGCCTGAAGGGAAGCAACAAAGAAGACGAAACCTATCAGCGGTTAGAGTCGGCAATTCAGATACGTTTATCGGATACTCACCAAAGACATAGAGAATGAAGCTGATGAAGCGGTGGTGAGTCGCCAGAGGCAGCAACACCTTGTCAACCAGGACAATGTGCTTGAAGTAGTAAATGACGGTCTCGCCGTAGAGGAAGTACATTGTCGTCGCAAGCCAGTACCAGTTAAGACTCTTAGTGGAGCGCAGAGAGCGGGCGCGACTGGGGACGTTGGCGATGGCGATGACCTCCTTGAAGGAAATGATCTGGACGGCCGTGATGATGCAGATGATGTAGATATGGCCCATGAAGAGTGCCGTAAAGAACATGGCGAACATGACAAAGGTCCAGAAGGTGCGCGTCATGAAGTTGGCCTTCTTCTTTTCGTACTCGGTCTTCTTCTCTTCGGGAGTGGGAGGCTTTTGCTATCATGATCAGTCAGTTACCGTGTCTTTTCGCCGAGAGCACTGGCTGGCTCTCAAGAACTCCTAGTCTCGGCCGCCAATTGCGCATGCTCACCTCGTTCACTGTCTCCAGCTGATCCTTGTTCTGGAACTTGGCCTTAGTGGGAGACCCATCCTCGCTGCTGAAGCTGGATCGTCGTCCGTCGGATCCGTTGCGGTTGGGGAACCTAACCCCTCTCTTTGATCGAGCCATGGCTATAGAAGGTGTTTTTCGGATGTGCAGCGGCTTCTAGTGGTGACTTCTGTCGCGGAGATGCTGCTCGCAAGCTCTGCAATGTCCGGAGTCGTCGGTCGGCGTTGGTCGAGGTTCCGGTGAACTCGACTTGTAAGCGGTCGCTCGCGAGATGTCCTCGTCTCGTACTCTCGAAAGAAATTCCAAACAAGAGGCTACTATCGCAGCTTCGTTATAGTGTCGCGCTGTCCACGGAACAAGCTCAAGATTGCTGAAAAGAAACGTGTGGGCAAAAGTGACGACGTAGGATTATGGGTGTGTCCGCGGTCAGAAAGATGGCTCGACTCGAAGGGGAAAAAAGGAAGGAAGTAGCTGGCTGTCCGTCAGCGGTTTGCGCTTCTCGAGGACGGAAGCTGCGGGTGCTGTCGAGTGGGCAGGTGAGCTCACTCTCGCAATAATCTGGCGATGATGATGGGGATGGGAAATGGTGGTTTTGAAAAGTCGAGCTGCGTAGTCCGTCACTAAGTGAACGTTAGCCCCCCAGCATTTCCGAGAAGCGGGTGGAGGGTTTTCCTGCCTGCAAGCGTCAGTGTCCGTTAGTGCTCTAGCTGTTAGCGCGTGTCCGCTGTGCTGTGCTTTGCTGGGCGCTGACGCTGACGCTCCTGGAGCCTTGGACACGCGCTAACAGCATGGAACACGTCCGCCCAATCTCAACCAAACTTCCACTCCCAGCCAGCGGAGTACTGTTCCATCCCCCGCGGCTGTGGCTTGACGTGTCCCGGTGGTTCCAGCGGAGTTCTGGGGCGCCAAGTTGCGCCGGACACATCGGTCGGGTTTTACATCAAAGCCGGCAAGGTATCTCCTCGTTCCCGAGCTTGAGCCACTTCCTAAGTCCAGGTATACTATCGCTACGCGTATTTGCATGATCCGTTGCTACATGGTTTACAATGCCATTATAGCACGGTTCTCGTTTGAATACCGTGGCTGCTATCGAGTACAGGACGGTGAACAAGCCCCAGATGCAGGGGCTGATTAGCTGTGGGACACGGAGCCGCCCAAACAAGCTGTTTTCATAGGGCGAAACCATCAAAGAGAGATCTGTTGTCAGATCCGCCCGCCACTTTAAAGACGGAAAAGGACAAAGGGGCTTGAATGGCTGTTTAACGGAGTTGAAGCTGTTGCCGTCAGGATTTTGAGCATGTCCCATGTAATCGGTACCTAGCCTTCAAAATCCACAATCAGCCCGGTCCCGAGCTGCTGATTTTGACTCCTCTCCGAAAGGCCGATGGGGTCTTGTTCCCCTTCTCCGCCGGCCGCTGAGTAAGGACCTAAACCCTAACGTGGTTTCTTGTCAGTGACGTCGCATGTCGATTGCATTGGACTTCGTGGCATTGGAGAAGCGCCAAGCTTGACTGGTAATTTACCAGCCCGCAGCATCCGGCACCAGGAGCATGATCCCCACAAGTCATCTCTCCGCTCGCTCTCGCTCTCGTTCATATTTCAACCCGGAGCTGGAGGTGAGAGGCCTCTTTCCAGGAGAACACCCCGTGACCTGAGGTTGTCTTCTCGAAAAGCACGTTTTGCTGCTGGATCAAGGTGCACCAACGTTGTCCAAAATCAAGCTTGACGACATCAATGACGCAGCTGGCTCTTCACATGCTCGAGAATGTGCGAGCCCCACCCACACAAAAACTGCGCCACAGTGTTCCTCAGGAACGTGGCTGATGACGGTCAGCTCACCAGCCACAAACAGCAATTGAGCTTCTTTATTGCCCACGTGATCTCGCGTCGCGTCTTCAGCTGTTTTCAACCCTGTCACCAGAGGTCGCGACGGGACCATTTGCTCCAGGCACCGGGTCTACAGCTTCAGTGTCTCGCTCAATGGAGCTGGCCCCTTCCCTCCAAAACGCCATGAATCATGGACCTGGACGAATTCTCAGATGACGGCCTCGACGACCTCCCCGATAACGCCCTTCAAGAGCTCGAGGACAATGCTATTCAACTCACGCAGGCTCATGCAGCCTCAAAACCATCGACGCAACGCCAGGGAAACGGATCTCCAGAGGTCATTTGGGTCGAGGACGATGATCTAGATACGACTGAAGTGACCAATGATGCAGGCGTTCCCATCGGAAGACCTGTCATTGACAGCGCCCGGCAACAGCAGATTCACTCGTCACAGAACCAGCTCAACCCCGAGTCTCGACGGTCGATCCCGCCCCCCAACCCTCGATGGAACCCGGCAATTGATCCTACGAAACGACGCCCAGTGGTGCAGACTCCCCCACGTCACCCGAGTGCAGGACCGCCCAGACAGCCTCTATACACATCGGACCAGTTCCAAACCCAGAGTTCCAACTTGCCTCCCCCTCAACACAGCCAATTTGCCCGACCTCCTCTTCCTCAGAGCCGCCTTGGGCCCTCTCAACCTTCCCAGAGTCAACATGGCGATATTCTGTCAGCGCTCCAGTTGCGAGTGCGGGCACTTGAGACCGAGCTCCATGCTGCCCGCGGCGAGGTGTCCATCATACGATCCAATTCTGTGAAGGCGAAGCAGCAGCACGATGCAGACATGGCCCGGTTGAAAAGGCTCAACTCGGAGCAGCTGGCAGAAAAAGAACGGATTGCCGAGGCAGCTGTTGCCGCCCAGCAAAGTGCCAATACGGAGCTACAATTCATCCAACAAGACATGAGAGAGGTTAGCAACCGAGCTCGTCAAAAAGATGTCCCTGCGAAAGTTGGATCAGGCGTCACAACCCCCCGAAAGGCGGCCAAATCATGGAAGATGGCGGATGGCTTTGATGAAATGGACATTGTCTTGAGCCCCAGCAAAGGACAGGGAAGAAGCAGAAATCCTGGCTCGGTGGCCTCCCATGTGGGCGAACGAACGCCCAGCAAAGGCAAAAGGAAACGACCAACAGTTGACAGCCCAGTCATGGCACTAGAGACTCATACAGACAGTTTTGACAGCAGCACTAGCAAGCCCGAGCCCCCTGTACAGCAGGCCCCGATTGTGGTTGCAGCGCCGCCAGCTCTTCCTTTTGAGGTACGAACTTGGCTCCTTTGGTTGGAATTCAGCTAATTCGTCTCCAGTTCTTGCAACTTGTGCTAGATCATAGCACTCTACATAACCAGCCGCCAACCTTTGACATCCTGTCCCGCTTCTCCTTTGCCTCAGATCCAGACACATCCTTTTCAGCCATCATCTTCCAGAAGATCCCTCTCATGGGAAATCCGCTACGACCCATGCAACAGCTGGTGGACTTTGCAAACTTGATGGTAGCAATTTGGAACCGTTGTATCGAGGAGCAGCTGTGGGAGCCTATCAAGTATCTGATTGCTCTTATATCATTCACTTTCTCACTTCACGCTACTGAGGTGGCTCCCCATGTTATACCAAACCTTGCTCCCTCAGTCCATGCGACAATTTGCAACCTAGCAACGTGGCGTAGCCGATTTCCAGAGCAGGAACTGCTCAAGAAGGAACAATATCTCGCCATGGAGGAACATATCAACATAGTTGACGTTCTATCTCTGCTCTACACCACGTCGCTTGCTTGTTCTACCGCTACGGACCCAGAGGATCCAAGCCAGTCCCAGGCGGCGCTGTTCTGGCAATGCATGTCCCTCGATCCCATCTCTCTTCTCATGGGGCCCAGGCAGAAATTGGCTGATATGCTAGGAATGCTGGAACTGCTTGCTGTGTCTTCCCTTCCCGACTCGATTGGGCCTATCACGGATGATCAAGACCCTCCACATGTCGCTTATTCCATGATCAACTTTGTCTCGGCCAAGCTTAATGACTATCCCCAGTCAGTCACAACCCGGGCTCAGAAGCATATCGTTCGCTTGGCGGCACTGAGGACGCTTCGGTCTTTTGCCCGATATCCTTTCGGTGCTATTCAGCTTGCGTCTCACAATCTCGCACTTCCTCGGCTGGTTACTTGCCTGAGTACCAGCATTGACGAGCTGTACGACCAGCCAATTCCGCCCACCATTCTACCGCAGACCCCTCAAAAATGCAGGACCCGCGAAGATGTAGCGACTTCAACAAACATCTATCGGATTATCTCGCAAAGTGTTCTCCTGATTCACGCTCTTGTGACGGGTCCTGAGACGGCCAATATTGCCGACTTTGGCCCAAAGCTCTCGGCAGCTTGCGGCGGAAGCCAGCGATATCTTCTCGCGCTTGGACGGCTCACATTTGCGGAAGAGGATTTGGTCTTGGAGGCCGGGATTGATGCAGAAACTGCCGAGGCGGCACACGAATTGCTCGAATTGGCGGTGACGCCTGACGAAGGAGAAGTGGTGAGCGAGGCATTTGGAGAATAGTATGATATGGCTTGGAGATAGTAGGTCGGTTTCAAAAAGGAGCATGCATATTTGGCGTTTAGATGAAAAAACATGAGCATTTACATGGGCTCAAGGTGGGAGTTGAGTTATCTGACAGGCGGCTGTTCTTGGGTGACGGCGTTTTGGAAAAGTAGGAGTGGTGAGATACCAGTATACAATGGAGCCAACAACTTGGCAGCAACGGTGGCAGTTTTGATCAAGGACATGTTTGTATTCTCACGGCTATAGCACAATATAATCAGACGAGCGAGAAGGGGATTTGGTGCCCTTCTCGCTCATCAACACCTGCTTCACTGCCAACAACCACCAACTCCTCGCTTCAGCATCACTAATACACACTCCAGTTCAACCATTGTACGAAACATGTACATGGTCCCTGCATGACAGGTTAGACTTTGTTGCTGATGTAAGAATGTCGACTTACCAATGGTTCTGAGTCAGGTCGCCGCGATCCTCCATGGTGCGCCAGCTCTCCCAGTTCTTGTTCGTCCCGTCGACAGATGTGGTCCAAATCTTTTGTCCCCAGATGACGTACTTGAGGTTCAGAGTGGCGCGATTTCTCATGCACCACTCAGCGATTTCCTTGCCCGAGAGGGTAGCAGACTATTCACATATTAGCTATCACACCAGTGCAAAGATGTGAGGTTGACTTACACCACCGCCGTCGGCACACATGAAATCAGTCGCCAGTCCACAGCAGTGATCAGACGATCCAGGACAAGAGCAATCCCTCTTACATCCAATCTCCCTCACACGTCCAGGAAAAGCAGCAACGACCTTTTTAGCACCATCGACAGCAACCTGCTTACAAGCCCCGACAGCCGGGATATTCGGCGCCGGGTACCCACCAAACCCGGACCCGCCAGCGGAGCAGCACCGCATCTGCCCGGGGCCGGGACACTGGTTTGTCACGGAGCTTCCGGCGCAGTCGGACGTCCAGCGGCAGTTCCCCGAGGCGCCATTTGCGCAACTGGGCTTGGAGCAGCACTTGATGTTGGCGGCGTCGGCGGGGCAGGCTCCTGAGATGGAGGTTCCGCCGGCTGAGGTGCAGGCCGCGTCTGTGATGCACACGCCGGCGATGCCGTTGGGGCCGTAGCAGGGCTCGTTGGAGGCTGCTAGGGCTGAGGGGAGGAGAAGAGGGAGAAGGGTTGTGAAGCGCATGATGTGATGTATGGATGTGTAAAGGGTGGGTGGTGTGAGACTTGGTGATGGACTACTCTTCATGCACTTACAACTTCTGGGCAATGGATGGCCTTTTATACTCGCGCCCTCGACTGATCTTGCCCTCTCTCAACTCACAAAAACGATCATCATCATCATTCCATGTTCCACGCAGCATCACAAGAAATCCCGCCTGCTTGTTTCGTATTGATCAACACGGGTTGCCCCTCCGTTGCCGTCATTTGTGTCTCGTCACCAGCCAGTAAAGATCACCAAGCGTTCTATCTACAGCATGAAGCCATGATCCCCAATCTCCACCGGCGTCACAGAGCCACGTCCAATTCCCTGTCAATCTTTTTCAGCTCTCCCGTCCAAGCTTCCTCTTTCAACCTTTCCCTGCAAGCATCCCCCGTTTAAAACCGGAAGGTCGTAGTTTAATCGCCCGACCACCCGGCCGATCAACAAGATCAGCATCCTTTTCCAGACGACCATCACCCCTTGGCAACGCCTATCTCCCAAGCTGAACAAACCCCTCGCATCCCACGTGTAGTGACCGTACCGCCCAAGTCGGCAGTTAGGATACTCTCAAAAACATGCCATGCCAGGGCTGGTAGATGCATCTTTGCATCGGTGGCTTGTTTCGGCCCACACGGGGATGGCTGCATGGTTCTGCAGGGGTGATGGCGGGAAACGTTCAAGCTTAAGCTTAGAGATAGTCGATAGATGAGACAGGTTTCTCCCCTGGTCATAATCCGGGGCAATTTTGAGCCGGCAGTGCGACCAAGGAAAACAGTTTATAGACGGGACATAGCACGACGATCCTCGAAACGACGACATTGATGTTTCGTATTAAACGTTAGGGGTAATACCTGTCAAATGCCCATCGACCAAGGCAATCCAAACGACATAGCAAGAGTGCTCACCTAGTTCTGAGTATTGCAGCTTGGGCAAACCCTTCCCTTCCTCACGCTCTGGGTACACCCCTTGGCAGAGCAAGCAACGCTGACGGCGCCGCAACGTCTACACTTTTCGTCCGATTTGGCTGACGAGCCGCACTTTGCGCAAGTGAGCTTGTGCTTGTTGATCGGATGGACCCGCAACGAGATCATGACGGCCGAGAAGGGCTCAATATGTAGTTAATGATGCTTGAGTTAGTTGGTAGTTTCTGGCAATCTCTGGTTTTCCAGGGCAGTCTTGAACATTTGGATGAATGCTTCCAGTTCAAGGTGGTAAAAAAAGAGTAACAAGCCAAGTAGTATTCTTTGTCTACTCTCCTGAGGAACTTGCAGGTAGACGCATGTGAGCAGTGAATCATATACTCGACTCAAAAGCTATAGTAGAGGATGTGAAGAAGAATCAATCAAACTCTTGTCGGTACTCATATGGAGTTGCCAACACACTATCATTCATTTTCCTTCAATCATGGTGCCACAGAGAAATATCATGTCCACAAGCAAGGATCAAGACACAACCACCCTTTATCACGACCAGACTAATATTACATATAGCTGGAGAACGTCAAGTGTCAAGAACCAGGTGATCATACCAGCTGAGTCCTCTTGCAGTTAATCAAGGCGAGATTGGTCGCGAATGTGTTGATGTAAAAAATTAGAATTATTAAGGTTATAAGAAACCACAAGTGCATAATCAAGTCGCAAACATTGCCGCTGCTTTTCTCCTCTCCATAGCATGCCCTTCTTCCATCCCAGTCCTCGTCTTCTAAGCAAAGAAGAGGAAGCCAGAGCGGCCTGAACCGCTGCCGCTGCCGCTGCCACTTCCACTGCCACTTCCGCTACCGCTACCGCTACCGCTTCCACTACCAGATCCGCCCTTTGTCCCAGTGCCTGAGCCAGAGCCAGAGCCAGATTTTGTACCTGAACCTGATCCAGAACCGCCTCCGCGTCCACTGCCTGAGCCGCCCGAGCCAGAGCCACTCCCGCTGTCCGAACCACCGGAGCCAGATCCAGATCCAGATCCACTGGAGCCGCTCCCGCTTCCGCTCCCTGAACCAGAGCCGGAAGATCCAGAGCCAGATCCACCTGAGCCAGATCCCGAGCCGGAGCCACTGGAGCCCGACCCAGATCCTGAGCCACCAGAACCACTTCCGCTTCCTCCACTTGATCCTGACCCTGATCCAGAGCTGCCAGTGCCAGAGCCGCTTCCACTTCCACTGCCCGAACCACTGGAGCCTGATCCTGAACCACTTGAGCCACTTCCACTTCCACCGCTCGATCCTGAGCCGGAGGACCCTGAGCCGGATCCTGAACCTGAACCTGAGCCAGAACCAGAGCCGGACTTTGTGCCTGAACCCGATCCAGATCCAGAACCACCCCCACTTCCACTGCCAGACCCTCCAGAGCCTGAACCAGAGCCGCTTCCACCTCCGCTTCCTGAACCGCTGGAGCCGGACCTGGAGCCGCTGGAGCCCGATCCTGATCCTGATCCTGATCCTCCTGAGCCGCTTCCACTTCCACCGCCTGATCCCGACCCAGAGCCTCCAGAGCCACTTCCGCTTCCACTACCACCACCTAATCCAGAACCAGAACCGCCAGAGCCGCTTCCACTTCCACTGCCCGAGGCACCAGAGCCTGATCCTGAACCACTAGAGCCAGAGCCTGATCCAGAGTTTCCTGAACCGCTTCCGCTTCCACTACCAGATCCAGATCCAGAGGTCCCTGAGCCAGAGCTTCCAGCACCTGAACCTCCTGAGCCGGATCCTGAACCAGAGCCTGAACCTGAACCTGAACCTCCAGAGCCAGAACCACTTCCACCACTGCCTGATCCCGACCCTGAAGACCCAGAGCCAGAACCGCCAGTGCCGGAGCCGCTTCCACCATTGCTTGAACCTCCTGACCCTGACCCTGATGATCCGTTACCACTTCCGGAACCTGAGCCGCCAGTACCAGAACCACTTCCGCTTCCTCCTCCGTTCCCTGAGCCAGAGCCAGAGCCGCTTCCACTTCCACTGCCCGACCCACTAGATCCTGATCCTGATCCTGATCCAGAGCCAGAGCCTCCTGATCCAGAGCCGCTTCCATTGCCGCTGCCCGAGCCAGAACCAGAGCCACCAGCACCAGAGCCTGAGCCACTGGAACCGGAGCCTCCAGAACCTCCTGATCCAGAGCCGCTGCCGCTGCCTGAGTTGCCACTGCCAGAACCAGAGCCGTTTCCAGTTCCACTGCCTGATCCTGATCCAGAGTCATTTCCGCTGCCCGAACCGCCAGCACCTGACCCAGAGTCTGACCCACCAGTGCCAGAGCCACTTCCACCCAATTCCCTATCGCCTGAGCCTGCTCCAGAACCAGATCCAGAACCGCCGGAGCCAGATCCGGAGCCAGAAGCGTTAGGGCTACTTCCACTTCCGCTACCTGAACCACCGGAGCCAGAGCCTTTGCCGCTGCCGTTGCCGCTGCCTGAACCAGAGTCTCCAGAACCAGAACCAGAACCAGAACCTGAGCCAGAATCTCCGGAGCCGGAGCCGGAGCCGCTAGGACTGCTTCCACTTCCGCTACCCGAGTCGCCTGATCCTGATCCAGAACCGCCTGAACCGGAACCAGAACCACCTGAGCCGCTGCCACTGCCGCTACCTGATCCAGAACCTGACCCAGTGTCTTCTGAGCCTGATCCGGAGCCAGAGCCGGAATCGCCAGAACCTGAGCCTGAGCCTGAGCCTGAGCCTGAGCCTGAGCCGCCTGTTCCTGAACCTGAGCCAGATCCGGTGTCGCCAGAGCCCGAGCCGCCTTCTCCTGAACCACCAGAGCCGCTGCCGCCGCCGCTGGCTCCGTTGTCCCCAGAGCCTGAGCCCGAGC